CTTTGCTTTTGGCTCTTTGCTTTTGGCTCTTTGCTTTTGGCTCTTTGCTCTTGGCTCTTTGCTCTTGGCCCTTTGCTTTTGCCTCTTTGCTTTTTGCTCTTTGCTTTTGGCTCTTTGCTTTTGGCTCTTTGTTTCTGCCTCTTTGCTTTTGGCCTTTTGCGTTTGGCCCTTTGCGTTTGGCCCTTTGCCTTTGAAAGCGCTTTGCTTTTGGCCATCTTTGCTCTTTTGCTTTTTCTTTTGCTTTTCCTTTTCCTTTGCTAGCTTTGCGCTTTGCCAGCTTTGCGCTCCTTAGGAAGCTAGGTCCTTAAGGAGTTCTCGCTTAAGGGCTAGGTCCTTAAGGGCTAGGTCCTTAAGGGGTAGGTCCTTAAGGGAGCTCCTATGGGCTCCTTAGGAGCTTCCTAAGGAGCGTCCTAAGGGCTCCTTAGGAGCTTCCTAAGGAGCTCCTTAGCAGCTCCCTTAAGCGAGGACGCCTTAAGCGAGGCCGCCTTAAGGCGTACCTTCTTAAGCGCAGACGCCTTAAGATAATTTTGCTTAAGGCTTTTCCTTAGCAAGCCCTCTTAAGGGACAACTTCCGTAAGGAAGCTTCCTTAGGAGCTCCCTTAGGAGTGAAAAAACCTTTGCCACTATTATTATATTATGTGTACCAATCGAACTTGTTTTCTAGCGCACTATCCGTAAGTATCCACGGCCAGTTTTGGAATTACCAGAAGCAACAGGGTACTGCTAGGGCTTTTCTTTATCTCTCACTGCTCTCTTATTTGCATGCCATCCCCAAATTTGAACTGACTTTATATATCTCTCATTGTTCTACGACACTTCCTATGGAAGCATGTACTTACTTGTTTTTCCCCACCCAGAAACTGTCCGGGCACACAAAAAGACGACCAAAGCAGTTCGAAAAAATAATGAAATTTAAAAGATTCGTCAGTCTATTGCCACTATCTATGCTGCATATTAAGGGCATCTGTTGGAAAACGACTATGCTATCTGTTGGAAAACGATGCCGTGCAGAAGCAAGTGAAAATAAAGAATCGTCGGTCGTTTTGTGCGCTGCAACTCGGTGTGGTCCTTGTGGTAACCTTTGGAGAAAGCATTGGTATCTGTATGCCTATGCCTGTCGATCATTCACAGGCGTGCCTTTTCGGTTTTACTGCTTTCTCTTCGCGAGAAAAACTCTGTTTAAAGCTGACAAAATCGGTGTTTTATCGTCCACAGCAGGTAGTTTCGGTCTGCTTTATTTCCGAGGATCGGTGAATTATTCCACGTTGCTTGTGGTCTTTCGTTACCATTCTTTTGTCGCTGTGCCTCACTCGTCACATCGCATTGTCAGCGCGTTTATTCACATCAGAGACCAAGCGCGCGAGCCCCGCTCACTAGGTATACTGGCGAGGCCCGTCTCACCTGTATGATATCGTGGTATTTTACTGCTTTTTACTGAAGCTTAAAACGTAATCATTCAAAATGGCTTGATGTTGATTAAGTAAGTTCTTCCCCAAAAGCATTACTCCTTGCTTCCCGTGGTCTTATTTGTGAAGTAGAAAAGAATGAATAATTTTTACAAAGAGGTTCAGTATCGGTCCCAATGCGGGAAGCACGCGTTGAATTCGGTGTTGCATTTCACGACCAAGTATCAAATGCAAAAATGTCTCGGTCTGGAAGAGTCGGGGCTGGTTCTGCACATTTTGCATGACCCGTGAGGTCTGTGATCCTGGTGCTAGCATCACAGATTTTTTGAAAGTTTCTTGATGCTAATGACGCGTGAGAAATGCCCTCTCCGCGTGCCAAGAATTGACTCCTCTCGCTGCTCGTGCAGCACAGATATTTTTAGAATCCGCAGACGGCATTACAAGTTCCACTCTTCAGACCCAGACATATTTGCAATGCATACCAAGGGCGAGTGGAATGCGTTGATTACCGATCGCGACACGTGCCAGATGATGGCCCGGCTCCCCCTGGACAACTACCACCGGGTGCTCCAGGACTTTTTCCCCGTATTCAAGAAAAAAACACCATCACAATCACTTTTGCACATTTTTGCAATACAAAAATTTTTGTCATGCGCAAAAATGCATCACAGTCAAGAGCTCTAGGCGATTTCCCTTTGTGTTTTTGCAATACAAGAAAAATTTGTCATGCGAGACAAATTTCTGATGCAAAACCTCCTAAGTGTGACTGTGATGGTGTTTTTTTCCTGGATACCCCGAGGCGGAGTGCCACTACGGGGAGACGGTGGAAAAGGCGCTGGCAAGTAAGGACATCAAATTGCATCTCCTCGACTGGTATCAAATGTAAATGTGTCTTGGTCTGGAAACTTGTGATGCCAGTCAGGGAACAATGCGCAAACTGTAATGCACTGCCAAGCATGACAAGTTCATTGTCTTTCTTGGTTCTGAGTTGCGTACTCCGCATGAGAAACTTTCACTTTGGTTTTGCATGACAGACAAGAGAAGCTCTTTGCGCCCACGCAATACGGAGCTCAGAGTCCTGCGCGACTAGCATGACAAATCTCGCAACTTTTCCAGATCCAGACACTTTTGCAATTCATAACTGGGTGATCCTCCTCGCGAATGGGCACTACATCGCGTTCGTCCAGGCGGCCGGCCCGAAGAACCTCGAGCTCGCGTTATCCTGTGTAAAAACGTCCCCACCTCCCCATCGTCAAGATGGAAAATTTGCTATACAAATTAACATCAAGCCTTGGTTGTTGCGCATGACAAGTTTGGCCTCGTGGTGTAGTCCTTTTCAGCTAGTCCAGCAGCATCGCAGACCTAGCGCATCGCGCTGATTGGAGCGTGACAAATTCCGGAACGCGACTAGTATGGGGCGGCGGGGCCGTTTTTGCATTGGATACGCGAAGGAGGCGAAAAAAAAAGCGAAGGAGATCATTGCCGCCAACCCGGGAAAGCGGAAGGAACTGACGGACCAGAAAAACAACTTTGTGCAAACGTGTCTGCGGGAGCTCCAGGCTGTCGCGGAGAAACAGGACAGGACCAAGGCGAACCCTTGGTGGGTGAACCTGGATTCCATGTCTCCGTCGAAATACCCGCAGAACCCGGACACGAAGGAATTACTCGGGGTTCACTCGGACGACTTCTACGACATTCAGACGAGTGTGACGCGGCTTCCCGGGCACCACGCCGCGCTGACCAGCACCACCTGCACCAAGCAGACAAACGGCGTGTACGTCTTTTACGATCCCTCCTACTCGTTTCCCATCCCGTCGGGGAACTTCGCTTTGAAGGCGTCCCTGGTCACGGTGGACCGCAACCCGTACCGGAAGATCGCGGAAACGGACAAGCGGAGCGTGTCCCCGAACCACCGGGCCGAGGTTTCGGCGGCGGAGCGGGTGGAAGCAGCGGCGGAGAACAGCAAAACGGCGGCCGGAACCAGGAGTTTGTTCGTGGCGCAGGCGTTGGGACTGCCCTCGTCCGCGAATGCGGGCGGGAAGAAGAACGACAGTCAGAACATGCAAACCATTTTCGACGGTGCGGAGAAAAATGGCAAATCTTCAAACAGCAATAAAACGAAGGCCGCCAGCACTGTAGTCGGTGGAGTTCTACTTTCGGCGGAACTACGCAGCACCTCCGCCTCCGGAAGCGAGGCATCATCGTCTTTGGGGGAAAGTAAGTCCAGTACGAACAAAGGAACGCCGTCGACAACAACTACACCATCACCTTCTACCGAGACCAACAAGGCAACGGGCACGACCGCGGCCAACGGAAAGGGCGCCGCGGGCAGGTCCAGTTCTGCCGTTTCGGCAAACAAAATCGCAACGCCAACGCGCCCACCGTCCGTTTCGCCAATTGCACATCAAGTAGTGCCAACATTATCTGAAGAAGACGTGCGAAAAAATAAAACTACGGGAAGTACTACTAGTCAAGCTGGGAATATGAAAACAATTATCGCAGAAGATGAAAACAAAGAAAACGTCCGCAATCTCGCTTCGCTCGCGGCTATCAACCCAGACGCGGAGCAGAAAAAGCACAAACTCGTCATGGCTTCCTTTGGCACGTCAGCAGCGAAGTCGGAGCAAGAAAAATACAAAAATTTGATGGGGCGACAGTGGAAGGCCAGCGTGCCCTTCCGGTGACTACTTCTTGTGGGCGCGTCGGGATTCTGTTGTTGTTGTTTGCTGTCGTAATTTCGTACCAAAATTGACGAGGTGCTTTCGCAAAAAAAAATGCCGTGAGCTTGTCATACATTAAAATGTGCTGCTGTGCAACGAACATGTAAAAAATTCGTTTCGAATTCTTGGGGCTCTGGCGTCGTCCTTTCAGAGACCACCGGAGTCCCGTGTTTTATTCATCTTGTAGCACGATCAAGAAGCTCATTCGAAAAATAAACTGCAGTTGCTGCAGGTAAGAACCTCATCTCCCTTCCGAGGTAAAGTGTATGATGTGCGATAGTTTCAGTAGAAGTTTGACATGTGGACAGCCATTCTTGAAGAAAAGATTCAACCCCATCTATCTCTAGTTCTATCCGCGAGTAGTCACAACTCATCCGCGCTGCACGCCGAATCGTAAATGGCGCAGAGTCTTCACACCCCAAGCCTCTCCGGGCTCACTTAAACTTGAATTGCAACTTTTCTATGCTTTTCACCTGGCTGAAGATTGGAAAGGAAATTAATAGGACGCGCCGGGCGCCCACTTTTCTTTTTGGAACATGTTCCTCGCTTGTCTTTGATCCGGTGGAGAAGAAGTATTTTGGGTTTTGCTCCAAAACTATGCTGTTCGGAAACGTTCACAGCGTGACGGAATGGCTTCAGGTTGCCCAGTTTGTAGCTTTCTGCGTGCGGTGGCTCTTCTACGCCCCTCACACAGTCTACTTCGATGACCACAGTGGCACAACTTTCCGGGCGACCAGGGTGTTGCTTATTCGGGCGGTGATTTTCCTCCTGGAATCCTTTGGATTCCCCTGGAAAATGAAGAAAATTAAGTGTGGGGCCTATGAGGTCCCGGTGCTTGGGCTGAGCTTCGACCTGCGGGGCCAGCCCTCCATGCAGCTCAGTCCGGAGAAGGCGGAACGGCTTCGGGAGTATTTGGCTACGGTGTTGAAGGCTGGAACCCTTTCGCCGGCAGACGCTTCCAGCCTGGTCGGGCGTTTTCTGTTTCCGCTCACATTAACTATTGGGCGGCGGGTCAATGGGTTGTTGAAGTCTCTTTTCCGTCGGGCGTCGCACCCCCACCGATCATGTGCTTTGGAGCTGTCCAAGACGGCTGTTTTCTCCCTCGGGTTCATGCGGGAGTGCCTTGCTCATCTTCCACCGGTACTTTTTCGGGCTGTTGACCTCCCTTCGGTCATCGTGTACACAGACGCTAGCTGGCGGAGGGGCAAGGGCTGGGTAGCAGGCGTGCTTCCGGTGGGCGACCTTTTCTACATCTTTCGCTACCCGGTTTCCCGGGACATGCTTGGTGGCGCTTCGTGGGCGTCTTTCCCGATAAATGTGCTGGAGACGTTGGCGCCTGCCCTTGCGCTCTGGCACTTCAGATCCTTCTTTTCCCACCACCGGGTGGTCTTTCGCATCGACAACTCGACAGCGGTGGCGGCATTGCGGAATGCCTCGGGCGGGTCGACCGCGATTTCTTTGAGTTCCAGCCTCTTCTGGAGCCGTGTTGCGGTTTCCGGGTGCTCTCCGGTTTCGGAATGGATTGCTTCGGGCGACAATACGGCCGACATTCCGACGAGAGACGACATGTGGGATCTCTTTTATCGCCAGCGGAAGGAGTTTGTTCGTCTCGTGTCATCCGATGAAGGGGCCCGTATATTGCAGGAGGACATCACGGCTGCTACCATGGTGGATGAGGATTTATCGCATTTTCTCGAAGGCTTAGATTTTGACGCTTTACTATCACCGGCGTAGTTAGTTATATTTCTGGTGTGTTTCGCGGGGACCATATTCGGTCCTGATCCGCACCCTGCTATAGATTTCTCCGAACTGAGTGATATCTACCTTCGCATGTGCTCCAGGCAGGAGTGCTTTTGTGCTTGGATTTCAGAGAGTGCCTTTGTTCTCATCGTTGGTTCATGAGCGCTGCAGTTGTCGGTCTGAGTGAGTCCAGGAGAGTTTCGCGCTTTGAGTCTGAGGGAGACAAGAGTCCGTGTACAAAAATGGCAACTTTGTTCGTTTTCCCCTTCTTGGTGGGCCCCCTTTTGGGGTGCCCACGTCCGTCTGCGCGTCTCTGCATAGCCGGTCGTTTGGCGGTGGCGAAGGTGTGGCGGCCCCACCCGGTAGTGGGCCTCCACCTCCTCCTGTCGCCCGGATTCAGCAGCGGTTCTCTGGGTTCTCCGGGCCGACGGCGATGCGTCGTGCGGGGGAAGGTTGAGTTGGAGGCCAGACACGGGGTAGGCCACTCGACTTCTCCTCCGCCTTTTGCCAAAGGGCTACGTTTGGGTGGATAACGGAACAGCAGGATCGCGTCGAAAAGGACGCGCCGGGCGCCCACTTTTCTTTTTGGAACATGTTCTTCGCTTGTGCTAGAGAGTCGCTGGCAGGTTTTTTTTTTGTCGTGGTGAACTTTCTGTACTGACTCCACCCGCGCAGAAAATTATTGAAACCTCCGCCCTCGGATTGTAACGCGCGGCTCCGATCGGCTTCCACAGTAGAAAATAAAATGTCGGTGCAGGAGCGCGAGTACTCACAAACTCCTTTAGTGGTAGTTGCTAAACAAAGATCCTCCTGTGTCCTGCTGTGTCAGGCTGTGGGAGATCTATGTGGTAGATAATGTGATTCCATATCCTCGGTTTATTTCGGTTTGTCGTACAAAAGAGACTTATGCCAGGTCGTCCTTCTCATTGAAAAGTCAGGCAGTTATCATACAAAAAGCGATCGCATAGCTGACACTTTCTTGCAGAAGATACAACTCCGCGCAGCGGCCCCGGCCCAGATTTGTTCTGCACAGGAGCAGCTTCTTTCAACTTAACGGAGGTTTTCTTGCTATTTAGGCATTTTATCAAATTTTGCCGCTTTCTTTTTTCCGTCAGCTTTCAAGATGTCAGAGCCCAGTAGTTCCTCCTCTGCGAAGCAATTCGTGACCAGCACCTATGACGAAACGGGCAGCGTGGTCACGATCACATTGAAAAAGGAGCCGGTGAATTCGATGTCGTTGAACTTGTGGAAGCAGTTACACGAAGCCGTTGCCGCGGCGAACGCGAGCCCCAAGGTTCGAGCCATACTCTTCCAGAGCGGACTCACGAAAAATGTAAGAAGATGCTATAATTCGGCCATTTTTCATCTCCACCATTAAATTTGAAACAAACAGCACCCTCAACATAGCTTGAGAAAAGAAGTCTCAACGATGCAGACGCAGTACATTTTTAGAAGAAGTGAAGACATTGACATCTCTCATCACACACAGGTTTTCACCGCGGGTCTGGAGCTAAAGGAGCTCTATCCGCCGACTACGACGCAAGAGCGGCACGCGGACTTTTGGCAAACGCTGACCAAGACGCTCGCCATGGTGTACGGCAGTCCGAAGGCCACCATTGCGTTGATCAACGGCGCCTGTCCGGCGGGCGGCTGCGGCTTGAGTCTCTGCTGCGACCTGCGGATAATCACCGAGGACGGGTCCATGGGGCTTAACGAGGTGCAAATCGGCTTGTTGGTTCCGGAATACTGGGCTAAACTGATGGTGAAGGTGATTGGTAACCGGAACGCGGAGCGGGTGCTCACGCCCGGGCTGATGTGCAAAGTGCCCGAGTTGAAGGCGCTGGGAATGATCGATCAGGTGGTCCCAAAACGGGAAGACCTACTCCCAGCAGCGATGAAGGAGCTGCAGAAGAACTTTCTGAAACTTCCGCCAACAGGGTACGAACTATTTACATTTTGCACGTACATGGTAGTTCATTGGATCACGTTGATGAATATATAAGGATCCATCGATTTGTCGTAGTTCGGTTTGAGTTTGTACGATGAATCAACGCCTTGCTTCTGCACACTGCAGGTTCCGTCAACAAAAAGAGTTTTTCCGGCAGGAATTTGCGAAGGAGTGGGCCGACAACGCAAAACGGGAGGGTGATGTTGTGTGGGCATGTATCAACGAGAAACAGACCATGAAAATTCTGGGTATGGTCATGCAGAAACTCAGCGGTGGAAAGCCAGTTGCAAAACTGTGAGGATAGCGTCAAGCAGGAGTTCCTCTTGCTTCGCCGGAAGTTCTTGAAACTGTAGAGTGGAAATGTGTTGGCATGATTTTTTTTCGAAAGTCTTCGAAAATTGCAATTGCATCACATTTTCTTGCCGTAGACCACGGTTCATTTAGATCGCACACGGTCTTGTACGCGATGTCAAAAAGAAGAAACGCACACGCAAAATAACAAGAAGACACGCAAAGCATATTGTTGCAGTTGCTACCCTGCTGTGGTCTCATCAAATTGTTCCTACCTTTGCAATGTCACATCAACTCACCATCTTCATCTGTTTCTTTGGGTACGGATTTTCTGTTTATTCCTGAGCTTGCCGCGATTCGCTCGCGAGATCGGTTGGCTGCAAATTGCGATCATGCAAACTGCGATCACCACGTCAACGTCTCGAAGAAAGTCATCGATTGCAATGAAACGTATTTGATACTTGAAAGTCCGTCTGGCAAATGATTGATCTGATCACGACGCTCCTCTTGATTTTGGTTTGACTGCCCCTGCTACCGTTTTGTCTGCTGCTTTTCAAAAAATTCCAATCAGTTTTACGGTGTCCCATCGTTTCTTTGCGCGGCCGCGGTCTGTGTTTTGTCAATCAAAAGATCTAAACGGAGGATCAAGCGCCTGACTGCGCCGGAATGCTCATCGAGATCGCATGGCTCCCACCATCGTTCTGTAGTTTCTTTGCACGTCGACTCTGATTTTCTTTGGTGACCTTTTTGTGGTTTTATGGGAACCAAACTTCGCGTACAACGCTGTTAAGGCATGGAAATAAAATAAAGGATCGGATCCATTTTCTTTTTCAGGACAACAAGATGGCAACCTCATGGCATATTTTTCCGGTACTACAGGCTGTAGTATTACTTTTACGGGCGACTACTACCCTGTTCGCCCGAACGGCCATCCCCGCAGCCGCAGTGAACCCACACGACCACACGACGACCCCGGGCCGACTCCAGAGCGTCTGCGCATCGGTATTCGGTGCGAACGCACGCGCAGTGTGCGACGTGAAGGTTGCGACCGACTTTTTCCACCAGAAGCACGAACTCTACACCGGCGAAAAGCAGGTGAATGTCGGCGAAAGGGTACGGAAGCTTTTTAGGGACGAGACAGGCATAGCGGTAGAAGATAACGCAGCCTTCAAGAAGGAACAGAAAGGTCATGCAGATCCTTTTTTAACATCAACATCAACAAGCCTTGCCTTTCGTGTGCGGGAACATCTCCGGCTGCGCTGGCGACTGGATGAGCCGGAGTTTTTTCCAGACGAGAGCACCGCACGAAATAGGCCATTTTACCACGAACAGAACTACCACAAAATGTACCTTCGCAAGTTTCCGAACCCCCTACTGCCAAAATTCGCGCGGGAGTGGCTGGAGCTCAGGCTAGCCAGGTGGTATTACCCGCAGATCATGGAGCGACCGCCCTGGACCGCGGGGGTGGCAACGCCAGACGAAATTGTAGGAGGGGAAAGTGAACATCAGGCACATGATCCTGGAAGTGTAATATCATCAGACAGCCCGAGAAGTACATATGCATCCTCAAAGAGTTCCATTACCCACGCCTTCAACCGGAACAGCAGTCTTGGCCAGGTGCAGTACCTGACGGCACAGCGGGCGGGCTTCTGGCGGCACCCTGCCTGGTGCTTTCGAGATTTGATCATCTGGCTAGACAATCGACCGCACTTGCTGTGGGCGTTTGGAACGAGGAATTATAAAGCGGGGGCGGGCGGAGGGAAAAAAGCAGATGCAGACCCGTCTTCCTTTAATAGCCCCGAGCAACAATTTTCCGCTGACGCGATGACGACGGCAGCTGCTAGTAAAATACAAATCGTGAACGCGGAGCGGCGGTGCCGGGCACAAATGGGCCAGTTTTACCGAGCAACGGCGACTTCTAGAATGAGGCCTGAAGTTGATGTTGATGGGCAACAACTGCCGGACGGTCACAGCACTAGTACTACCCATGATCCGCCCTCTACATTTCACTTTTTCTTCTGCGTCCCCCTGTCGTGCGAGCGCGAGGTGGTCGCACGCGAGGTCGCCCCGTTTGCTATCAGAATGAAAAATCCCCCCTCCCCATATCAAAACGAAGTTTCTGATGCTGGATTTGCGTACACAAATCAGATTTGTCTTGCTGGCGAGGACTGCAGGCCCATACTGAGCCTGATTAGACAGGTTTTGGCCTAGGCACTTAGCATGACAGGCGTCTACGCTGTAGCTAAAACAGCATGACAAACCGCCTGGAGAATGCGGCGGAGCCTGTGGAGTTGCCTTCATGCAACACGGAGACGATTTGTGACCTCAAATCAGCAACACAAATTTTCGGCATCATACCTTTTCAATATGGGGAGGGGGGATTTTTCCTTTCGATATTTGCCCTCGAGTACCAACTGTATCGCGAACTCTTCGTCGAGCCGGCGGCTGCGCGGTCTTCGGGCTTGTACTTCTATGGAAAATCGCATGCGGAGGACGGCGACAGCGACGAGAAGTCTCAGTCTCCCCCCCTTGAAGGTCGTGGAAATGATGGATCGGAAGGGAAAATAAGCGCCGATCTAGAGAACAAGGCAGTAGAGGAAGAGGAAGAGCGAGATCATCGCACACAAAAGGTTCATGCCACTCTGAATACCACATTCCCACAGCCAGCAGATCTGTTTCCGATAACCGAGATTCCAGTGGAAGAAGTGCATCCGGTGGTGGTGCAGAGTTCCCTCCAAGGCCATCACGACGAAGTCGTTCGAAAGGAACAACTCGCGTCTACTGCTAGTATAAGGCCGTACGAACAGCTGCAGCAGCGCCCCGAGGCGTTTGGAAGAACGATCGCGGCTCCTTCTAACCTTGATGCAGACATTCGTCCGCTGGAGCAGTTTCTCGCCCGCGACCACTTCGGGTATTGCATGCACGTGCCCGCGATTTTTCCGCAGAGGGAAAGTGTGAACGAGCAGGAGCGGGTTGTGCAGACCTTTCTTGCGACGCACGGCACGGACCGGCGTTGGCTACAGGAACAGTTGTTCGGGAACCTGACGGTAGTGCAGGATAGAGGGAAGGACCTTCAGTCTGCTTTCATTTTCAACACGAACTCCTCCTCCAGCGGTTTATCCCTTACAGACGCGTTCTTAAACGCTGTGGAGCAAGAGATGGCAGAGAGTCCGGATTTGGTACGGGACAGCGTCTCGCGGACCATTCCCGGTACCTGGCCGGTGTTGCTGGAAGAGTATCTCCTGCTGCTGCATCGGGCAAAAGGAGGGACAACTGGAAGTAGAACAAGAGCTACAAAATATGATGCGGGCTACAACAGTGGAAAAGAAAAAGATAGACCGTCCGGTTCCGAACCTGGTGCAGATGATGAGACCCGGGAGGTCGTGGTGCAGCAGAATCGACTCGAAACCATCCTTGCCGAGTCTGCCTTCAACCAGAAAGCTTTACGTCAGCTGAACACCTCGGAGTGGATCGCGGCGCCGCGTTGTCGTGGAGCTGACGGTGCGTTCGAGGCATGTTACGAGGATGATTGGACCGTGAAGAGCACCCTGAGGAACGTGAACCTGTTTCACAGGAATATTAAGCTGCCAGACGAAGCCTCTAGAAATTCCGCGGACGCGGCGAAGGCAAGGAACGACACCACGGCGGGAAAGCAAAGTGATCCTTTTGTCGCAACTGCCACAGATGGATCCGACGCAACAAGGGAAGCACCGCGGGAAAACTTTGATGCGCCACCAGAACCAGAAGGTATGATGAAGTTGAAGAATGAACCCCATACCCCTCAGCAAAAGCGCAAGCGGTTCGCGATCGGAATCAACGCACACCTGATGAGCGACCTGTTCAAAGCCTCGATCGACATGGGATCCGCGTCCAAAGCCGCACTCGCCCTGCAGTTTGGCAAGAAGGACGGCGGGCTGCTCGCCTTCTGGCAACAGGCGGGCCTGCGATATTTGCGCGAGTACGGGGTGGATTTTTTCCTGCTCGTTACCAGCCCGAGCCGGCAAGAATTCGAGCTGGATGCGATTTTCTCGAAAACGGATGGCGTGACACGGGAAGAGGAAGAAGTTTTGGCGCAGCTGAAAACGACACAGCAAAAGAACGTCGAAATGGAGGAAGGAAAAGATGTTCATACGCAAGAACATGAAGATGTCGAGACTGTTAAAGTAGACGCGCAATGTGGAACGCCTAAAGAAATTGCTACGTGGTCGACCACTTCTTCGGAGAGAAAAGAGCACGAAACTACCGCAGCCGACCGTCACTTTGGTTCGCTCGCCCGGCTCTTTGCGACAAACGTACTTCCAGAAGAGGACGAGGAAACCGACCCAGTGAAAATTGCGGAGCTTCTGACCGATCCGGACTATGTTCACCCCGAAAAAGTACCAGACCCAGGACGGTATCTCAACCACATCAAGGTGCTTAAACAAAACTTTTTCAGAAACCTCTATTGTCTTCATCTTGTTTATTTCCTCGTAGGTGGACCTTTCATCTCAAATCCCAATCGTGTGTTGATCATGGTACTTTGCAATTGCATCCGACGTTTTTCTAAAAACACATTTTCGGTCTTTTTAGATTACAGTTGATACATATAAAAAAAAAACAACATAATACAGTTACGAAGAAGACTTCTACGCCCCCATGCAGCGTCACTGGGTGCAGAACCGCGTCACAGAGAGCGACGAAGATGCGCCGGACCTCACCCAGCAACTCGCCGAACTGTATAGAGAAGCGGTAAGCCACATCGAGCAAAAGGGGCAAGCGAAGGACCCAAGCAACATCAAAGCTTCTTCGGGAAGAGTAAAAGATGCAGTAGACACGACCAGTACCACTCTCCCCGCGGCACACGCCGATGGAAGTACAGTTCAGCAGAAACCCGCACTCCAACAAGATGTCAGTCCATCGAATTTGCTCCACGCGGCCATAGACTGCGGAAAGACCCCACAGTCTCCGAAGGTCAGGAATCTGTGCCTGTCTCCGAAGTACCCGCTGACCATCCGCCAGTACCAGAAGTTGCGCTCCCTCGGGGTCCACGTGGTGAATTACCCTTTGAAGCGGAAACTGCTACAGCACATGCACAAGTCCCACTGGAGCAGCAAAGTCGCGGACAAGTGGCGATACGGGCTGGCGGCGATGACAAGGTTTGCGCTGCTGGAGCTGGCGGAGGTCGGCCGGTACGACGCGTTCTTCTGTCTGGAGCTTTATCATTTGCAAAAACGACCTCACCTGCACCTGCTCCTCACAGTTGTCATGCAGATTGGCAGTGACAGCGACAGGAACTGAACATGAGCATTTCCATTTGTAATGCGGATTCCCATGAGTGGCATTCCTAGTCGTGTTTTGGAATTTGTAGTGCTGGAAATTATAGGATGAAACAATGGATTTGAGATGCGGCTGTCCTTCTTATTTATGACCTGCACTTCTACTTACACTACGGACTGCAGCAACTTGTGATGCGCGGCGCCCAAAACTTTTAGACTTGTGTTGCGAAATCCCCACCCTGACTCTGGAGTGCTGGGGGAGTTCGTTTGTCCTCAGGATAAACTCGACATGGTGGTCTTCAACCCGTTTCGCGTCTTGCACCTGCTCGCGTACGTGACCGACGGAAGGAAGAGGGCGAGAAATGGACTGTTTTTTGATAGCAGTAGTTCTAGTTGTACTTCGACTTCTAAATTCTGCGATCAGGGCGAGGCCAAGACACTGTCGATGGAAGGAGCGGAAGAACAGACACAAGAACATCCGAAATTCGATAGCGTCTTCTTCACGAACGGGGACTACCATTTCGTTCACGAGGGCTTTCTGATTTTCACGAAGATCAGAACGCCTCCTAAAAGAGAAATCGCTGGTTTCTCTGCCACGTTAGAAGAACAATTGAGCCAGCAGTCCGACGAGATTGAATCTGCCAGGGCTAGAAGTGGTACAACGACCGGGCTGGACCACACAAGTACAGCGGTTCTACCATCATCAACTCGTCGTTTTCAAAATAGAAGAAAGTTCATCGAAAGCCGCTATTTGGTGTTTGAAGAGGACAAAAAAAAAGAAATAAAGCAGTCCCCTGAAGAAGAGGACTCAGAAAAACAAGACCCTAGCGATCATAAGATTCCCCTCCAGAAATCTAACCGGCTGGTCGCTCGAGTAACCACGCAAGCGGCGGAAGAGTTGTCGCCCTTTGCGCGGTATCAAATGTAAAAATGTCTGGGTCTGGAAGAATACGAGATTTGTGATGCAGATTTTCCATGACCCATGAGATCTGGAATGCGAGACCCAGCATGGCAGGCTCTTTGAGGTCTCTATCATGCCTTTCCTCCATGAGAAACTCCCTCTCAACTTGGTCAAAAGCGGACAGATTTTGGTACTCACGCAACACAGATTTTTGCATCATTCAGATTTAGCATGACAAGTTCTAATCTTCGAGACCCAGACATTTTTACATTTGATACGCGGATTCTCCTTTTGTTGGAATATCTGCCCGTGACGGAAACGCAAATCAACGAAAACCGGAATTTCCTGCCCGACAACAGGTCCGTGCCGAAAACGGACCTCCTATCCTGAGTAAAAACGTCCCCACCCCAGAGTTGTCATGCAAATCTGCACGCCAAAAAAGTCTCTCATGCGGAGCCGCATGAAAGCTATTTTCTAGTAGTGTTTTGGAATTTCTGATGCTAGGATCAGCATGACATGCTAGATCTGTGATGCTTCGGAACTAGCTCAACAGGATTACACTACAAGGACAAATTTGTCATGCGAAACAACCAAAGCTGGCTGACTTGTCTAGCAGATTTCCCATCTTAACTCTGGTGTGGGGACATTTTTACTCAGGATATCTCCATAATGGCCTGAACGGGTTTTACGACGAGAACGGGATCGGCGCCGGGCTGCTGTACGTCTTTTTCCGCAGTGACGCCCTTCGCGTTCTGGAGCCGTTTGTGCTCGACCGCTTATCCCACGAAAAATAAAGTGTTTCACTGTAAAAGTATGAACAATTTTCTTTTGCAGGTTTTGCATCACAAGTTTGTAGTTCTACATGACAGACGAGAAAATTTGGCATGCAGTGCTCCTAAGTGAAAACGCAGCTAAAAGTAAAAATCCATTGTCTTGCGTGTGTAGCAAGATAAACACGTGTGAGATGCATTTTCTGCATTGCAAGTTTACGGTGAAACAATTTTTCTTTCTGGCGATACCGTTGCCAGTGGAATTATTACCTGGAAGTGCAGTTTCGCTCGAAGGGTCGAGCGATCAAGGGCGAGCAGCTGTACGCCATCGACGAGAAACACCAAGGGTGGAATGCGAAGAAGCCAGTGGAAGATGGAGCAGACGAAACTGCGTCGATAGCACTAGAGCAGGGGGAGAATGCAATAGAAGTAGACGACAGCGTAATACACCCGTCCCCACGTGGTGCGCACCAACTCGCGGTCTCAAAATTTTACGAACCCTTCCAGAGGGTGACGCAAGACTTGGCAGTAGAGGAACAGAAGTATGTTTTGCTACAGCAAATTCGAAACGGAGTTGTAGGTAAGGGCGAGGAAGTAAGGGGTGCAGAGGATGCAGGGCAAGTAGACGCAAATACTACATGGATGGGCGCTCTGTTCCGAACAACCTCGTTGTTTGAGCAGAACGCTGAAAATCCAAAAGCTGACCAAGAAAAACTCCCTCACGTCGACCCTCCTCTGCAGCCGTTCCCCCATGCCCACCAGCCTTCCGGGTGGTGTCGCACGGCCAGCTTGCGGCCTCTCGTGAATGACCCGGAGTACGGGATGTGCTTGGAGTGGCCAGTGGAAATCCCAGACCACGGCCTGGAGGCCCGGGTCGACCGCTGCGCAGCCTACGAAGGCCCGCCAGTTATCATTCACAAGATGGAGCGCAGTCTGCTGCTCCAGCTGGCCTATTATCAGGAGGAATTCAGACACTGTAGTCACTATGGTGTCATTTGAACTGGAGGTGAAGACCGTGCAGCGCCAGCTGGAAGAAATAAACAGCGCAAAGATAGTAAGTACTAAATTACCTGCAACTGGCATCTAGTTCCGTGTGTACCTCCTAGTGTCATGGCGGAACAGGCCACAATTGTCTGTCGCTGATCGGTGCTCATTTCTAGCATATGGGTGTTCGGAGGACGTGAGTTGCGCATATAAATATGTTTTTCAAGAAAAAACAAATCGTCGAGACGACTGGGACCCACGAACCTATCCCGTGCAGCGTCCCCCCAGAATGAACTCGGTTCGACTTTCTTTCGGTGGGCCCCACTGAGACTTCTCGGTTCGTCCAGCTGCTTGAATGGTGATTCGTAACTAGTACAAGCGCACCGCAGACCGCACGCCTCGGTTTCATGTGATGAATATGACCTTTTCATCCTAATTTCACTTGTACATCGAGGAAGGTAAAATTGACATTCAATACGGAATGATCACTCTTGTAGCTGCTTACCAAAGGAATCAAAAGCAGCTCTTGTAGCTGATAAGGAATCGAAAGCAGCTCGATCACACACGAAAGTCCGTATCCTATGGATGAGAAGGCAAGTCCAAGTTTTGAAAATCCACTTCTTCGTCGAGCAGCTCTCATTACTAGTCAGCGCAGGATAGAACACAAGCACTATATTAGCATGACCCCACACTACACTAAGACGAGCCGCGTCTTCTCCTCTCCCCCCGTACTGACATGGACATCGACACTTGTATGAAAATCTGAACTCTTTGTAGGCAGCACGCACAAATTGATCGCACCTTCGTTTTGTGTACGCTTCACGCACAAGAGCGTTAATTTCCAAACTCCTTGAAGAAACGAGCGAAGCGAAAATGGCGTTATTCTGCCAGCTTCTCTTCCTGACGCTCTTCGCCCAGAGGGTAATCGCGGAAGTGATGGTAACGGGCAACACCTATGGGTCCGGCCAATGCAGCGCCGCCCCACCTGCCCAAGATGCTGGTCTGTGCGTGACGCCGTTCGACTTGCGGCCAGATAACGTGCTGCTGTCGGTTTTGCCGAACCTACAGACGAACACCATTAGGGGAATCACGCCGGGGAAATTACCGAAGAGCGCGACGAGCTTCGGTACAAAAACGGAGGTTTTTATGTAGATGATAAAAACCGGCTTCATTTTTATTACCTAAAATCATTTTTTGTTTCCATTTGATTTGTTCTAAAATGATCTGGTCTACTCCGCACGCGTTCACCAGCGAGGAAGATAAATTACGCGAATTACGATTTTTCCAGGCCCCGAAGTCCGCGCTCCGGTGTACGAGTTTGTGCAGTCCCCCGACCTTGTCAAGGACCCCCTTCCCTTCCGCCTTCTGCTGGTCCGCGAGCTGCTCCACCAAGACGGCCTGTTCGCGCTCGACGGCCCCGAGTCGTCGGCCCGCGACAGCTGGTTTCCCGGCTTCAAGTGGAGCGTGCTGCTGTGCGTGAACGAACAAACCGGGGCCGTGCGGCAACTGGGCTGGAAGTTTACGCCGGTGGTACAACATGTGGCGGGAGGACGAGGAGAAAAAACACACGGTCACCGAAACACGAGCGACCAGTCATTTTACGCCGTTATCGTCGAGCATCTTCCGGAAAGGGAAGATGGTGAGGCGGCTAACAAAATTGCCAGTCCCGTAACGGAAGGCGTACGATTACGAAGCAAAACGGCCGTTGCGTCAGAAGAACAACTGCTGGACCACGAAAAATTTTTGCACCAGGTGCACCCACCAATCTCCGCACTGCAGATTGCGCCGCGGCAGCCCGAAGCCTGGATGTTGGCAGCGTACTCGATGCTCGCGGCCGCGAGTGCCGGAGGGTCGGGTTTGCGATAAAATCATATGTTCGTGGTAGGAGAAACAAAGAAACGCATATATGCAACGGATAAAGAACACACAGACGCGCCTTTTGCTAATCTTTCAAGTTACGAACGCGAATACGAACTCACACTGCGGAAGGTGCGGACTCGTCCTTTAGAACAAGCCACAGAGGGGCGCTCAATGTGGATTTTGTTTTCTGTTTTCGTATTCGTTTTTCCATTCTTGCTTTCTAGTCGTCAGTTTCGCACTCCGAGCTGCATAAGTAGAAGAAAAGATCACTTTCAGGACCAGGATCTGAGGAGGAAGGTTTTTTCCACGGTCACAATGAGGTTCCGTCAACATACGCACGAATTTCCACAGCATTTGATCTTGACGTTGGCACGTCATGTACAGCTTTCGTTTATTTGGTACTCGTATTACAGCTTCAGCTATCAATAATGAAAATGGATGTCGTTCTGTCAATGAAAAGTTAGCCACAGTGGATCAGTATGCATAAGTAGCAGCCGCCTGATGGCGTTTATTTTATTCGCTCCCTGCACGTTCATTGTTTTTGTTTCATTTCGTGTAGAAGCCAAGTACAGCTCTGCTTGGTACCCGCAATTCTAAGCGTTGAATTGATGTAGATGTTCCTGATGAAAAGTTGCTCGTATTGTTCAGATTTTGAAAGAGAATTACGCATGAACCCTTGGCATGCTGTATCATGCTACCGCTCAATATTTTTTCGCTTCAACAATAAATAATGTTCGCACGACGACACAGCCGGAGCTCCTGGGCCCGGGCACAAGAAAAGCCGACCCCGCTGCCACGGGCGTTGCCCCGCGTACTAACGGAGGGATCATGCGTCCTTCGACGGGCAGTAGCCTTTCTCTGCACGACCGCGCTTCTCGCCCACGTAGACCACACGACGACCCTCTGGAGGGCTGTACTGGCGAAGAGCTTTTACGACGTCCTGGAAGTGAACGAGAAGGCGGATGTTTCAGAGATCAAGAAGTCGTACCGAAAGTTGGCGATGAAGTACCACCCAGACAAAAACGACCCCGACGACCAGGCCGCGGCGGAAAAGTTCAAGGAGATCGCGGAGGCCTACGAAATTTTGTCCGATCCGCAGAAGCGAAAGCTGTATGATGACAACGAACTGCACGGTAGTTCTGGACCGAGCCATCATGGGCAGCAGGGCGGACCGGGCGGTCGTCCGGGCGGCTTCCACCACCCCTTCGGAGGGCCGGGCGGGTTTCACTTTCACTTTGGAGGTGGAGGTAAGTAGGTTTTTTTTCGTATATTTTCTAATGTGCATTTTTTGCATAGATTGAGGATGAGCTTCTGAAGGCACGTTGTGCGAGATAAATCGCATCGGTGGTAAAGTGCTCCTGCCCTCTCGTCTACTACTGCTGCTTGATCACGTAGCAGTACCAGGTGGAAAATTACCATGAGCTCCTGCCACATGGCTTTCGTTCCTCTGTGAATATACGACAAACTAAAAAACGTCGTTCTTTTCCCGCAGGCGGTCCCTTTGGCGGGTTCGGCGGTCCCTTTGGCGGGTTCGGCGGGTCGGGCGGCAGCGCGAACGATTTTCCGGGCACCCGCGTGCGTCACATGGGGGAGCTGGACGACAAACTCCACGCGCCGAACAAACTGTTGCTTTTTCACGTCTACGGTGCCTTCCGCCAACTGTATGGGCCCTGGATGCGCAAACTGTTTCCGAAAGACGGCGGTAGTGGTAACGCGAAAAACTTTCTCGAGTTGTTTCACGTGGACATCTTTCGCTCGCAGGACGAAATCACGCAAGACTTGTTGCGGGTCCGGAGGTACCCCGCCCTGGTCTTCTACTACGACAACCGGCGCGTAGAATTTGTCGACTACCAGCTCAGCGGCCAGCAACTGCAGCTGGAGCAGCGCTTGCAGCGGTTTGCCGCGGAGAAGGTCGTGAAGCTCGGGACAGGTGCTGGAGCGGCTGCAACGGGTAGTAGTAGTGCAACTAGAAGTGGTCACGCGACCGCCGGTTCATTTTTCCCAGTACCACAAATCGACTTCCAGCAGGGCGCCACACTGTTCACCGCTGGGGACCTGGAAATGTTGCAGCGGTACCATCCGGGTGGGTCGACGCAACTCCGCTTGGTGTTCGCCCTTCCCCCGCAGCTGAGCCTCTCGCTGCACACTTTCCTAACGGTTAGTAGCACTAGCAAAGATGTAGCTGCACAACCTTCCCCGCCGGGCGGAAAATACGTGGTGCGAACGCTGTTTCCGCCAGGCGTGGACATGGACGCAGTCTACGAAAACCTGCTGCACCCCGTGTTTGCCGCGCTGGGTCTGCTGGCGCTGTTTTCCCCCCGATTTCCCTACCCCTCCGGACGGGAGCACTTCGAGGTGTCGCGGAAGTTGCGCAACCTGAAAAAGAAAAAACCGTACGAAGACGCCGCCGCGCGGCAAGACGCGCTGTCCGCCACGAACCAGGTGTTCGTCTTCGATCCTTTCAGCGCGACCCCCGAGAACGCGGTGGCCGTGGTGCCCTTGGAAACCGAGGCGAACGGCGTGGACTGGGACCTGTCCGGGCTCGGGAAGCGCCTCGGCGCGGTCGTGAAGGAGAGGCCCATCGTGGGCCTCGATGCGGAAAGCGGGAATCTGAAACAGCTCGACGGGGAGCGGTTTTTGGGCATTGCCAGCTCGGTGTTCAACAACTTTCCTTCTAATATTGCGCCAGATAGTACAGGTACACCCTCACCACCGGACCGAGGTGCTCAAGACCACCCGAGCAGCAGTACTAAGACACAAAAACCTCATCAATCCTCCAGCACTACAACGCCCGAGCTAGTTCTCAAGGTGCTGACTGGCGCCTGTCGGAAATTGCGGCGCAGAGAGGTGATCAAGCGTTGCGTCGTGCTCGACGAAGGAGTGTCCGAAGTGGCGAAAACACACACGCTGTTCTCCGTGAAAGCACCTGCAGCTCGTCTTGACGCTGCAAATAGAAGTAACAAGCGTAGTAGAACAAGTACTAGTAGAGGACATCATGCGGCAGAGAGCACGTCCGCGGACGCGTCGTCCAGTCCTGAAACCTTCTCTTCGTGGCAGATAGAGGCGCCGCTACGACCGGGTGCTGGTGAAGACAAAAACAACATGAAAACGAAAGAGCAGATAGACGATAATTATTCCATGAGTTGTGACTTGTCCTTCCTCCTACGGGACGAAGATAATTCGAGCAGGTACTACTCCCGTAATTCTTTTTCGGTGCAACAGCAAATCGACAAGTTGGTCACCGCCTGCACGATGTTCTTTTCCCAGCTCCAATCGGAAGACCTGCAGAGGACGAAGAATGGTGGCCGTGGGGCCACTACCACTTCCACTGCTAGTACCTCCTACTCGTTCCAGCTTCCTCCTCGTGTGCACTCGCTGGAGCCTCCGCCAGCTTTCTACCATCCGAAGTTTTTCTACAATCTCGTGTTCCAACAGGGTACTATCAGCTACTTAATCGAGCTCCTGTTCACAGGCGAATGGGATTTTACAAAATTGTTCGCCTTGTTGCAGGGTCTGGTCCTCTTCCTGCTTTTCCTCGCGCCGTTGTGGCAGAAGGAGCCCGGGCGGCGACTGGGTGGGGAAGGCCAGCAGGACGGGGATCTGCAGCGAGTGCCGACAAGCAGTGGGTCTAGTACAGCTTCGACTTCGCAGGAACAGCGCAGAGACTTTAGTAACACATCCTCTTCTGGATCTGGTGAGATAATAAACAATGCCGGAAGTACTAGAAATAACGACGCCACTTCTACGACAACTGCGAGTCGTGGACGTGGTGTTTCTGGCGACGAGGTAGATCATCGCGGTCTTCGTAATTCCAACGGCCAGGGCTCTGGGTCAAAACCTACTGCGAGCTCGTCCTTCTACGCCGACAATTCTTGCGACCAGCGGCAGACGAACGTGGTTATATCCACAAGTCGAGCCCTGAACGACTTGGTCCTACCTGCCATCGGAACGGGCGATCCGCAAAACCAGCCGCAGATCGTGCTTCTGGCGAGCGGGCTCTTCAAGCGCAAGCACCTGCAGGCAATGCAGAAGGTGCAGTCGAATAGTCGAATCTTGTGTGCAGAATTGGACCCATCCGTCGTGGCGAGGGAAAGGGAGCAGGAGAAGGAAAACCTTGGGATGAACAATCGACAGCAGACTGGAATAAGTAACCGCAACAGCAAACCAGGAGGTAAAAATAGTTCAGCGACCAGTGCAAGAACTTCTTCTATCATCAACGACTTTATTCTCATTTGCGTTCCCAAGAAAAAGCGAAGAAAGAGCGTCATCACTCTAGCTGAACTCGAGAAAACATTGGATCGCATCTGCGACGGCGACTTTCGCGACATGCAAGAATACAGAACAAGCAAAGATCTCTTTTCATAAAGACACCTTGGTGTCGTCACGGTTTGATGTCAATTAAAACGTGTCGCATAATTTCAACTCACGCGAGAACACGAGAGACGTCGGCATAGTGGCTCACTTGATGTCCTCACATGGGACACAAACCTCCCTGTAAGTGAGGGTCGATTTGGATTTTTGTTCATTGCGTTTCGAAAGATTAGTACTTCAGCAAGTTTATTTACCTTGTATGCAGTAGCCACCGACACTCACACACATGTCGCGTCGCCAGAGATGTCGGAAATATTGACAGCTTTTGATATCGTTCGTCGAGCAGTCCTCTCAGTCAAACTTCTTCCCTGCTACATCAAACCACACTAGTTGTAAATTGTATCTTGCCAGTCTGGTGAACGAAAAGCCCGCGAGAGAGGTCGAGATGTTGACAGCAAACGTGTTGTGATTTTTTACCTGTACTACCGAGGACAGTACCTTCGTACTTACGAAAGAGGCTGTGCGATTAATCGGCCCCCTTTTCGATACCGAAAAGGGGGGTAGATACGCAAATCTGAGCGAGCTTACCCCCCTAGGCCCCCCTTTTCGAAATCCGGGGGCTGTTTAGTGCGAAGCCTATCGCGAATCCTAATCCCGACGGCACGGCGTGTCGAGCGCCTTTCTCAGCTTTTCTGAAAACACAGCCACAGCCAGCGCGTTGCTTCGATTGCAAGGCGCACTACAGTGCGCGAAGTAGTCACAACCCCGATGCTAGTAAGGGTCGCGCTTTTATATCGTTCTTCAAATAAAGAAAGCAGACCCAGGCGGTTTTCCACTCGCCAAAAGGGAAGTAAATCAATCGAAGCAGACGTGCTTTCTGTTTCTCAAAATGAAGCCGAGGGCCATTCTTTCCCCAAAAGGGAGACGGCTACCTTTCACGGAGCAGCAGCGCAGCTGCCTCGCAATGAATTATCTACAACTTCTTGACTGCAATCCCGCTTGGTTGTATGCCGCCGATCCACTGCTCGAAAAAAAGAGCAGTAGCTTGGGCGCAGTTTGTAAGTAGATCGTAGGAGCTCGGCAGCTCATTCAAGTAAAACCATGCAGAACTGTTTTGCTTTTATTTGATTTTGAGTGAGCATGTTTTAAGCAGAAGAGGTGCTTCGCAGTACTTCAGGGGGAAGCTTGTAGATCGACTGAGAAGTCACTCTCCTGCACAAACAGACTTGCGGCGCGGTAGATCATGGCGCAACTTCTAATGCAGAACTGCGCGGCCAAGACTGCTCTCGGGCTGTTGAAGCGGGTATCTCAGTAATTGAGATGCCCACATCAACCACTTTGGCGCGCCGGGTGCTTGTAGCGCAGTGCTGCGCTACAAATTACTGCGAAGCCGAAGGCGTTTTTTTTTGTAGTTAGCCCACTTTTTAACCCTCTGCACACTACCCCGCGCAGGATGGGTAATGGCGATGGTTGTTGTCGCGGCAAAGCGCTCTTTCCTTTTCCGGCATACTTTATTCCAAGTCGCAAGCCCCTTTGCTTCTTATTCAGCTTGAAGGCGGAAGAAGGGCCAACAAACCTCGCGCACCATGCTCGGCCCCAGTGCAGGCGGAGAGGCAGAGCCGACGACGATAATAAACCGGGCTCGATCTTCATCTGTCCTGCAGATGATCATGGTTTGCTGCACCGCGCCGGCGGATTGTAACCACGTATGCGCCATGCGTTCCGCTGCGTGGCGCGTGTATTTATTTAGCGCGCGCGCCGAAGTTTTTTTACTTTTGTATGCATATCGCGACGCGCGCGCGCGCAGCGCGCGCCCCAAAAAAAAATTGCGTTGTGTGCTTGTTCCTCTGCTAACCACACCCCAGAAACCGCAATAGAGGGGCTATACGCTGATAAAGCCGAGGATTTTGTGATTTTTTACCTGTACTACCGAGGACAGTACCTTCGTACTTACGAAAAACGATTCTACTCCTAGCATACTTACTCGGATCGGCGACTTCATCGTAGCCACGACGTGTTGTATCATTGTCGAATCGTACCAAAATCTGTTGAGGCAGCGCAACTGGTGCATCAAATAGAAATGTTTAAGTACATTATAACCTTGAATAGTCACAACAAACCAGCAGCCGCTGCCACCTAGTACGGTGGCTACGCAATTTCGCGAACAACAAGATGTAGACGTAGTGTGAGAAAATAAAGGCACGTCGTGGTCGTGTGTGAAAATGGACGAAGAGCTCGAGGAATTGCGTTCTCCACCTCCGGTGGTCGACGACGACAAGGATGTTGGCTTTGAGGAGAAAGAAAATACGGCGCGCCCCGCTGCCGCCGCTGGAGGTAAGGAACCTGCTGCAGCAGTAGGACAAACAGGAGATGAAGCTGTGTCGGCGAACAATGCTGAAGACGTTGCGATGGAAGAGGAGGGCAACAAGAGCGTAAAGATCGTCGACGACAACAACGATTTGCCGCGAAAACCGCTCACTGTATGGGATTACCCAACCCCCTGCTCTCCCTCACTTGTCATGGAAAATGCCAAGTCCAAGTGCTGCCTTGTGGCCCCTGTTGCATTTTTCCAGATGATTCATCCGGAAGCCCAAACAGACCTACTACACTAAGCGCATTAATTCATAGTGTGGGTGCGCAGACTCCTGGTCCTTCTCCTTGTGTGCTGGAGCTGGCGCTTGTACTGCTGTTCATGCCATACCAACGAGGGGAAAAGGGGGGAGTTGTGCACTTTCATACACCACCCTGGCGGAGCTGAGACACTTCGTGTCGAGTAGCAACTTGAGGAAAGTTCTCGCCAAGCTCCGCACTATCGGTACAACTCAACTCACACAGGGTGTGCACTTTGATGTAGTTGTGATTCTTTGTTTTGTTCATGATTTAGCGTACTTGTTAAATTTCTCCTGTAGCAGCTGTCGTGATCTTCTCTGCTCTCTAATTGTCTCTTGGTCGTCTCGGGGGAGCAGTAACAGGGCGAATTTTGGAGCCACAGTTCTTTCATATATCATAAAGCAACGAACTACACTCTTGCAAGAAGAAAATAGATATCTAATGACATATCAGATGAGAAGAACGAGCTCTGGAAGGAGGTGAGAGCGGTGTCGGAGAAAACCTTTGAGAAGGGCCATACGCATCTTAGCAGGAACGCCGAAATGGCTGTGGCGGATACGACAGTGCTGTTAGTCGGTATGCCTCGCAAGGGAATATGTCGTCTGGGGTCTTTGAAAAGTTGTGATGCTACAAAATAAGCATCCACGCGATCATATCAATGATACGCAACCCGTTTATTTATGGGGCCGCGCATAGCATAGCAAGAAGTCTCTGAGCTGCTATTACTTAATTTCTAGTATTTAACCGCATGACGAGAAATCCTCTCCTTTTTCCATGAAAACGAGCAAGTAGCTCATCTGTAGCCGCGCAAGAAGCATGACAAACTCTTCTGCTTTGTCGGCCCAGCATCTTCACAGGTGGTTTCTTTACATTCTTCCAGACCCTCCAGACATGTTTGCAGTGGATATTCGGCGAGGACGAGGCTGAAAGCAAGAAAATTTTAGCCGTGATGCAAGATGTGGTGAAGCTCTTTACGGAATATGCCCTCACCTGCATGGGGACCACCGCCTCCAAAGCTGCTGCAGAGGTACTACCAATTTTCAAACATGATGCGACAAGGCGCTTCAACATCTTCCAGGATTATTGCAAGAAATTATGCTACTAGTAGGTGGAGCAATCATATAACTTCCACGCCTGAGAAAGAAAATGAAGAGAATGATTTGCGACGCTGCGACGTGCTGCAGGTAAGTATTGTAAGTAGAAGTTGCCAGCAGTAGTGTAGGCTTCAGGTCGGTAGTGCAACTCGCGCTCGCATTTCTAAGAGTCGCTGTCGTGTCGTTCTCAGTCAGAATCAGCCCCTCAATGTCGATGACCTGCATTCATATTACGTAATCACGCGCATCATGAGCAGCTGCAGTCCTCGCTGCGTGAGAAATGAAACAAGCAACTTCCGTGCCGAAAACAATCGAAAAATGTTCAGGCGAAGAATGAGGAGCAGAACGAAAACGACTTGGACAACATGGAGACTGACGACAATGTGTTTAAGAAGGAAGAAGAACAAGAGCCGTCTTCTCTAATACCACAAATGAGGAAGAAGGAAAACAAGCCGAGCGCGGCGCAGAACGAGGCAGAGATTCCGCCCCAGTTAATGCACATGCTTAACGTGCTGCAGTCGTGCCTGGACTATGAATTGCAAATATGTCTGGGTCTGGAAGGATGCAAGGTTTATCATTCTTGTCTGGCATGACAGAAAAGCTTTACTTGTGATATGTGTCCAAGGTGAAGTAGAAGAGACCGTTTTGCTTGTTATGCAAAAACGCAGCTTGTAATGCGTAAATAAACGCAACACGACTACAGCTGCGCGCATATTTTTCTCATGCTCTGCTGTGCATATACAGGGTAAGCGTCTTGAGCTTGACTGTTCACGACTCAGCATTAAAAGAGTCCAGACCCAGACATATTTGCAATGCATATGCTCCCGAGGCACCCGCTGGGGAAAACTGGGAAGCAGCAGTTGGCCGCGGGGTTCGAGCGGGTGGTCAAGATGAACCACCGGGTGGCCTTCATCGTGCACGGCACCCTCGCAGTTTACCTCTGCGAAGAGGCGATCGCCGACCGCGCCACCCAGAAGAGCGTGGAGCAGCTCTGGGGCGTCCGGGCAATGTTCCAGGAGTTTGACTGGGATGACCTATGATCGCGAGAAAAAACTGTCTCCGTCTTGACTTTTACTTTAAGTATGCGGAACTTGTTCTTTGTTGACACAGTTTTTTTTTGTCATGCTCGCGGACATGCAAGAAAAGGGCACTTGTTCATACGTGTTTACTTCTCTTGCATCTAACGCATGCTGAAGGTGGAGCCTGTGATGCTGAGAGTGCAGAATAAGCCAAGCAAAGGTCGTTGAGTCTTTGAGACGGTTTTGTTTTCTGACGATACGGTCCCAGCACGAAACACATGAAGGACTGCATCACCCGCTGCTTCGCCAGCCCGCCCTTCTTCAAGAACGCACACGGCCAGAAGTTTCTCGCCTTCATTCTAGCGCAGCACCATTCCCTGACAAAAGAGGTGTTGTTTTTCATGATGCGGAGGCTTATTTTCGATTTCGTGGCTATACAAATCTTCCTGACCACCTGCATAATGCCATTGCCTCTGTCTACTTTCCTTTCATCGAGATCCCGATTATGCAGCAACCCAGTGCAGACAAATTAGCTTCAGGAAAATGAGGCAGCTCGTGGGCAGTTTCTGGCTCACCGTGGCAGCTAATATGTAAAGACAGTGGCACAGAAGCAGCTTGTGCTACATTGTCTTCCCGGATGAATATCTACTTATTCTATCCGCCTCCGAATATCTACTTATTCTATCCGCCTCCGTGCGCATTGAGTTTTTACAAGAAATGTTTTGAAAACTACCATCCAAAGGTAACCCCGATCCTGCAGAACGTGCTTCCAAGTCAGAACAGCGGGGTGATTCGACAGTTAGGAAAAATTCTGTTCAACGCCTGGGACTTGTCCCGGAGCAGTTGGGAGGGGCCGGAGGGTTCGGGCGACCCGGCCAAGTACGAGCGGAGGCGGCTAGGCAAGGAAAAGACGCGGATGATGCTGGAGGACCGTGTGTCCGACTGGATCCACTGCGCAATCCTCGCACAGCCAGAGGGTGCGAAAAAGGCTTTGCTGCTGCTGAACGAGTTCCACATGCAGATGCACGCCATGCCGGACCTGAAAAGCATGTTAATCCGGCAATACGCCCCAGTTTTGTGGAAGTACCTCGCGGCCGCGAACCCGAAAGTGCGCCTCAACGCCGTCACCGTCCTGGGGAAGGTCTTTCCCCTCGTGCACACCGACAACTATGACACGGCCCACGACGACACCAGGCAGGAATTCAGTACCGATATTACCTTTTTTGTGTTTCTAAAACAAACTACTACAGCAGGAGATGAAAACATTTTTTGTGGATTATGAGGACATAGTGCAATATGAGAATGAAGAAACAGCGAGAAGCGGGAAGATGACTTTATTTTTGTTCTTCAAAACATCTCTCCCACCAGAGCGTCAAGTGCTCGTGATCCAGGACGGAATATTGAGAGGAAAAATCCCCCCTCCTCATATTGAAAAGGTATGTTTCCAAAAATTTGTGTTGCGGATTTGAGGTCACACATCACACCTGTCTTGCAAGAAGACAAGGGCAGAAGCTTCCGCCCCATTATGGAAGCGATTTGTCATGCTGTGAGGCCTAAAGGGGGGCCGTTTGCCATGCTGAACAACTAGACCCGTACGCCCCTACCTAGCCTGGAGATCTGGCCGCCATGCCTCTCGGCAATACAGAGCTGATCTGTGTACACAAATCCAGCGTCAGAAATTCCGTTTTTATATGGCGCGGGGGCTTTTTTCATTTTGATACGGAATTATGGATCCGAACGACGAGGTCCGGATTCGTGGCATCCAGTGCGCTATCAAATGCAAAAATGTCTGGGTCTGGAAACTTGTGATGCTGGGCGGCGTATCATGAGGAGGCCACAAGTGCTGGCGCAGCATGACAGGTTTCTGAGCTTCTAGGTGTTGCCTATTCTGCATGACAAACTGCGTTTCTGCATGACAGAAAAATGCCGCTCTTGGGTAACGTGCATGACAGATTTGGGTGTCATGCCAGACAAGCATGACAAACATGCACTCTTCCAGACCCAGACATTTTTACATTCGATATGCGCCGCCGAGGTGCTTACCGAGTTTTGGACCCTGATTGAGTTCACCGATCGGCAGGCCATGCTCGCGTCGCTCGGGCAGGTGGCCACAGACAAGCGGTTCCCGAAGGTTCGAGACCAGGCGTGCCGCGCCCTGTCCCACCTGATTGAGAAGCTCCCGGCGGGCCCGGGGGGCCACGACGACCTGAAAAACCTGTTGATCTGCGGCAACTTGTGGCACCTGCTGCACGACAAGAGCCCCATGGTTCGGATATCAATCGCAAATTACATCTTCGCTCTGGGTCTGGAAAAATAAAAGTGCAAACTCTGGTCCTCGTACTTGTTAAAACGCCTGGAAATAAAAATCTGTATGAGCAGAAGCAGTCGCATGATCGACAAAATTTCCGTCGTCCAAAAGCGCAACTTTTTGTCATTATGCGTGCTCCTACGGCTCATAGTGGGATGAGAGTCATACAAAACTTGCCATGCAGCTTTGTGTAGTTGCCCTCGTCCCATGTGTTTCAGTCATTCGCAACTCCGCATCAGAAGTTTACTATTCCAGTCCCTGACAAAATGTAAATGTTTGCAATGCATACCGCAGCTCGTTTGCGGATTTCCTCGAGAAGGCGAACCACTATTCCACTTTTCAGCTGGCGGAGGTGATCGATCCGCAACAGATGATGGCCCGAGTCGCGCACGAGTACGCGGAGTTCTACGGGGCGATCGCGGACGAGACGGAAGAGGACGCGCAAAAAGCCAACGCCGCGGTGGGGCGAAAGTTGGCGAACATCATGCGGCCCGCCATCTTCCAGGACCTCAAGGAACAAAACCCGCCGGCGGGAGCGGCCGCCGGAAAAAAGAAGAGGAAGAAAAAAGACAACGTGTTGGACCTGCACGAGGATGGGGACTTGCTGGTACGAAATGCAAAAGCATCGTACTAATAGAAATAGCATTACAAGAAATTTCCCCAGCATTACAAATGCTGAATTGCCTTGAGAAAGAAATTTGTAAGAGTGAGGTAACAAACTAAATCTGGAACTTCGCGGTTGAGTTCTCATCCGACCGGCGGCCGGATGAGAACTCAACCACATCACCGGCGGAACCCGGCCGGCCGGCCCGGTCCTCTTCCCCCGTCCTCAACCGGTCGACCAACTCTTCTCCCCTGTCCGCTCCCGGGCCGCGGCGTTTCATTAGGCAAAAAGCCCCAGCTTTGCCATGCAAAGGCAGCGGAAAGCGCCGACACCCAAAAAGCAGACGTGTGGGCTTTCTATTCTTTCTTTATCTGCGCAGCGTCCAGAATTTCCGTTCCTATTACTATTTCACTCGGCTCGGGTTTCCCGTGCAGCGGTTGTCCGCTCGGGTCCCCCGCTTCCAGCGGTTGTCCGCTCGCTGCCAGCGGTTGCCCGCCTTCAGCGGTTGGCCTCATCCGGCCGGTGGCCGGATGAGAACTCAACCGCGAAGTTCCAGCTTTAGTTTGTTACCTCACTCTAATGCATAAATGCAATTACTACGAGTACGATACTTTTGCACAGGATAGCTGGGTGGAGACAACAACGAGGCAGCGGAGCAGCGGAAGGAGCGCTTCAGAGCCGGCGCGGAGCGGCTCGACACCCTGCTCAAGAAGTTGCCGCTGGCGGTGCTGGGCATCCTGCGATTCGCCAAAGAGATGGACACCCTGCTGCTGATGCAGTTCGTCTGTTACGTGTGGTCGGAACTGTGCGTAAGGTGATGAAAGCAAAAGGCCTGATGCGCGATTGCTGCAGTTAAGTAACTTCCTTCATCGCAGACACAATAATTGCTGCGAGAGAATGCAGAATAATTCTAGGCGACGAATTGCATCGTACGAAAAGTGCATCGACGTCACTAATTACTTTTTGGCCTTGATTGAGTTTGAGTGCCGTTTATTTTTGCGAATTAAATTGTAAGTAACTGTAAGTACAAGTACTTACTTTACCTATGAAAAGCAACTGCTACTCCAACTGCTTTCACCCCTTTCATACCACAGTAAGCCCAGAGAGGTGTCTAGCTACAAAATTGCTGCGGTCGGGATCATGCTACAGCGACAAAAGCTCGGGGCTTCGAACCGTTCCAACCGTGTCGAGTTTATGCGCGAGTGGTTCACGGATGATACGCATCGCAACTCTGAAAATGTCCGAGGGTAGTTTTCTTTACCAAGGAAGTCTTGAGCTCCTCTTGCAAGACCAAGACCATGAGCATGCCCATGAAAATATACAAATATAGAAGAACTAAATGCAGAATCTCTGCAGCGGCGGAAAAGGGATCTTTGTCTTTTTAACTGCTGAATGCCTAATATCAACATGTTTATAGTCTACATTCTCTTGTGCTCACGGTGACGGTAATATCACCCTTTTCTTTGAAGGCTGCATTTTCCTAGGTGACAAGACCCTAAAGACACAGGGTGTAGTTTTTGCATTCGATAAACGAGTCCATACTGCAGCTCCTGACCGACCGAGCAGATCTGACGGAGTACATTCTGGACGCGTTGAAGCACCTGCCGTCGTTGGACAAAGGACCCGTGCGCGAATATGCCGAGAAAAATAATCTCCGCTTCCAACGAAAACGATGAAAACAGCATGAAAGCCTGATTTGAAGATACTATCGTGGTAGGTTCGTTTAGCAGTCGAAAGCAGCAGCGCATGTTCTTAGTTCATGCCTTTAGCATCTCATAAAAAAATCCCTGACCCTTGAGCTTGATGACGATCATGCCTGCATGAGTTGGAAGCAGTTTTCTCTGTGATAGTGAAAAATTTGTGAAGAACTTGAAGTCCAAGCCGTATATGGTCGACGCCGCGCACGCATGGAAAATGGTCGGCCACATGGCAGACCAAATGTGCAAGGACTTTGGTATGAGAATAGATGACTTCTACTATCGTTTGCAGAAGTTTTGCTTGTAATTCCGACTCTTGATTAGGCATATAATAAATGAATAAGTAAGGAGTATTAAAAGGAAACTACCGAAACAACATTCAAGAAACTGACCTCGAAACTTTATCGGTGAACATCAAACTTTCAGATAAAGTGGCGAAGTATTACCAGAAGCTGGCCGGGGGCAGCGCGGACGTGGCGGATCCGGGGCTGACCACGAAAAATATCCACATGTACAACTTGATGGTGAAGAACCCGGTTTGCCGAGGGGAGTTGGTCGAGAAACGTGAGGCCATCATCGAGAAGAGCACCCTGTTCGTGCAGGCGGTCGCGGACCTGCTGCGCACCCAGCAGCCTCTGGAGACCAAAAAAGGGCCACAACACCTTCGTGTCAAAGATGTCGTGGCGCTGCTGCGGACCGCGTTTCGCGTGGCGCTCCGCTGCGACTGGAAAAGCTCCTTCCAGGGGTGCCGATCCCCCGCGCCTATCCTCGCACACGCGCTTCTCGACTGGGCCCGCCCAAAAACTACGGCGAAGAAAGAGTCCGAGGCTGGTGACGTGAACATGGTGAGCAACGGAGAGGAAGGTACAACTTCAGTGCCTCCTTACTTGGGCGTAGAAGATACATTGAGCGAACTGCTCGCTCTCAGAATTTGCGCATGTAGTAACTGTACGTAGCTTCATCGAATATTTTTACACGTAAAAGACTTAGCACGAAGCACAAGCGCCAGGCATCAGTCGGGTTTGTTCCTGGTGTCAGTTACTCTACCTGTTTGCAATTTTTTTGCCTAAGTACATCATCCAAAAAAGAAAAAACACGACGACCAGCTGCTCCCCCAGTTGTAGACGGTGGGTTCGTACTTCCGCCCGATTTGGAGAACCCGCAGGACATGATGCAAATCTGCCGTTTGGTGATTGAGAACCTGGGGCTGACCCACACCTTCTACCCCCAGGCGGACTCGACACTCCCCGCGCTCGCGGTGCAACTGGGCAAGCTGTTGTGGCACCTGTCGTTGCACGGGACGGACCTGGCCGACAACGACCTGGGGAACGACGCGTGGCGGTTCCTCGCACGGTCTTCGCTGAAGATCTTTCGCCCCGGCGCCCAGGGCGCGGCGGACGCGCTGCGCGACCTACTGGGGAAGGTCACCGACGACCTGGTGACAGACGAGGACTTGAAGTCCCTGTGGGCCAGCGTGCTGATGAAGTTCCAGTTTGTCCGCCCCTTTCACCAGTTTTTGGAGCTGGCCGTGGACCCCAGTTGCGCCGAGGAGCAATTCTTTGAGACGATGCACACGGACCCGACGGATATTCAGAACGAGCCCGCGAGCTCCGCGGGCGCCGACGGGGTCATCCTCACCGAGGCCAAGGTGCTAACCGCGGAGGCAGCGCTATGGCGTTCTCAAGCGTTACATTCTCAACTGTTACATGAAGTTTGTAATGCAAAAATGGCAAAAGTGTAAGGGAAAAGGTTGCGCCTTTTGCATTACAGATTTGAAGCAGATTATAATGCTATCTAGCGCGTCCGCGTCGGGAACTTGTGATGCGAAGAAGGCTGGATCGTGTGAAGGGTGATAGTGTTTTTGCATGACAAATCATGTATACAGTTGAGAGTGTAACGCTTGAGAACCCCATACGCGCGGGAGAACCCGGACGGGTTGAAGAGGTTCCAGTGGCACCCGCGCGTGACGGACGCGCTGTACTCGCAGGCCGCGCGGTTCAAGGGGCTGCGTCGCGTGCTGTACTTCGTCGTGCAAGAAGCGGACGGTACGTTGCGCCGCGGCCCCGCGGCGGCCGCCGGGAAAAAGCCGAACAATTTGAAGCTGAACGACGAAGAAGTGGACAAGGAAATGGAAACCTTCTTCGACGTATCACCTGCAAAAATGTCTGGGTCTGGAAGATTCCGAGATTTGGCATGCTGGTCTGGTATGACTCTGAAATCTGTATTGCGTGGCCGCGAAGAGCTCCTCTTGCCTGTCATGCAAAAATGCAGTTTCTCATGCGGAGTACGCAACTCAGAACCACGGGAAAACTTGTCATGCTGGGCTGCGCATTGCAGTGTGCTCACTATACTCTTTCTTGCATCACAAATTTCCAGACCCAGACATATTTGCAATGCATACGACGGGCCAGCGGAGCTCAAGGACGAAGACCTGCTGCCGGAAGGCACCACATCGAACGCGGACAACACCACCAGCAACAAGGAAGCGGTAAACACTCGTAGTATTTTGACCTGGAAGGAACTCCCACTTCTGAATTTGTCTTCTTTTGCACGAGTTCTGAACACACTGAAAAAGCATTCCCTTACTTTCTATTCGAAATCACTAGAATGGCTTCTTGATAGAACAAGTATCACCACTTAGAACCAGACCTTACAGACATCCGCGACACCAACTACAGTTGTCTTCAGCCCCCGGAGGTTTCAGTGGGTTTCTGCAGGAGGATGATGCTATGGACGTCGACGATGCGGACGCCGACGAGAGCCGCGGGCCGGACGGGGTGGGCACGGCACTCTTCAAGCAGCTGGAAACCATGCAGATGGAGCCACCGGCGCCGGGTGGGGCAGCTCCTGCAGGGGAACCTGTACGAGACGAGGACGTCGCGATGGAAGTAGAGGCGGAAAGCAGTAACGCTGACGAGCCAGCACTTCCGCCAGCAGACGTGGACGCGCAGGAGCCCTCCGCCTCTTCCTCTGCGGCGAACAAGAGCAGTGGAGGCGAGGACGGTGCTGCGCGGGCCGGCGGCACCACCAGCGACGACGCGGTTGCCGCGGGCGAGCTAGACGAGGTTGGTGGTTGTTCCACGGAAGGTGCGGCGGCTGTCGGCAGCGCGCAGCAAGGCGGCAGCAGCAGCAGCAGTAGTCCGAGCGGAGGACGAGGAAATATCAAAGCCGGGACGAAAAAAGTACTAGGGCCCGACGACGAGGAAGGGGTGAAAAAGGAAATAAAAACCTCCAGCACGCCCGTGCACGACCCGCCCACGCCGAGGATCGAGCAGGACGGGGTGGATGTGGGCGCAGCCGGGGCAGTGCACGGCGACGCAGCAGACGTACTACAGGGGGAAGAACCTCCTGGCACCACCGGAGCAGCCTCCAAGAAAACCAACAAGTCGGCGGCAAAGACGAAAAAAGCGAAAATATCCTGAGTAAAAACGTACCAACACCAGAGTCAGGATGAGGATTTTGCAACACAAACCTAGGAGTTTTGTGAGTCACGCATGACAAGTTGCGCTCTGCAGTGTAGTGCAGGTTAGCAAGTGCAGCCGCATCACAGATTCATCTGCTCATGCTGTTCACAGCATCACAAATTCCAAAACACGATTGGAAATGGCTCTCATGGGGATGCGCATTACAAGTCTTCCTGTCTTTGCAAATCTGCATTACAACTCTGGTGTGTGTGTGCGCTTCTACTCAGGATAGAAAAGTGCGGTGAGTGGGACCGACGGTGGGGGCGGAGTCGAGAAGGCAAAGAAAAAAACAAGCGTGAAGAAAAAGAAATAGCGGAGATCATTTTCTTGTCCCCATTTTGACGTGCTGTTGTGCCTCCTGATGCACGAGCTTTTTTTCATTACGGTTTTATTCAATGAATTAGTGCAATACCAACAGAAAACAAACACAACGTCGCTTTTATATATACAACTTTACTACAGAAAATTCTTCTCATGAAGAGAAGTGACTACGAAAGAAGAAGTTTTTACACTTTCTTTCTGAATTACATAGACTTGATGAACTGAATATGGCGTTCTCAACTGTTACATTCTCAACTGTTACATGATTTGTCATGCAAATTCACCACCAAGATCGCCACGATTAAGCTGTTTCGCATGACAAATATCCGAAGGGCTAGACAGCATGCAAATCTGTGCCAAATCTGTAATGCAAAAGGCGCAATCTTGTCCCTTTCACTTTCGCCGTTCTTGCATTACAAATTCATGTAACAGTTGAGAATGTAACATTTGAGAACGCCATACTGAAATACGCACCGGTAGACTTTCGTCACCGAGCCGGGGTCGTGGCGCTGTAGTCGCAGAGAGGTCTTCTCCAAAGGTCTAACTATTTCTAAACAGATGAGGAGATCAGCAGATCGAAGAGGATGCGCGCTGCGATGCTGCGATCGCTACACTAGCGCCACCGCCCCCGCTTGATGTCCTATCAACTGGGTAGATTGTTGATATAATTAGCGGACGAACATCAAGCAACAAGGAATAGAACTTGCTATGGAAGACGTTTTATCTTTTCTCGCGAAAGACGAAGAAGAAAAACAAGCCAACTCGAGACCTTTTATTCCTTCTCCTTGAGAAAAGGGAGAAATCTGAACAGGTCGTATGAAGTGGTACTGGCGACACGAATTTTGCTACGCTATCCGAGCAACTACACCCAATTGTTCGAGGCATTGGATGCTACGAAAGAGAATGGAAACGAAAACTCCCTGGCGCAGGAAAGTAGAACGTACGACACGATAAATGAAGAGTAGAGAGACGACGAAACAAGGAATTACGCTACCTAGCCACTCAGTGCGTCGAGTAGAGCTGAGCATGAAGATAAACGCGTGCAGATGAAAACATTGACTCTGGTTTCTATCAACCGTTCATACAAAAACTTGATATTTTCTGCACCATGTTTCACTTTCCTTTGAAGACCACGACAAAAAGAAGATAAAACCACGAACGATCCCAGCGACAATCATTCTTTGAATTTGTCAATAAAAAAGCGCCCGCAATCATGGTTGTAAGCTCTCTGCATCTTACCGAGGCCGAAAAGAGCTTCTTTCACGAGCACGGATTCGTGGTGTTGGATCGAGCGCCGCTGTTACCGGAGAAAGCTCAGATCGAAGCTTTGCAGACCGCCATGGCCGCGTGTTTTCGGGGCGACTTTGACACTGGGCTCTACCCCGACGAGTGGCACTGGCGGGAGGGCATTTCGCGGCCCGACGCCACCCGGGAAATTTGCAACGCGTGGAAGTCCAACGACACGGTCCGGGACGTGGTTCTGGCGGAAGAGGTGGGCGCGCTCGGTGGGCAGCTGTACGCGCATTGGAACACCGCCCGAGTGGGCCAGGATGACTTGGTGTGGAAGCCGCCCCGGTGCGGCGCTGCTGCGGTATATGAATTGCAAAAATGTCTGGGCGTGGAAGATTCCAACTTGTCATGGTAAATCTGAAACATGCGAAAATCTGTGTTGCATGAGTGCCAAAAGCTGCACACTTTTGACCAAGTTGGATAGGCATGGCAGAAACCCAAACCTCGCAGAGTCTGTCATGCTAAGTCCCGCATTCCAGACCTCATGGGTCATGGAAAATCTGCATGACAAGTCTACACTTTTCCAGACCCAGACATTTTTACATTTGATACGGTACTATGAAAGGCATGTTTAGAAGTTAGTACAACAGCGCTAGAGCTAGAGGTAGAAGTAAAAATTTTACGACCTGCTGCTCTTTGTGGTTGTAGTGTGGTGTTGTTTTCCAAGATGAAATCAGGCATGATGTGCTGAACGCGTCTTTCTCCTGCGTGCTTGTGTTATGTACGAGAACGTGGGCTCTATGCATGCTTAAAGTCGCTGGCAAAGCAAACGATCGCCAGCCTGAGCTTGTTCCTTGCTCAATCAAGTTGGCAAGAGTATGCGTCGATCAAAATGATGCAATGAAAATATCGTGCTAAAAAACATGGATGGGAGAACGAGGAGATCAATACATCTCAAACGCTGCCGCGTGAGGGCGAACTAGCTTTGCTCACTACAGTTCAAAAGACAACAAAGCTCGTGTCTTTTATTCGCCGTAGTTCCTGTGATACGCGTGTTGGCGGCCGAAAGTGAATCTGCGGCACCGTATAACTGACGCTGTCCCTACTTAACAGGATAGAATTAGAATTGAACTCGGAGATACAAAAATGATTTTCACAATTCAAAGAAAACATCAAGGGCACGAGCAGCCGCATAGCAGCGCAGAGGCAGAAGTACTTACTAAGCGTTGTTCCATACTCTGGCTACCATGTGGATTCGGACTACATATCCACCCAGTTTGTGGAAGACAGCAAAGGGGCGCGGAGCAACAGCATTACCGTCTGGATCCCGCTCGATGACGCGGACGATATCACACAGAAAAAAGCTGGCAGGGCATATTTGTAATGCAAAAATAGATACGCAAAAAAGAAAAAGTCTGCGCATTTATTTTTGCATTACAGATATGCCCTGCCAGCTTTTTTCTCTGGGATAGACGAGGAGAACGGCGTACTGGAGTTCGTCGCCGGCTTATCGCAAGAAAGAAGTGTCACAGTTACACAGTGTGTTGCAGGCCAAGCAAGACAGACAAGCTCTGTCATGCCGGATATGCATAGGAGCCTCGTTTCATAGGTGTTTTCCCGTAGGATTTCTGCATAATGCAGAGAAATTTGTGTTGCTGAATTCACTACAAATGTGTAACTGTAACACTTTTTTCGTGGAATACGGCTCGCACAAACCTGCGGTCCGGGAGCGGCTGCGTACGTCCACCGACTTCCACGGAGCGGCGGACCAGCACTTCCGGCTCACGGAGCAGCGGCTGGAGCAGGTGCGGGTGGAGCTCGCCGCGGATATAACCCGCTCAGGTGTTACAATCTCAACCGATACAATAGAATATGGACATCTGTGATGCAAGACTGCATGATCTAGCCAATTCTCATAGGATTGCGCGTGACAGGTTCCGGAGCACCAAACCCCACTACAATCAGGCGAAATGTGTACTGCAAAAAGTGGAACACTTTGCGAGTCTGTCATGCTCATCATGCAAGACAAATCTCAGATTCTATTGTAACGTTTGAGATTGTAACGTTTGAGCAGGTCATAGCGGAGGGCCGGCTCGTCGAGTCGTCCCGCCTTCTGGAGATTGTCCGTCCCCGCGTGCTATCATTTGCAAATATGTCTGGGTCTGAAAGATTGCGAGATTTGTCATGCAAATCGTGGACCAGGACAATGGTCTGGAATGCACACAGAAGCATCACAGATTTTGCGAGACCTTCTTGATGCCTACCCTGCGTGAGAAATCGAGCTATTTCGTAGCCAAAGTGGGCAACTTTTGGGGTTCATGCAAGACAATTTTTTTTGCGGTCGGGACTCTGCATGACAAGCTGCGCGACCCGTCCAGACCCAGACATATTTGCAATGTATAGGTGCCGGCGGGTTGCTGCTCGATCCACCACCAGGACACATTGCACGGGTCCCGCGGAAATCAGTCGGACCGGCACCGCCGCGCACTGGTGGTGCACTTGATCGACGGGGCGGTGCGCTTCGTGGACAAGCCCACCTACATCTACGGACGGTACAAGCTGCGAGACTCAAACGAGCTGCGCGAGGAATTCTTTCCCACCACCTGGCGACGCGAGGGTTGAGAATATTAAACTGGTGCGCTTTAATATGGGGTAGTAGAAGAAGTGCCCGAAGGAGCTCGCTGCACCCGCCGAGCCCATGATCCGCAGGGCGAAACAACGAGTTCGGTGCGCATTACTTGTGATATGGTACTACCTATATCGATATCCCGGCTGGCGCGGAACGAAGGAGCGGCTCGTGAAAAGCTCCGGCTACAAACTCCGCTGCAAGCTTGTGGAAACATTGTATACCAGCTCCGGCAACAAGCTCCGCTGTTGCTGTGAAAGTTTTATCCTCAGGTAAGTAGATATGAGCAGTCCGCGACGGTGGCGGCTTTTTTGCTATTGTATTCGTAATGATCTGACAATGCAATCCAGTGCAGACAAGTTTAAACCTCAGGAATTCAATGGCAGAACGAGAGCAGTTTTTAAGCTTGCCTGACAAATAAGTAGTTTTTTGTCTAAGAAGCTTGCGCTGCGTTGGTTTTCGTAATGATGAAGTGGCGACTTCGAGTTCGAATTTGGCTTTGAGAATTTTGCCAGAAACTACCTCGACTGCGTACTTGCATTGCCTGTTGAGAAATTAAATAGTACAGTTTACGCAATCGAAATCGGCTCGCTCTCGCATCGTGGATGTCGGACAGAAAAAGAAATCGAGCTGTAAGTACTCATTTATTGCAGGCATCTATCTACTTTTCCGAGTGACGGTCCGATCGTAACCGTAAGTATCTATCGGCTCGATTTTTATCGTTACTATGGGTGCTATGGGAGGGACAGGGAACGACGATCGCATCGCGTCGCAACTCGCTGCAGATGAAAAGTCGACTTGCACTCGCTCGCACGGTGAAAACGCGACGGAATTACTTTGTGCAACATTTGTTCTTGTTCCTCAAGCCCGCTGAAGCAAGCTGCTAGGACGTAACTGCGCAGAATAAAACGTAGAGACATACATACTCGGGGCATCAAGCGCGAGCGCCGCCAAGCCCCGAGCGAGAGAAGTTTTCGCTGCGCCGCCATAACCACAGCGAGAGAAGTTTTCGATCGCCGCCTTCTTGCCACAATGCCACGAAGCGGCACCCGAGCGCCACACCAGAGAAGTTGATAATAGAGGGCAAGTGGCTTCTCGAAAAGGGTGGTCTACTCTGGGCGGATGGCGCAATTTGCAGCAAGCATTGTCTCGCGGACGTCGAGAAGCTAGTCATCGTCCCCCAAAGCACATCTGCAGAGGAGCTGCAGAACATCGTTGCGAGCAATGCGCTGTTGAAGACGCGCGGTAATTGCATTACTCCGTACGACGAATCAGGTCTCGCAAAATGGGAGAAGAATTTTGCAGATAACCTCGCGAAGATCCCACACCTAGAGGAAGCCGAGCGCCAGCGGCTGCGTGTAAAATGGAAGGAAGTGCAGACCACGAGAGGCGACTAAAAAGACGGCCAAAAAGATGGCTGGTCTTGCTGGGGGAGACGGGAAATTCTTCCAAACCACGAAGAAAGTAATCAATTTTTTATGATTATGATTTAATCACTATGACCTTGGGGTTGAGAAAATGCAAACACCCGATTGTTCGAGGCAAAAAACAAAAAGAATGGACACGAAAATTCCCTGACACAGGAAAGTAGAACGTACGACACGATGAAAAATGAAGAGAGAGAGAGAGAGAGAGAGGATGAAGCAAGGAATTGTGCTACCTAGCCACTCCGTGCGTAGAGTAGAGTAGAGCTGAGCATGAAGATAAACGCGTGCAGATGAAAACATTGACTCTGGTTTCTATCAACCGGCGTTGATAGTACAACAACTTGATATTTTCCGCAACATGTTCTTTCACTTTCCTTTGAAGACCACGACAAAAAGAAGATAAAACCACGATACCCAGCGACAATCATTGTCATTCTTTCAATTTGTCTACAATAAAAAAGCGCCCGCTATCATGGTTGCAAGCCCTCTGCTGCTTACCGAGGCCGAAAAGAGCTTCTTTCACGAGCACGGATTCGTGGTGTTGGATCGAGCGCCGCTGTTACCGGAGAAAGGTCAGTATCAAATGCAAAAGTGTCTGGGTCTGGAAGATTCTGAGACTTGTCATGCACGGTTTGCATGAGCCATGATGTCTGTGATGCATGCCCTAGCGTCACAGGTTTTTTGAGGGATTCTTGATGCCTATTCCGCATGACGAATGCCCTCTCCGCGTAGCAAAAGTCAGAAGTCTTTTGCTGCTCATGCAACACAAATTTTTTAGACATCCAAACGCCTCCAAATGCAGCGCCGCCAACCAACCACAGCGAGAGAAGTTTTCGCTCGCCGCCTTCTCGTCGCTGGGTCGTCTTCAATCGAGACGCGACTGGGCGCACCGTCCACGATCTTCTATACCCCCGTGGTACCTACCATCGACTACCCTTCTCGGAGCCGATATGGACGGTTCGACCGCCGAAATTTGTGCCTGGGTTGGCATTGGCGTTTTCACGACACTCGTATCCACAGTAAATTTTCTGTACGGGCCGTACAACAAAAACAAATGTTGTTCCTGCATGACAGCACTAACCTGCAATCCTTTTTAGCACGACCAGTGTTGCACTCTAAATTGATGAAATTTATTGCCATGCTGCATTTTAGTGATGTACGTGTACGTCTGGTCTACGTGCAGGGGAAATTTGTATTGCATAAGTCGTTGCGGTGCTGTCCCTCGCCTTGTACCGGCTGGGTGGTGATCAGGAGCAGCACACGCTCGCCGCCGTCGACCAGGGTCTTCTCGCCGCCGCTCTGCGCGACCAGCGAGAGACCACGCACCGGCACACCGGAGCAGGTGCTCCTGCGAAAAAGATCACGACCTCGGTGCTAGAACTACAGCCTCGTCCGACGACAACAAGTTCCCGCGGTACTAGTAGCGGGGCCCTAAAGCTGGGGCTATCAAAATGAAAAATCCCCCCTCCCCATACTCAAAGGGCGATTTGCGTAGCATGATTTGCGACCACAAGCCATTTTGTCATGCTAGAAGGGAAGAGATGCGTATTGTAGTGCTAGTGCTAGCTGGAGTTGTAGGAAAGCCTAGCGTCTTTAGCATGACAGAAAGCAACAGGAAACGGGAAACAGCATGACAAATTGCCTACAAACGAGGGAGGAACTGCGTCTCTTGGCCTTCTAGCAATACAAAGAGATTTGTGTTGTACTCAAATACAGCAAGAACACAAACTTCGTTTTCGATATGGGGAGGAGGTATTTTTCCCCACAATAGGGGCCGGCGGCACGCTATTCGAGGCGGCAGCAGCTGCACCACGCGCACGTGGCCGCCGCGCACGCCCAGCGAGCCGTTGCGGACGCGCAACGCGTCAAAAGGCGCCGGCGACGGGCGCAACGGATCCACGCCCGCAAGCACAAACCCGGCTTCTATCTGCAGGGCGGCGCGCGCAAGGAGCGGCGGTCCCTAGTGCCCCTCGCTTCGACCACTACAAGAACTGAGGACGTCGGAAATATCCCCATGGTGGTCGACCTCCAGGATGTATCGCTAAGAGAGGCGAACGGCAGGGGCCGGGAAAAAAAGCAACACGTTGCCGTTGACATGCGGAGCTCAAGTCCAGACGCGAACGCAAGTACAGGCGGACCAGAACAAGTAGCTGTGGCAGTACCACCGAGTACGGACGCTGAGGGCGTCGCTGCTGCACCTGCAGGCTCCTCCACTTCCGCCAATGCTGCGAAGTTGGCGACCGTGGGTGGAATGAAGGCCGGTCTGGGCGAGGGCGCAGATGTGCTAGATTATGCCGGGGAAGAGGCCGGGGAGTATGACGAGGAGGAAGAGTACTACGACGAGGAAGAGGAGTACTACGATATCCTGAGCAAAATCCTCCCCATCTTCCCAGAGTCAAGAGGGGGACTTTGCAAGACAAACAGAGAAGTTTTTTGGAGTCACGCATGACAAGTTGCAGTCCGTAGTGTATTGCAGGTTGGCAAATACTACAGCCGCATTACAAATCCATCTGCTTATTCTAATTTATTACAGCATTACAAATCCCAAAACATCAAAATTGAAAAATCCCTACCACAGGGATGCGCGTCGCAAATGTTCCTGTCATTGCAAACCTGCGTGACACAACTCTATCTATGGTGGGGATGTTTTGCCGCAGGATATAGTACGACGAGGAGGAAGGCGATAGCGACGACTATTACGAGGACGAGGTACAACAAGGACCACCGCTTGTTGTTCCGTCCGCCGGTCCTCCTGCCGCCTCCGGTAGCGCAGCTGCTTCACCGGTCCCAGTGGCTCCACGGTCGGCAGCCGCGGCCGCTGCTGGTGTGGCCAGCGCAGAACAGCGAACGCAGGCGTCGCCACTCCGTGCTGCTACCGAACAAGTCACCTTCTTGAGTGGGCCCCCGCAGTCATCTCCTGCGTACGCAGCCACATCACCAGCAGCGGCGGATAATTACCAGGCGTTTTCTCCTTCGCAAGCGCCTGGAGTGAACTTGCGTCGAGGACGTGGAGAAGAAGGAGAGCAAATGGAGCAACCGGGCGGGGAGATGTACCACGAAGAGGACGATCGTGGCTATGATGACGAAGAACAAGCCGAAAATGATGAAAATTACGACTACGACCAGGACGAAGAGGAAGACCACGACTACGAACACTATGAAAACCAAGAGTTTGACTACGGCGAAGACGAACAAAAGGCGGTGGGACGAGGGCTCCGTGGCTCTGGCTCTGCCCGAATGGACTACGCTCTCGACGAAGGCAGCGACAGTTCCAAGAACTTCCAGGAGGATAGCGCACGCGCGTCCGATGCTGGTTCGTTTGCGGCAGAAGCGCACGAAGCGGCGGAGATGAACGCCAGCGGTTCGGACTTCGCAGTGTCCAACGCTGCGTCCGAGGTGAGCGGAAGTCCGCGGCAAGTCCTCACCGAAAACGAGCACCGGTCGGAGTCGCCAGCCTTTATGAGACTGCACAACACCAACTCATCCTTCGCCTCGTTTGCCATGCATCAATATAGTACCAAGAAGCTCACGTCCACCCGTTGATTGTCTCTTGGCACTGCTTGCGTGTCATCAAGTACTGGAAACCGAACCAGCGCTGGAATCGGGCGGTGCTTTGTCGTGCGAAAGCTGCATACGATTTTTATTTTTGCATTTCCCGGAGCTTGTTGTATTGCTGTGGTTGCCATGAGGGCGAGGGGCAGGGGGAGTTGTTGACTCTCATAGCCTTTCCCGCGGAAACAGACGGCTCCTCGTTCGAAATCCAGCATAGCGACTACCAAAATGAAAAGTGCCCCACCACTAAAAGACTATACCAGTTTGTGTTGCAAACTTCTCTCGTGGAGACTTTTGCGTGAGGAAACGAACAAGAAAGCCAAACCGACGTACTTATTTGGATTCAGCATCTAAAAAGCCAAAAATGCAAGTTCAACTTGAAGTAGACAGACGTCACTTATATATAATGTCGCGGCGCATTCTTGATATTGAAGTACAGACTTTCATCGCTACTCTGGCTTGAAAGTTTGCCACCCTGATGCATGCAAGGTAGCAACTGGTTCCAACATGACTTGGAGCTTTTGCATTTACCCCCCCCACATTTTTTTTTATGGGCTGAGGGCGGTTTCCAATATGATAGCGCCGGTGGTTGGGTATCGGACCACCCCGAAAAAATGGACTCCGACCGGGGGGACAGTGGACTCGACCGAGGCGCGGATCTCCTGGCACAGCGACCCCACGCCGGTAAAAGCCGAACTAGCGGGACGAGTCCGAGCATTGGTGTGGCCAGCGATCCGATGGGCTCGTTCTCGGACGACCACCAGCCAGACCGCTCCCTGTCCCCGCGACTGCAGCGGTCCGTACGACTGGCGGGACGCGACGCGGACGTACACGACGCCACGAAATCTCCAGTGGCTGACGAGATGTTGTTCTTTGGGGCGGGTGAAAGATCCTTATCCGCCTCGGCGGTAGAAAAAAATCACGGTGCACGGCCTGGTATCAACTACTTTCGCGGTCGTGGTGCTGGCGGCGCGTCGTCGATGCTGCAACGGAGCGGGCATCTCTTTGAGTCGAGCAAAGAACAACTCCGCCAAACTGATCTCCCGACTGTACGACCGGAAACCAGAGACGGCGATCGTTTCGTTTTTTCCCGGGACGTTTAAGTAGTTCTAGTTGCTGCCTGGGCTGGGCGGGACGGCCGTCGGTCTTTCCAAAACTTGACATCCGCCTTCGCGCCTTTACCCACCGATTCTCGTACGAGGCGGATTTTTGGGCGTGATGAAAATGATGTTGATGCGCTTCGAAAAGAGTTTGCTTTCTCTCCTGAGTCAATCTCTGGAAATGCTTTCATGTGATGCATGCTGGACCGGCGGTTTTGTGGAAGTGAGCCTGAAGCAAAAATGTGGAACTCTGTGTCTTGCACTGCCCCCCCACGGTTTGTGCGCCCTATCTCAATGTCGCATAAAGCTACTGATTCAATAAAGGTCCATACACCGTGTATGAATGTTGATGTTCATAGCGATTGCATCAGTGATTCTTTCTTCCAACAAAGAGACAGCGAACAAGATGCTGTGATAGCGATCAATGTGAAAAGCGAGCCCGTTCCCGTCGTCAGGTGCATGCCGCGGTAGTTTGTGAGTGAACAAGGGTCGTGAAAAATCTGAACATTGAGCCAATTTGAGTAAGTTTTTCACGTTGAATAAGTATTGGCCCCGTCTCGGGCCACCCTTTCTGTTTTCAACACTTTATCACGTAAGTCTAAGTATTTTATTTGCTTTGGATTGCGTCTCCGTGCAGTTCCACGACCAGTCAGTGACACCCGACGAGCCAAAAGAGAGTGAGAGCCGTTTGTTGTTCTTTGTGATCCTGACAAGCACTCGACTGCAAAATCGCTGTCGCAATTGTGAGAATTGCCGAAAATGTGAATATGTCGTCGCTGTAGTAGTGTAGATCATTCTACGAAATAAAGGAGCATGAGTGCTGCGAGAGGTTTGTTGTGCAATTCATTTTTTCTTTTTTGACTGTGCTCGCCTTTGCCCTTGACGCTTGGCGGAGGTTGCAGCGCTAGCCTACCTGCGAGCACGCGGGCGTACCGTAATAGTGTCGTATATCATGAGCAAAAACGTCCCCATCCCAGAGTCAAGATGCGAAATCTGCTAAACAAATCAATTAGATCTCGATTCGAGCACCATCACAAATTTCAAGATACGCCGAGAAATTGCTTTTCATGGGGATTTGCTTCTCATGAGAGACACTTTAAGCATGTAGATTGGTATGGCAAGAACTCTGGGGCAGGGACGTTTTTTCTCAGGATATCGAACTTGGTTTTTCCCGATTCGCAAACGAGACCGGCCACCCAGTCTGTCAGCAGCCGACCGCTCGGAAGCCACGAGAAGAACTATCCACTACCAACTCTCTGCTGTGCTACTCTAGCCTCGCCGCAACTTCGATCATGCGGGTTGCGCTCTATCACGTTGAAAAAGGTGGTCTCTTTCCCCGTACAAAATAAGACGCACTTACAATCAAAGTTTGACATGCAACGAATGTAGTGAAATGCATGTGTTGTGGCTCCTTTCGTGCGATTGCGCTAGTAGCAGTACAAAAAGCTCTTGCGCTAGTAGCAGTCTAAGAACCTCTATCTCCTACGTTTCCTTGTCACGCGACTAAGCGTGGTCTTCGGGTCTGCTCTGATGAATTGACAAACTTTTGCTGCCAAAAGAGAAAACAAAGCGACTTCATCTTGGGGCGCGCGGGTGCGGAAAGATTCTTGCAGAACGAATCTTACTCCTTAATTGCCAGCGAAGAGGTAGAAGTCAGTGTGCGCACTCATAGTGTCCGCCCGGCACGACATCGACAGGAAAGCGGCACGCTTGCAATGTGATAGATTTATTCCCCTGGCGGTGGCGCACCTATCCGCCGTAACGCCAGTGCTGGGACAGAAGGAGGCACTGCGGGCTGCGTATCAGAAGCAAAAAGCTCATTCTCTGCATCAAACAGTTGTATCTGTTCAACGACTTTTGCATCTATTTCTACGTAAGAAGGGCATCAGGGGATTTTGTGATCATGTGTCATATTAGAGTACCACACTGGCTTAGTTGCAGGACAGCGCAAGAGGCAATGTCAATGAATACTGGCTGCGTGAGCACTTTATCGCGACAAAGCATGTTGTCCACTAGGGTCGTTTTCTTAACAGCGAACATCCGCTGTGGAAAGTGAGTACGTAGTAGGAGGATCTCTCCTGCTTGGTGCCAGTTTATGCGTGGTGGCATTGCAGCCGCGTGCGTCCACTGACTGTTGTCGTTCATGCGTAGCCACCATACGTTATATTTTGTAGACGTACTGCCACTGCGCGAGCGCTAATGAATATTCCGCCCAGCGGCACCAAAATCAATGACACCTCGACGCGTCCACGACGTAGCGTAGTGGTGCGTCTCCACCTGTGTGTATCGATGTCCGCCGTTGTCTACTTCCTTATCCTTTGGCACTTCCTTAGTGAATGGGGGACTCCTCACTACACCAAAGCCGCACTCAGGTGTCTACTTCCTTAGTGAATGGGGGACTTCTCACTACACCAAAGCCGCACTCAGGTGTGTGCGGAGCGGCGGATGCATACAGACCCTCCATCACCAACGTCTGCAAATCCGAATAGGGTAGAACGAGATGGATGTAAGCATGTGCCCTCCATTGCAGCTGGTATCTTTGTCCTAGAGATGTACCTTAATCTTCGCCCATTTAATTGCATGGGGGGATATTTTTTTCTGCGTCACCATGAAAAATGTCTAGAAAAAAAAATCCAATAGAAATTCTCCAAGGCCCCAATAGAAATTCTTCCTATGTATTGCTTGCGATGATCGCAATGCGATCTGAACCACGCAGGGTGGAAGAATTTGCGATAATTGCGTACAAAATGACCATGCACAATTGCGTACAAAGTACCCATTTTTTTACAGCAGAGTCCTGTAGGTGTGTTGACTACACTATGTGTGTTTCGCCGTCTTCGGCGTCGGCGGCGAGGACCCATCTATGGCGTTTCGTTTCCTTTGTCGGGTCGTGTGGGGATGAGCTACTTTTCACTCGGAGGCTGGAGTGGACAAGGCTTCGAACATGATACAGTTAAGGATGCAAGAAGCGTGGCCGTCGAGATAGAATGGCATTCAGAATTTTAATAAGATCTTGATATTGAAGAAATCAAACGATGTTGCATACTCTACCTGTAGTCCTGTTGCATGTACTAGAATGATACACCAACTTATGTCGGACGTTGTGAGGTCCATCATGGATCTGTGCTTTGTAAGAGCCACGTGGTGTATGACCACTTTTGTCCTTGAGCTCAACTCGTCCAGATGTAGTTTCAGCCCTTGGATGAAACGCTTATGTGCAGTTTTCCATCCACCACTTCCACTTCCCTCAGTCACAGTACGATGGTCTCTCGGGTGAAGAGTGAAGCTGTCGTGCGGCTCTTGTGTGTGCTCGGCAGGCAACGCACCACCATGTCATGGTCATGTTCGTGAGCAGCGCGTCTACAGCTGTCAGGTGGTTGTCCGTGTGTGGCTCAATACCATTCTCAAACGCAATTCCACGACTGTTTCGCCTCTATTGTTGGTCGTGCTGCAGCGCAAGGCAAGGGCGTTGACCTTAACGAAGGCGAAGGAGGTCCGCAAGAGCGGTACAATGTCAGTGATGGAATCTCCACAGTCACTGGTTGGGTTGGCACTGGCAAAGGTTCCCGCTGTTTTAAGCAAGCTTCCCCCAGAGGACCTCAGTGACGCGGACTGGGCCGGTGGCATTGTTTACGCCGTATGACACATAAATCCATCCTCAACCAACGATGAGCACCATGATCCACTCCAAAGAGTCACAGACGCGCTTACTCGGGCACCCTTGTGCCGCAATGCAAGCTAGTTGTTTTGAACAAGATAGAAGATGATGACGGAGATCAGTAATACCGTGGCGATTTCGGATGCCCCACATGTGCCGTTGACCGCACTCACGTCGATGCTTACAACTGAATGAGCCCTCTCCAGGGCCCTTGATGCCCGCCAAGGCATACCACACACATAATTACTCCGTCTTTGCATTCCTGAACCGCCTCCCCTAGGTGCTTTGTATTCTCGTCGTGGGTTCTACCTCGTCGCTGGTTAGTTCGCATCTGCACACACCGCAACCATTTCTGCCGCAGAAGGCAAGGCGACGCCACCCGACAACGCACCTCTTGGAGGCATGTGGGAAAGCGTAGGAGCCCACGATATACCCAGCCATGCGTAGTTGTAAATGGGGAAGCTATTGGAAGATCGCCAATATCTATTTTATAGGCTTACAACCGCTCCGTCTTCGGGTTCGCCCCATTTGCGGGATAAAACACGCAGCCAAAAAATATAGCACGATGAAGGGCTGCAAAGGTTGCAGAACTGTTTGCGCGAGCAGGCACTCGCTGCGCGTTTTTTGTATGGCCTAAGCAAGGGAGCGGGAGGGAACGCAAGTCGTTCCTAGCTGCCCACAGAAGGAGAAGCTCGCTAGCGTTTGTTTCACGCTGGCCATGATAAGAGCACGAAGTTGAATAGTCCCCCGCGTTTGCCTTACATGTGCCATTTAGTTCGGCTTCGCCAACTATTGGCGCCGCGAGATGGGTTGCGCTGGCTCTAGCTGTGAAGGCATCTCGGGGGTGTCTCGGCTCAGGATAAACTGCCGAGGGCGTAGCCTTGGGGTCGAGCAAACGACCCGGGGCGCCAGGATCTGCCTCGGGGCATGTGCGTCAGATTTCGCAAGTGGGGCCCATTTGGAAGGTCGCAAGAAGGCTCGCGCGTCAATTTCATTCTGCGGAATGGCCAAAAACGTCCATGTTCCATTGCGGGCGGCCCTTTTGGGTCATTCCGCAAAATATAAATAACTCTAAATGGCGGCCGTTTTGCGAGTTAGTTTTCTAATTGACGCCGCCGACAGTGTCTCGCCAAAAAAGAAAAACCAATGCCGGGCTGCAGATGTTTCTGCGCGTCTTGTCAGTCGGCTGGCCTATCGCGATGCGATACTTATGTTAAAGAGAAGGGCTCTGGTTTGTTGATCTTTTTCCTTTCTTGGGCCCCTTTGTTGTTTGTTGTTGTTCAACCTCGAAAGCGGGAGTTGGCCAAGCGTATTTGGTTTGAGGGAGCGAAGAAGTTTGCTGCTTGCGACGTGGCGGATAGGCCAATTGTAGCGGCAAAAGAACTCGCCCGGCGCTCTACGCGCGAATGACTTGGAGATTTATCTTTGAGGGCTTCGAGGTGAAGCTCAAGCTGCCGAATTTTGAAACCAACGACCAGAGTACATAAGTGCCAACGCCCTTTGTGCGCATGATGCCGAGGGGTGATAAGCTTTTACGGCCGTCTTTGGTGTCTCTTGCGCTCTGGGTGCCGGGCTGGAATAGATGGGCAAAACGAATTTAAAGAAACAAGGAAGACGGCAGCAATAACTATTTACCAGGAATTATTTTCCATGAAGAGGAAATCCGCCCAATGCAACGACGCATGATTTTCACACACTAGCTCCATATTGAACCGGTACGCAAACCACCCTTGGCGGGAACACTATTGGTATCGAAGACGGCTCGACGTATCGAAACCAGGTAGCAGATGACTCCTATGATGCTTCCTACAAAGAAGACACGAGGACACGGCTCGGGATGGGCTGTTTCGCGGAGTATGTAGGGAGTGATGGTGAAACGTATGTCGGATGCGTAAACGGAGGGAGGCGACGCCGGTATGGATACAACACAATGTATCTCAAGTCCCAGACCCCGACCATGAAGGACCGCGTGCGGTTTGTGCTTGCCGTACGCAAGACGTGCAGTCTGGCCGTTCAGATCGAGATGTTTGGCAGACAAGGACCGATCAACGGCGGTCAGATCCAGGATTTTTCGAGCAAGTACGTTAGTAGACGAAGGTCCGCGGAAGAACCAGACTATTGGGACAACTCCTTCTTCATGCACATCAAACGGATTGAGAATGGTCAAACGGCATGTGTGGGGGCAAACGAGTGTGACGCACTCAGCACTGAGGACGAAGATTCCGTGTGTTATCGTGCCCAGGCAACTGGAGGGTTCACTCCCCCCCGTTCGCCGAGCGTCGGGTGCGACGTCACCGACATGAGCAAAGCGTTGGGCGAATCCGACACGGCGTACCCCTTCCGCAAGGAACTAGAAACGGGGAAATACGAGGTGATTATCACCCCACGGGATGACGGAGCCTATTTCAGGAATCTGCGAATCTTGCCCAGCGACGCACCGATGGATATGACCGGAGTCACGACCCGGTGCACCGACAATGAAGTCCGCTTTCAGTTGGACGCCTTCTCGCAGTTTGACTAGAAGCGGTAAAAATCCGGTAATTACCGACTATCCCCACAGTCGTATCTATGCTCGGTGTTACTCTGTGTTGGATCGGTCAAATGTAATGGAGTTGCAGATAGTGTGATCCCCAAATGGAATTTGGTATCATGTGTCATCGTCAGGGTCGTAAGTACTTAAATGGCGCAACTGTAGCAGTGCTTTGTCTAAGATGCTCATACAACAAGTACAGAAGTCGTGCTAGTGCTCTCTTAGGCATTCATGAATGCATATTGCAAAGGACACTGTACCACGTAGGGGTCGAGGAAGTTTGTATGAGCGACCACAGAGTTTTTCTGTCCGACGCGCCTCCGTCGTCGTCGTCGATGCTGCTGATGGGGCTCGATTTGTGTGTGGTGATTTTCATATGTTGCAGCTACAGCTCCAATCATGTAGCGGCAATCGCCGCAAACGCAAGAGAAATCCCTTTCGATAGCTCCGGATGTGGTCCGTCCGCCTTTTTCAAGTGTCGTGTACGGTCCTCATTTTTTACCGGTTTTATGATCATGATGCAGTAGGGGTGCAGGCTCTTCGGCGTGCCACCAGATATGCGACCTATGCACCTTCCGATCTGTAACGAAGATACTTGTCGAAAATTCGGAGAGCATGTCGGAAGAAGTATTTTCTATCGCAGGCATTAGCAGTCGTAGTGTTGAGTGTCGCACCAGATACGGCCGCAGACATTTGTAGAGGTGGGCGACCGCAACTAATGGTAATCTGAGGCTTTGTAGTACAACTCGAACTTTCTTCAGCCGAAACTGTTTGTGAGGTAGCCTAAGCATAGTGTATGGCCTTGATCAATTTCCCGCCACCTTGGGTGCGCGACTCCCGATCCAAGACCGAAGACCGTTCGACCAGCGCGGAAGTGCGCGCCTTGTTTTTCCATCCTCATGCAAGCATTATTTCACACATGTCCAGGGTACGAAATGGAGGGGAGGGTGTGGGACACATGTATTTGTCCTCCACCAAAATGCTAAAAGTAAAAGTAAAGGGTCAATCACTTGCAGCAACGTGGTGAAACTGGCATAAATTTTACTCTGCAGTCGCACACCCGCGTCGGCACATATCTGCGGGGAGCTTCCTCGCGAATGAACCAGCACAAATTACCAGCAAGATATGAAAACATTGGAGAAGGCCATATTATACTTACGTTGTTACAGTTTCGTTTTTTTAGATATGTTGATTGATTTGGAATTTACATTTTCGTAGAAAGACACACGACCGCGTATAAAAGTTGTCGCAGCCTTTTAGCAAATCAAAGAAAGGTATTGAAGATAACCGTGATTGAAATTATCGCCACTGAAGCAGAAGCTCGCGCAAATGCGGAGATGATAATTTTTTGAATCACAGTTTCATACATGTTTTTTTATGGAAATTTCCAAGCGACGAGAAAGGGGTCTTCCCGCTGCTCTGTGATGTTCTCTTGGGTCGTTCCGGGGTGTTCGTTTTTCGTTGTATGGTTGCTTGTTTAGCCTGACGACAGCCAAGATGAAGTTTATGCTCCCGATGGTCATGGATGAATGCAGTCCAGTTTTTTCTTGTATTGGTTCCTCTTCCTTGTCTATGTCCGTTTGAACAGATATTTTCATCGTAAAAAATTGCATGTGTCACACCTGGTCCAAGATTAAGCCGAAGGCGTTCAGTTAGGTCCTCCTCACAGGTGACATTTGTTGTTTCGCCTCTGAAGGCATAAGAAAAATAAAAATGCGTTCGTCTTTGTTGTCGTTGTGCTTGGCGGTGCTGTCCGTGTCGCTGCTCGGAGTGGAAGGTACGTATAGCAATTCTATCTTATCAGCTTTATTTAATTCGCGGATGCGCACCAGTTGTTCATAGTGCGAAGCTGCTGAAAGAAGGACCGAATTAAAGCCTCCCAGATAAAGAAATTTAAAGATAAAGCAGATTGAAAAGAAAACAGTATATTTCGTGGAAGAGGAAGACGCACATGCCAAGGAACAGACCGCAAAGGAAAAGAACACAGGCCAGTGACGTCAAAATTTTTTAGATTGTGGAAGAAGAACCTGTGACGAAGAGGGCACTAGTATCGGGCGAACACTGAGCCGCGACTCTGATGCATGTCTTCGCTTGACGAGGGTCAGTCTCAATTTCTCGAATATGCGCTACGGCCGAGGCCTAGCACGGTCAGAACTTCCCTAGTACTTTCGGATGAAGCGGAGCGCACATGGATGAAATAAAATTTTTTGGATTCTAACACAAAAATCAAAACAGCGCTGCAGCTGAAAACCCGGGTGCAGAAGTATGTGCCGAATTGTTTTTGTCATACTGCTTCTCGAACATGCAGACACGAAATTGTGGTTTTTTCATCCTCTGCAACAGCTATCCAATCTCGTGGACGAGATTCTTCTTTGCAGTCACGGGCATAATTTTTGATGCAGCAAAAAATGATCTACGTTTAGAATGACATTTTTGATGCGATTTCCAGAAGTAGTCGCTTGCCGCGAAGCACAAACGAGAGAACGATTTCACATGCATACCTGGGCGAAGTACGAACCGGACTACGAGAACGCGGACGCGTATGGAAATACTTCAGCGCGTCATCAGGAATGGGATTTCCGAGAGTGTGCCACTGTAAGTACAAGAGCAAGCGTTGCGATAAAAGCAATCCCCTTGCTGAGGAAAAGGTAAAATTGATCGCGATGATGGAGTGATTAATCGTGATGAATTACTACGTGCGGGTTTTCAGACGAGAGTTCATTTGTGTCTTGCATGTTGAGTGTTTAGATCAACCAGTCCAACCGAGACGCAGCTTTTTCGTTGCATTGTATCAGACAAAAACACGCTGGCCAAGCTGATTTGTCATGATGGTGTCTGGTACAACGTATTTGGACTTAGTGCACACAGAAAAAACATACCGAAAAGACAATACGTACATTAGTATTGTCTAGTATTGTCTCTCTGCGTGAGGGGCAGCATCAGTATAAGTACTTCTTTTTTGTTCATCTCCGTGAATGTAGGTATTTTGCTTTTTTCCGTGTCTACCAAGTTTGAAACCTAGTGACATACAAGAAATATGGCGAAGCCAGCGTTTTTTTTGTCCATACGCGACCGCGAGGACCCGGACGGCATCACGGTTGAGGAGGAGGCCCAGCAAGGAGTATGGAATAAATTCTCTCCTCGCCTGTCACGGATGATCGTTGCGTACCAGAAAGTGTACCATTTTGGGGGGCTTTTGCTTGTCAAAAAGATGTTGTGAGATCGTCGTACTCTTACTGAGCTTGCATTGCGGGTCATGTTGGATCTTTTACTACTTACTACACTCGTAGCCCTAAATTGGTTTCGCCTGGTTCCTCTACGTTCCGACTCGAGGAAGGAAATTTAGGTTTTCCATACGCCAGTATGATCGACGAGAGCACCGGTGAGATGGACCTGGACGCCGTCGAGAACGCGGACATGGACCCCGTGGACTTTATTGCAGGGAAAAAGAGTAGTACTCTCCAATGTTGAATTTTTTCCATACTTGCAAATCTAAAAAACCATGAAGAGAAAGAATTCGTGATCTAAAAACATCTCTCAGACGACTGTCGTCTAAATGATTTTTATCACGCATGAGGCGCCCTAAACCAGCCTGGTGCTCGGTTTGCGCAGAGAGAATTTCTTTGCGCACAACTCGGAGTGAGGTTGCGCGTTGTCCTCTTTGTAATGCGGATATGTACTTCTAGTAGGAGTACCACTACCGTACAATTGATGGAATGCAGCGTTAGCAAGATGAACGTTGTGCATGTTCTAGCTGTTTTTCCCGAGGATTTTTTCGAACGTGTACCCGGGGGAGGACTTGGCGCTCGAGGACGCGAATGACGAGGAGAACAACTACCAGCCGGTACCCTGAGTAAAAAACGTCGTCCCTACAACCCCACAGTCAAAGCGGCAAGAATTTTGTACTTCTAAAGAAATCATCGAGTTCTCCTTTTTTTGCGCATGATTAGCAGTTGTTTTAGCGCGGAACGTGCCCGTACCTGGCTACTGCTGTTGTATCACAAATAGGCCAGCTCAGCCTGATTTAAAAACCACATGCTTCTCATGAAGCTGCGCATGAGAAACAATAAACGTATTCAGCATTGCAGATCTGCATGTCATAGGTACTGATTCTCGTACATTTGTGGAAATGGGGACGTTTTTGCACACGACATCTGGGGCATGACCACGTCAACGTCATCCACCACGGACCCATGCGCTACACCAACCGCGACTTGATGAAGTAAGGTGCGAACTGTGTGGTCGGGACGGAAAAGCTGAAATGATGTACACGGACTGTGGCTTCGAGCGTGTAACAGCTTGTTCCGCGAACTCCTTGCTTCATTTAGGATGTTTAAAAAAGTTTGAAACCACGATGAGATAACGAATAGCATGATGGTTTCAACTTGTCGTTATTCTCTAGTGCTGTCGGTCGCTGTTTCGAAGTTTGGATATTTCAAACATGAAAGATTTAGCCCTCTCTTCTTATTTCTACCAGCGTAACCCTGACTTTTTTTCCGAAGATTGTGCGTCGTGCTACGTACTTGTGATACAAGACTATTGTTTCGTGGATTTCAACCGATTCGAAGGAAATATGAAGTATCTAAAGGTCGGGCGCACTGCCCAGTTGCGATGAAGTGTGATCAGTTGGTCTCAACGTCGAGACCCTCCAGCGAGCTGCTTTTCTGCCGTTGCTTGCCATGTGGGCGAAGAAGTTCTGGGGTAACATGTAACTTCATCTCGGTTGCTGGAAAACGGTGATGACGGCTCAAAAATAAAGGTTTTGTGTAGTCGGTCCATTGTCGGTTGCTTCACTGGGTTTTTCTCTATTGTAATCCTGCTGTTGGTGTCTCGTCTGTTGCTGTGACTGCTCTGTTGAACTCAGTGAAGCAGCATTGTTGAAGGGCAAAGTGGTCCGAATAAAAGACGGTGCAAGTAAGTTCGGTGGGCGTGGACAGTGAAAAATCAAAATGGTCGTGTCGACGCGTCTGACGAGGAGAGAAAAAATCAAAGTGCTTCATGAGGAGGAATCTGTGGAGATTCTGCAAAACTCCGTTTAGGTAGATCTCCTGGACAAGGTTCAGGAGAAAAGACGTGTCGATGTTGGTCTTAACATAGGTGCATCCGAAAAACGATACAACCTGAGCTTTTCAGATCTGTCATTTACACAATTAGAACTTTAAAACGCACTCGCACACGTAACAACTACACATAGCCGGTCATCCATTTATTTACCACTGTCGGTGTCGGTTTCGCCCCCGATTTGCAGTTATTGAAGCCACGTCGTTGTGACCAAATTGTGGCGACTAAACAGTCCGCCGTTCTTACATGATGTGGCTCTGGTTGTCACGAGAGGTTCTTGTCTTTGAGTTGTAGTTTTCTGCGTATTTTAATATTTATTGCAAGCTCTTTTGTCGCTGTGGGAAGAGCTGGACGTTCGGCAAAGGGACGCGCACACCAAACCCCACAAATTCTTATCCTGGGAACCAATAAGTAAAATGCCGGACAATTTCGAGTCTCCGCAGCGCCTGCCACCCGGCCTTGGTCTTGAACGGGAGGAGGAGTGCGCGCGCGTGGCCCAACTTTTGGTGGAGTATGGCGGACCCATGAGCATTGCCACACTCCTGGACTCTATCGAGTTGCGCTTCCGGGCGCGCTTCGGCGAGACCATGACCATGTCTCCTTTTGAATTGTTGGCGGACCTGACCAGTAAGAAGCTGGTCTCGCGCTCGGGGGATGCGGTAACCGCAATGCAAAGTCGAAGCGGAGACTTTGTCCTGTTTGTGTCTTGTGTACACACAGTTCTGCAAGAGGCCGAGAAAACGTGCGTGAGCTCCAATGCGATCGCGGATCTGTGGTAACTGGAGGATAGTGTTAGTTGTGTATCTCATCCGTATCTAGAAATGTTTTTCTTTTGCTTTTCGTGTGAAAAGTTTCAATTTGGTCTGCATGGCAGTTCTTGGTGCTTTTGCTGTAAGTCAGTGAGTGTAGTTTCCAGTGGCTTTCCACACCTCGTCCTGAAGGCGGCCGATAGAAATGTGGTGAAAAAAGTTCTTTATTCATTCGAAACAGGGCGCAGTACCAGTCGGACCCCAAGTACGAGCACCGGTTTCCGTTCTTGTCTTCCTTTCTCCGGCGTCACGGCTTCTCGTGTTTGGACACTGCGTTGCAGAATTTGTGCGAGGTGGAGATGGTCAGTAGTGCAAAGATGGCCGATCAAAACGATCGTTCTCCTCACGAAACCGAGCCTGCGCGCGCCATAAACGCTACACCCAGCAAGCGGACCACTACATCCTCCGGCGTGATGAAAATCGCGTACCGACTCGCAACGGATCCGCGTAGCGCTGCAACGGTTTCTGCACGAAGCGACGCTGTTTTACTGAAGGGTGACGAGAAAGTTGTGCCCGCTTCGTCAAATGCATTCGAAACGAGCGACGCACTACAGGGGAATACAACGCCGCCGCAGTTCTTCTCGCCTCCAAGTGTGCAAGAAGAAATAGTAAACTTGTACACGAATGGAACTACTGTCGCACGACTAGGCCGCGAGCGAGATGATCAGGCGTGGTTGCGGCCCGGGGCATCTCAGAAAGCGGCACAAGACTGCTGGGAGCGCCGAGATACGAAATCTGAGCGTCCGGCAATTAGTGCTGCAAAATCTCCAGCATGGTATAGAAAGTTCTATCAATCTTTGGTTTTGGATTTAGAGGTATAGGTATGTGAGTTTCGCAAAAGTTTGTACAAAGGACTCGAAATAAAATCGACGAGTGACGCAAGAGTATGTAGGATGCCATACTTCGAATTTCTGACACGATTGTAGGATTAGTCTGAAGAAATCTCCAAACCTCCTGCGCCCACTTTGATACACGGTAGGTACCAAAGAGAGCTCGCGTCCCCCGCCGACCTAGCTTCCGACCCTGCACACCACACCACGGACGTGCCCGCTGACCTGTTGTCGGATCCTGGTACACTACGGCGCGCATTGGAGATCCTCGCGATCGTCAACAACCAAGTTGCGCCGGCACCTCCGACGGCGTCCACCGCGACCACTGCGTCAATGCAGGGCCGTCTCTGGGAAGAACTATATCAAGCGTCGACTAATAATGCAACTTGGTCAACATCTTTAACAAATGCAAAGCCGGATGATGTTAATTACCACGGAGCGCTGCATCGGAATGGGAATCGCGGTGGCGCGTTTTCACCTCCAACATCTTCGTATTACAACAACTACGGTGGCGGCAAACCTGGTAGTAGTTCATCCTGGAACAACTACAATACCGGTGGGAGGATGAATCGGGGTTTGTCGTGGCAACAGCACCAGTACAACAACAACTTCGGGGCCGCGAAGAATAGTGCGACATCCGCAACATTGGCCACCGAACAAATAATGGCATCTTCTACGAACAAAGACAAACTCCAGTACGCGACTCCGCAGAAGAACAGCTCCGGGCCGGGTGGAAACACGACCTCTAGATGCACTGAGGTTCTTTCTGTCTCAGGTTTGCGGTATCTTTTGGAAAAAAGCTAGCGCAGTGTATCTTGGGAGATGTACAGAACATGAACAAGATTTTGGTTTCGTTCGCATGTCCTCCTTGAATTGATATGTAGGATCCGCTGTGACAGATATGTGCTGGATTTCTCTACTATGGGCTGTTGGTCTTCTGATCTTGTTTTCCAAGTGCAGCTGCAGGTTTTTTCCCACATGATACGCGGAGGACATCCGAGAACGGGTTTCCGGGCGGAAACGAGGAGCTGGCGGATAGGCCGGTTTTCACACCAACGCTGCTCGTACCGCAAGGTGACGTCGCGGAATACGCAACGAAGCTGGCTGTGGTTTCACCGCATAATCTGGCGGAGCAGAATGTTAAAAGCGCTAGTCGTGATAGTCATGATCAAGAAGCGATCGTGAATGAGACGTCCGGTCGTGCCCTCCGGACAGGAGGTTACTCGACCGGTGGCACGACGAATCCAGGGATGCAGCGCCTTGCCATGGAGACGCAGCGCTTCGTCCTGTCCCGCGAGCAGAAATCCTGTACGGTGGATATCAAAGTGGAGTGTGCCTCGCCTCGAACATGAGTATGACAAGTGTGTCCCTCCATACTGTATGTGTTGTGCGCTACATAGCTTTAAGTACTACTTTCGCTGTTATGCATCGCAAATTTGATGCGTTGGTGTTATACAAACATACGAGAGCAGCAGGAGTTGTATCACCTGCGCTTTTACACGTGAGAATTGCACCAGATGAAGGTCTTTTGCGAATGCAAAGAAATATACTCTTCTTGTTTATACCTACACTTCTGGGGCTGCAGGGTCAATCTTCATTTTGATAGGAGAAGAGGCTGCGCGGTATCAAATGCAAAAATGTCTGGGTCTGGAAGGATGTAACAGTAACTTGTGATGCGCATTTCAGAACACACAAGAATCTCTGATGCATAGGCAGCAAAAGCTGCTCACTTTCTGTGACCAACATGAGGGATTTGTCATGCGGATTCGGCATTGCGGAAGCTTCTCGAAACCTGTGATGCTAGAGCTTCCATGCCAGGCCTTCTGTGTCATGCAGAAACAGCATGACTCTTCCAGACCCAGACATTTTTACACTTGATACGCGGGAACCGGGAATCAAAGCGGCTTGGAAAGCGATCGGTCGGGTACCGCTGTGGAAGCTCGTGAAGCAGTTCCCCGCTGACATTCAAGTGCAACAGAAACAGCAGGTACATTTTCATATCTCCACTTAAATACGATATCTTCAGATAGAAACTACAGTGATTTGTTGGATAAGAATTATAGCGAATTCCGGACGTAGTTCTTAGATGCAATAATACCAGAACCGATCGAGTTGTCAATAGTACCTGACGTAAGTTGTAACAGACTCGGAAGTAAGGCAAGTTGTAGAGGCAGTGCTATTGTAAAAATTAAGAGATGAAAATAAATCTATCGTGTTTGCAGGTCGACGGTTCCTGGCGCATTTTTGCTGCGAAAGCCGACTGCGAGGACGAGGAAAAGAGCGGAAGCGAGGGTGGGACGACCAAGAAGCCAGACGCTGGTCACACTTGTGCTGCATCTACTAGCGTAGCCAACCCTGCGGCAGCTGCCGTAGATGCGGAGAATTGAATGCTGGCACAGACGGAGTGGAAGCGGATGCTGCTTGATACGAGGAGAGCCGTCGAGTTTTTGTTTTTTTTTGCGCATTTGCGTTTTGAATGTACTTGTTGCAAACCTGTTTCATAGACGAGTACACGTTTTGATTTTTGATCCATGCTTTCTTCGATCTTTCGAACATTGCAATTTTGACATTTCCTCTCAGGTTTGTTTTGTAGAACAGTATGAATATGTAAAACTTGATCAATTTACAACTAGAACGCGGATATTTGGCTGCGATTTGGTGCGTCGACCATGTCGATGTCGACCTGTTTTCGAAAAACTACCACCACATCCATGTATGTTTCCATCATTGCGTCCGCTTCCGGCGCAGAAATGAAATCGTGGCGTTTACTATGTCATGCTAATTTTTTTTTATCTCTTGCTTGCTTTTTCCAAGGTTGTAAATGTAAAATGCATGAAAACCATCAAGATGACATTTTGGTATGCCTGTTCGCAATGAAACTGAAAAAACTAGTATGAACGTCAGCACAAAAACACGCTTGAAGGTGCTCTCGCTTCTTGTTTGTTTTTGTGTTCCTACTTTACTTAAACAGCACCCGCACGCGGCACCTCATACCTCAACATGAGCAGTGCCTTTCCTGCAAGGGAGGTCGGAACGAGTACTAGCCACCTCACCACGAGTAGTCACTTCAACACGACTAGTCCCTCTGCGAAAAATCGATGATGACTGCGAGAGACGGCGGCACTTGTTGTAGGTCCTGTGAAACAGCATGCGATTTCCCAGCTGTGGGGACATCAACTCTGCTCGCGCCGAGTGATCTACTTATCAGGCCGCGCGAGTATTCTTTGTCGAGCAACATTTTTGTTTCCCATGACCACGGCTTGGAAGAGATATAACTTAAGTAAAGTATTCGGGTTCGTCCTTGTCTGTTCGTTCCTGTTGGTGTAGATATAACAGAAGATGAAGAAGTGGGACATCAGTCTGGACGGTTCAGGGAGCAACAGCGCGAGTACGGATCTGGAGGAAGCACAGCGCTGGGTAGCTGACGTTGGGACGTCGGCGAGCCCGTCCTGCGAGGATGGCGAGGATAATTCACTCTCGGCGCCCTCTCGCGACGCCACTCTCGCGAGTTCACTCTCTGCGAGTCTCGCGGCGCCACTCTCGCTGCCACCGGTGGTTGGCACAACTACAACTACCTCGGGCCCGCGGATCTCAACCGGGCCGGCGCCCGCCATTGGCGTGGACGATTTGCCCGGCGGCAACCCGCTGCGAAAAAGCACCTCCTTCTCAACGGATTGCACTCTGGAGCACTCCGTTCCCGCGATGATATCCCGCCGCGACAGCGTGCAGTCCCTCTGCGAAAAGTCGCGGTCAGTCGTGCCCGATCTTCACAAGCGCGCAGGAGGAGCTACGCAGCACGTGGTGGTAAACGTGCCGGGCGCGGTTGGAGGTGGTGGTGCCAGTAATCTACTTCCGAATGCAGCTTCTACCACCACCGCCGTCGGGGGCGGCGGCGCCGACCCGTCACCGACGGATACCCTGGGTAATTCCAACAAAACCCCGTTTCTGGACCTGGTGCCCGGGCTGGTGATGCACGACTTTTACCACACGCCCGGGGAGGAGGAGGACGCGGACTGGGAGCGGTTTCTAGAGAACCTGCAGGAGTGTGTATATGCCTACGATGCCCTGTATGCATTGTGCAAATTATATGTCTGGGTCTGGAAGGATGGAGCTTGTCATGCAAACTCTCGAAAACACCAGGATCAATCTTTGTTGTATGACTTGCAAAAGATACCCACTTATTTGTGCCAAGCGAAAGGCGTATTTTTCATGAGTGAGAGGCATAGAGATTAGAGAAGGTCCACCCACAAAATGAATCTGTGATGCTTCTGTGTGTATTCCAGACCAGGTGCGTGGTCCGCGAGATGCATGATCGAAATGTTGCGATTATCTTCCAGACCCAGACAACATGCTTTGCATTTGATACCCTGGCGACCCACGATCGGCTGCCCCACTTCGAATCCGAGGGGTTGGACCCGGTGCCGCTGTGGGAGCTGATCCACCGGCTGGAGAAGGACCCGGTGAATGATCCCCAGATCCCGCAGATCACCCCGCAGCTGCTGCACTTCGCCTGGGAAGGTTTGAAGAAGGACCAAAAAACCATCCAGAACGCGTTCCATGGCCGTTTCAAGCACATCCGCGGGGACGCGCCGCTGCCCAAGCTGGGTTACGTGAAGGCGCGGATCGGGCGGGGGGAGCGGGTCACCAACTCGCTGTTCGTGCCGCGGAAGCACCAGGTGTCGACTTCGCAGTTCACGGAAACGCTGAAAACGAAATGGAACCTGCAGAAGCCGAGCATGTACATTAAGCTGGACTTCGGCACTATGGAAGTGTCAGAATCGAAATTGTCAAAATCGAAAAACTTGTGATGCACAAAATCGATGCCAGTTAGACCCACAGTCTGTAGTCGGCGCATGACAAATTCTCCTCGGCCTGGAAGCGAATCTGTCATGCGGTTTAGGGCAAAAGAGCTGCCTTCTGTCATGCTAGTCAGCAGCCCAAAACTTAACCCGTACCAGGACTACAATCCGCCTTCCTTGCATACTCTGCAATAGAGTCGCTTTCTGCATAGCATTTTATGCATTACAGATTATTTCGATTTTGTCGATTTCGATCCTGACACTCCCATAGGCACCAAGCACCCGTGTGCGCTGTCCACGTCGGAGCTGCTGCAGGAGCCGGCTTTCAAATCGATCGTGGAGCAGGCTTCCTTTCAACTGAACAAGAAGGGCGGGGTGATGCGGAAGCGGGGCGGCCCGCAGGACTACATGGCGCTGGAGCGGACAGTATGCATTGCAAATATGTATGGGTCTGGAAACTTGTGATGCTAATTTGCGAATGGTGGGCGCACTGCAATGTGCAGCCCAGCATGACAAGTTTTTTGTGCGGTTGTGTGTTTCGTTTTTCGCATGACAAGCTGCGCTTTTGCATGACAGGCGAGAGGCCCTTTTGCTGCTCATGCATCACTGATTTGAGAGTCATGCCAGACAAACATGACAAACTTGCATTTTCTTCCAGACCCAGACATGTTTTACATTTGATACACCGCGAGCTGCGAGGCGCTGGAGGAGGAGAAGGAGCACGCATTACAGGTGGCGCAAGAGGTGGACGAGGTGCTGTTCAGCCGGTTGGTGAACGTGCTCACGGCGGTGCTGCAGGCGGCCTACATGAGCAACATCTGGGTGGTGGTGGACCGGACCGACTCCACCAAGTCCAGCCCCACGTCCGAGCTGCTGCTCGAGCTGGCGCTGCAGAAGTGCGACAAGCTGCCCGTGGTGCTCTGCCTGGATTCGCTGCAGCGCTACCAGCAGTTCCGGCCCAGCTTCCGCGTGAACGAGCAGCTGTTACACCTGTTCAAGCTCTCTTCGCAGGCCAAGCCCTTCGACGAGCCCACGGAGTGCCACGGCGTGCACACCTTGTACTCCCCCAGCGACTTCCACGAATGGAAGTCCTACCATTTCCGCGTGCCGCACGAGGAGTTATCAAATGCCAATATGTAGCTAGTTGTCTGGGCCTGGAGCTGGAAAAAATGATTTGCGGGACGATTTGATGCCGTGCATGCTTGTCCTCTGGCATGACGATGACTCTGAGCTCTGTATTCAAAATTTTCCACCAGACCCAGATCATATGTTTGCCATGCATAAGAGTACGCGCCCTCCCACTTCGGGACGAAGGAGGAATACGAGACCTGGCTCGCCGAGGGGGACCGGCGGCTGCCGCGGAAGCCGGAGGACGCCATGGTGCAGACAGACGAGCACCACGTGATGATGCGCACGCACGTATCGTATTTAAAAACGTCCCCACCCCAGAGTTGTCATGCAAGTCTGCATGCTGAAAATGTTTGTCATGCGGAGTCCCATGAAACGCATTTTCCAGTCGTGTTTTGGAATTTGTCATGCTCCAATCAGCAGGATATACTAGATCTGTGATGCTGCTCAGATAGCTCAAACAGCACTACACTACGAGTCAAAATTTGTCATGCAAAACAGCCAAAGCTTGTGGATTTGTCTAGCCGAGTCACCATCTTGGCTATGGGGTGGGGACGTTTTTGCACAGGATAGCACGACGGCCGGCGGCTGGTCACCCCGCAGAACAAGTGGCTCTACCACTACCGCCAGTACCTCTACGGGTCCGCCACGCACTACTGCCTCTTCGAGAGCGCGACGGACTCCTCGTTACCCCTGGAAAAATTTGGCGGGGAGGGCCGCATCTTTGCGCACGGCGGGAACCTCAGCTTCGACCGCATGGTGGACTGGATCTCCCGGGGGAAGCCCACGGTGATTTTGCTGAACACGGGCGGCGTCGCGCAGAGCTTCGGGTCCCTGCACTACTGGTGCGTCACGAAGAAGGCGCACCTGGAAAACATCCAGCCCAACGAGTGCGCGCGGCGGCAGCTGATCCTGGAGAAGGTGTCGCTGGTGTCGCGCGAGCCGTGGGCGCGGAAGTTCGGGCTGCCGCAGATCATGATGATGCAGGAGCTGGAAAAGCGAGCGCCGGACGTGATGCGCAAATCAGTGATCGTCGTGGACGGGTTGCTACCCTGTGCAAAAGAGTATCGCACTCGTACTTTCACTAATTGCAATCAGGCATTACAAGCCTCGAAATTATAGCTAAATCCGCATTACAAATTTCCATTTCTCATGCTGAGGAAATTTGTCATGCGATTTCTACTAGTGTGTGCGCGATGCTTTTGCAATTCATAGTTGCGGGAGGGTCCCGAAGCGGTGGTGGAGAAGCTGACGGGGTGCTTCGCGCAGAGCAGTCTGGGGCTGCCGGAGCTGGGGCTGGGCACCGCGGAGGAGGACGTGGTGATCGAGGCCTGGAAGATGCACATGACCCTGATCAAAAACGCCAAGGTGTTTCGCAAGTGGGCGGATCTGCTCTACCTGCTGCAGCTCATGTATGGATGTGTCAGGTTTGAAATCGTCAGAGTTGAAATAGTTGGCCATGCATAAAATGGATGCCAGTTGGAGCCCAGTTTTCAAGTGGCGCATGACAAGTTTTGGTGGTGCCGAAATCCAGTCTGTAATGCTGTTTGGGTAAGGAAGACGCGTTTTGTCATGCTACTTTAGCAGCTCTATTTCTACCCCTCAACAGGCTTTTAATCTGCCTCCCTTGCATACTCTGCAAGACAGGCACTTTGTGGGTTTCGTTTTATGCATCACAAATTATTTCAACTTTGACGATTTCAATCCTGACGCTTCCATATCATGCTGGGCTGGTTCGGGGCGTTCTTCTCCGTGTACTTCAGCGTGCACGTCGCGCGCGAGTGCGTATGAGAGTGCACAACTCCCCCTCCCCCTCATTTGTCATGCCAAACCGCAAATCCATTTGCTGCCCTGTGGCGCCATTTGCATGACAAATTTCAGAAGCCCAATCAGTACTTCTACCTTGGGCCCGTGAACTTGTCATACACAGGCTCCAGGAGTGCTGGCATTTGTATTGCTGTTTATGCCATACAATTGAGGGGGAGGGGGAGTTGTGCACTCTCACAGTGCGCGGGTGACCAGCACAAGTGCGGGGACAGCGATTTTCTCTACCTCGCCCTCACCAACTTCCTGCTCATCATCCCCATCGTCGCGGGCGCCCTCGGGGCCTACGTGTCGCACCGCCGCTACCTCCAGAAGTGGGGGGCGACCTACACCGCGGCCGGGCAGATTGTGTCGGAGATCTACATATCGATCGCAAATATGTCTAAGTCTGGGAGATAACTGCGAGATTTGTCATGCTAATCTGGCATGACAGAGAGAGACTCTGAACTCTGTCGCGCTCGGCTTGCTGGCCGGGCTGTACCGATCAGGTGTGGTGGGTAGCTCCCGACTGGTTGGTACTTTTCTTGGGGCGACTTGCCGTGGTAGCGCTCGGCTTTTGTATGATGAGGTCGCCGAAAGTGCTTCCTCGCCCACCCCCCGGGGAGGGGATCCTTGACCTGTGGCGCTGGGAGCGGGTGTCCACTACATGATGATGATGAACTCTGTATTGCGTGGCCGCAAAAAGCTCCTCTTCCCTGTCATGTAAAAACGCAGTTTCTCATGCGGAAAACGTAACTCAGAACCATGAAAAGAACTTGTCATGCTTGGCAGCGCATTGCAGTGGGCTCACGATTCGCTTCTTTGCATCACAAGTTTCCAGACCCAGACATATTTGCATTTGATACTACAAGTTTCGGTGCCACGTCAACGAATACAACCCCTTTTCCGACGAGGCCAAAACCGGCGAGAGCGCGGGCGTGGATCCTGACCACGTCTCGGCGGAGCTGGTGGACTCCGCCACGGAGGGGCTGAAGGGCGACCATCTGAAGGCGGACGACGGGTCAAGGGCGCCGCGCAAGGTGTTCGTCATCAACGTGCAGTCGATCTACGCAGCCGTGCTGGAAAGCCTGTCGGACGACGCCATGAAGGAGAGTTGGACGGGCAAGAGCTGCGTGGCGGACATCGGCAACCAGGAGTTCAAGGCGACGCTGCGCGAGCACGTCCCCCGCACGGTGCTGCGCAGCGGGTTCTACTACGCGAAAAACGGCAACCGGGAGGACATCCAGTTCAAGATGCCCAAGCACCTGGCCAAACAGCTCCGGAAGCTGGAGGGGCTCGCGCACATCCCCGGCATGGGCAACGCGCTTTCGCACGTCACCCGAACCTATCCACAGAAAAAAACCCATCCACATCCATTTTTTGCATGACAAACACAGAATTTTATGTGTGTTTTGCATGACATCAAATTGGAGGATGTGGATGGGTGTTTTTTCCTGGATAGGACCATCCAGCGGACCTCCAAGGGGCCCAGTGAGCCGGAAACGGGGGACATGGAGATCCACCATATCCAAGGAAAAAACTTTGTTTGTGTAGGTCTTTTTGGAAAACAGCATCACAAGTTTGTCTGCCATGACAGGAAAAACTTGTCATGCGCACATAGGGTGGGAAAACACGTAGGAAACGAGCCTATCATGCATGTGGAGCATGACAAGGGTAGCTGTTTTGCATTTTTTGCATCACAGAGACCGACTTACACTTACACAGTTTCTTTCTTGCATACACCACTGCGAAAACGACAATTTCATCGAGGAAGATGACTTCGTTTCGCCCATGACCATTGAAACGTATATAAAATTCTTGCAGGAGTCAATGATGTGTCTCGAGGTTCGTCATGCGGCTACAGCTACCCTTTCTCCTCATTGGTAAGTTACAGCTTGGGATGTCAGTGTCTTGCTATGATGAACTCTGTCTTGCTAAGTATTCATTCATCAACTTTCCATCCACAACAAGGTACGTCGAGTACCGTCTCCGCGTTTTGCTGACCTTGTTCCAGAAGCAGGCCCCGCCGTTGTCGCAGCGGCTTTCCACGCTGGAAACCCTCGGAATCCTTGTCACCGCTTCGGGCACGTTTCTGGCGGCGATTCTGCAGCAGCACTGGGTGGTGTTTACCGTGACGCTGGCCACCAGCATCTCCAACATTTCGCACTACATGTGTCTGTCGCCGCGGTTGTTATGGATTGTAAAAATGTCTGGGTCTGGAAGAATGGAAGGTCTGTCATGCTCTGCCAGCATGACCCCAAAGTCTGTCATGCACGTTACCCAAGAGCCCCGTTTTTTTGTCATGCAGAAACGCAGTTTGTCATGCAGAATAGGCAACACCTCGAAGCTCAGAAACTTGTCATGCTGAGCCAGCACTTGTGGCCGCCTCATGATACGCCAACCAGCATCACAAATTTCCAGACCCAGACATTTTTGCAGTTGATAGTTGTCGAGCTTAAACCAGGCGATCCGGGATTTGCGGTCGGTGATGATCTATCCTGTGCAAAAGTATCGTACTCGTATTGCAGTCATGCATTACAAATTTTTTTCGTAAGGGAGAGCCGCAGTACAAATTTGATTTCTCATGCTGAGGAAATTTGTAATGCATTTATACGAGTATACTTTCTTGGCACTGCATATGATCCTGATGGACTCGCTCTCTGTCGTAGAGAAACGAACGGTGGAAAAACGCACCTACGCGGTCAGTACCGTGGAAAACGCGGTGCGGCTTTTTTTTGTGTTGCAGCACTACCTATTTGTGCTTTCATGATCTGCCGCAATTGTCGTTTGGACGGTCATGCGACGAGATGTAAATGTGCAAGTGCATCTGGACGAGGAGAATGACAATGAGTTGGTCACTTGTTTGTGACACACTCTCGAAAGTTAATGTACATAGATAGTTCAAGTTGAAAAGCCAAAAGAAACATGGAATTACGTATACAGGTCCTCGGTACGATCACCGCCTGGACTGGCAACGCCGGCCGCGCACCTGGAGACACGCACGAGGACGCATCCAGTAAAGGAACTGCGCCGGAAGGCTCGTAGAAATAAACGCGTTGTAGTTTTCGCCTTTAACCGATGTTTCCAGGTGGTATCTCAATAAGTACCCCTGATAACGATACTCATCCATGAACCCGGATAAAGCTTGCCAATTACGTATTGTATGATTACAGTAGATTACGATTCCAAAAAAAGTCTCGTTTCGAAACAATAAATGCAACGAAACAAAATTGTAACCTCGCGAATGTGTTTTCGATATTATTTCTCGAACCCAAGCAGCATAAAAGCGAGCACAACTGCTATGATAGATAATGCGTCGCGGCTCATTGCTGTAGCCGCCTTCTCCAATGAGACTGAACTGAAGACGTTTCTTATCTCTCCCCAAATGAAAGCCGAAAGGAGCTCGCGAATGTCGCTTGGCCTCCGCAGTGCGGAGGGTCGCGTTTCTTTTGGTTTTCTCGTCATGCTGTCTAGGTAATCGGATCGGGCGACGGATTGCTAGAGCGCATGGCAGAATCCCTCCCCAAGTCACGGTAGTTCGAAGGTAGCAATTTGAGCCTGGGTGTTTTTCCAGCAACAGGTGGCTTATAGTTTTGCGCGCAGTCATTACGACCGATCCTTTTCGCTTTCAGCCCGATCTACTGACTTCGTAACCCAGAACACTCTAGGATTGGAGCGAAGCACAAAGCGATCTCGATCATTTGTCTCTTCGATCAAAGATTTTTTGCCACTGGGTTGCAGTGCATGCAAGTTCGTTATAATAGGTTTTTGGGACAGGATTTTGGAGCTCACAATTTTCGTCATTCATTGATTCCAAGTTGACGATTTTTTGGCCGGAAATACATATGCAGTGTGTTTCTGAATATATCTGCGCTAATTGCGACCAGCAGCAGTGTTAAGAACTTTCCATATAACTGCCAAGTGGCCTCATTTGAATCGACAGGACCTCTGGCGAGCTTATTTTAACTAAAACTTTTCTACGTATGTCATTCCTTCACTTTGAAAGAATAGGAATTGTCGGGCACCAGCACCACCGGCCGCGATTTTCATAAGTTGATTTACCATCCCCACGCGACAGAGACGACAGAAAAATGTTCGGATTCGGGGGCAATAATAGCGGCGGCGCGTTCGCCGCCCAATTCGGTGGTGGGAACGGTGGTTCAAACGACCATCAGCAGTCGCAGAACTTTTTCGGTGGTGGCAGTTTAGCACAGCCCAGCGGTCTCCAGGGCGGCGGTGGCTTTTTGCACGGGACTCCCACGCAAGACGCAACGGGGGGCGAGCAAGCAGGCGGTGGTGCGCGGACGGGCGGTGCCAACCCTGGCGGGAACGCCGGGGACCAGATCAAGCGAAAAACGACGGCGGTCTCCTGCTACCAGGTATCAAAGAGAAAAATCCCCCCTCCCCATATCGAACAGGTACGTTTCCGGAAATTTGTGTTGCTGATTTGAGGTCACAAATCACATTTGTCTTGCAAGAAGACAAGGGCAGAAGCTTCCACCCCATTAAAGAAGGGATTTGTCATGCTGTGAGGCCTAAAAGGGAGCCGCTTGCCATGCTGCACAACTAGAACCATACGCCCCCAGCTAGCCTGGGGATCTGGCCGCAGTGCCTCTCTGCAATACAAACCTGATTTGTGTACTCAAATACAGCATCACAAATTTCGTTTTCGATATGGGGAGGGGGGATTTTTCCTTTTGATACCAGGTGCACCAGATGGTCAGCGAGAACATGAAAAACGGCTCGGACGCCACACTCAAGCTCTACGGAGAGGAGGTAAGTACATAGTGCAGTTCAGATAGATACGTCGTCTCGGTGTAAATGCTTTCGAGCTTTGTGCTGCTGGAACTGGTCAAAGGGATGTAACCAGTAGTAGACTTTAGCTTTTGATGAAAGTTTTTTTCTGCCATCGCGTCATCTCTGCGTCTAGCCTCTCGTCCCCACCGGGAGGACCAATAGGGGTGCATGAGGTGTTACTTTATGTAGACACGCCTGCCATTCCCATTCCGGTACACATTTTGTTGCTCACTCGTACTCACTTCCAGGTACAATACTTGGCTTTGACGGGTGTAATACGGAAGCTGAACAATGAAGAGCGCGACATGGACACCGCTTTGGAGATTTTCCTGGATGATCAAAGCGCGGTCGTTAAGGTGCGCAAGTACTTCGATGGGACCAGCGAGCACGAGGCAGCGCTGCACGAGTATATAAAGCATAATACTATGATTATGATGCTGACTTTGGCAAATGCAAAATAGTTTTTCACTCTCGATCTCGTTTGGTTTTCGCCTTTGGAAGACTTATTTGGTTTCTTTTTCTTCCGCATGAACTTCACCATCGCTCGTCTTCAAGCACAACGACGATAACCTGTTTGCCATAGAACCAACGACTCGTCACAACAGCTCGCTGGAGCCGTCCATGATGATTCGTGTAGTCGGAACGGTGCGGATGCACGGCAGCATGTTTTGGCTGGCGGCACATAAGCTCGAAAAGTTGTCAGACCTTGGACAGATGTTCGCCGACACAGTGTCACAGTATCGGCTCATGCAGAAGTACCAGATGAAGAGGCAGGAACTGCTCGCGCAGCAGGGTCAACAGCTACAACCAGCAGGAGCCGGCGCTGTCATAGGAAACGGTGCCGGGACCACGATCCCCCAGCAGCCCCAAATGCTAAGCAACAGCAATTATGTCGCCCCTCCTGGCGGCCTTCCCCCTGCCGCGGCCGGGCACGGCGCTGCTGGGTCATCTGGGCTCCCGCAGATGAACGTCGTAGATATGATGGCGCAGCGGCAGCAGCAGGCACAAATGCAACAGCAAATGCAGCAGCAGCAAGGGACCTTGTCGGGCACGCAGCTTCGCGACGGCATCCTGCGTGTGTTGCGGGAGGCCACCAAGGACATTCAAGATCCGAGCGGGCTAACCCTAGAGGAGATCGCCGGGAAACTGGGCGCCGGGGCCGACATGCAAGAAGTGGCGCGCTATGTGCAGGACCTCTGCAACGACGGCCAGATTTTCGCCGGAACGACAGATGACAGATACTTGCCCTCAGACTGCTAAGCAGAGGGAAGACGTCCTCGGACTGGTGCCAAAGTACAAGGCCGTCACTATTACCCCACACCCGGGCGACATCAATAATGTAAAAAGTAGAAGTACAATTAGATCAATGCCGCTCCGAAAATAAAGCCCTTGCTGCTCGTCCTTTGTTCATTGCATGGGTCCCCTTGCGCACCATTCCAAGACCGTTTTTTTTTGTCTTCGCAACATTTATATCAAAGTAACACAAAAATAGGAAAGAAAGATCCATGCGCAGCTGTCATCTCCACTGGACGCAGCGATGTGTAAGATTCAGATGGTGTTTAGGCGTCGACTCTTCGAATCGTTACTTATCGCAGTTCCGAGAATCGTTTGTCTCCTCTTCGTTCGAAGCGAGTGTCTTGAGAGACCTGAGTAGCGAGAGCCACACACACCACCAGCGTTGAGCAGAGGCAGCCTGGATTCGCTGTTTCGATACCAATTTTCGTGATCCACAGCAATCAATTTCTGTTTCCACAGTGAGGAACACAGAAGAAAAGTGCACCGCGCGCTAGTAGGAAAGAACCGAAGAACGGTCCATTTTATTTCTTTGTGTACTTCTAACGACACGTGCGGGTCCAAGTTGGTACTAAGAAGTAAAGATGTCCGCGATTCCGAGCAACGTCTCCTACTACTGTGGGGGTAAACAATACTCCTGCGGTTTCTACAAGCGTCCAGTATCTGCTCAGCGGCCGAGCACCGCGACGTCCCGAGGGGTGTCCGCACGGAGAAGTCGACAGAAACCCGCGGCCAAGCAGGTGGAGATAAAAACAGGAGTAGGTGCACCTGCACGCAAGGAAGGACAAGGAGAAGATGAAGAGGTTCATCTTACCCCACCTACGGAGGAGAATAAAGTGCATTCCCGACGGCCTATCTCCGCGAACCGAGCTGTGCCCGCACAAACGGAGGTCACTATCGGAAGCGATTCGCGGGTGCTGCAGCGGAAGCCGCACTTGCTGCTGGCGCGTCCGTCCTCCGCGGTGGTGCCACCCTCCGCGTCGGCGTCCACCGGAAAAGCGGTGATGGCAAGCATCGCCGAGAACCGCCCACAGAGCGCGGCAGTCGCGAGGCCCAAAAGTGCAGCGGCTGCGCGGCCGCAGAGTGGGGCAGTTGCCAGACCGGGTAGCGCAGTGGGAGGAACGTCGAGTAGTAGACCGGGGAGCGCTTCAACATCTTCAGGGCCGCAGGGTAGCAGCGATCAGCGGGCCGGCGGGGCAGTGTCTACTCACGGTGGAGGAGTAATTGTCAGCGCACCGTCGTCTGCAGGTGAAGTTTTTTTGGGACTACATACACATAGAGGAGGCGGTGGTGCGAGAAGTAGATTTGTTTACTTGCTGCAGTGAGCAGCAATAGGACAATGCTAATGCAATCATGGTGTGGGTTAACGAGAACATCAACTTACTGCTTCAATCAGGTTGTAGTGAATTAAGTTGCAGTGGATGAACTACATGTGAAAATCCTATCAGGGCCGCCGTCGAGTCGTCCCGGGTCCGCGTTCAACCGCAGCGTGTGCAACGCGTTGATGACCCAACCATCCCTGGCTACGTACGGCGCCAACGAGCGGATTCTGTGTGTTCCGCGCCCCGTCAGCGCCGCCTACCCACGAGATGAACAAGAGAACGCGTCTGGAGGTTGTACTGAGCCAGCAAACAGCGGGTCGTCACACCCACCGAGCAGTGGACCAGCCGCAGCTATGTTTTACCCGGAAACAAGTGGGAGCAACGTGAACAGCAAGACGACTAGTACAGGAAGCCACCAGAACTACGGCATGCGGCCGCTCGGCGAGCTTGCCGCCGACCACGTGTACCGCGAGGCCATGAGTCGCAAAAACCGCGAAAAGCGGGCGGAAGAAGAGAAGCGTGACGCAGAGCGGAAGAAAAAAGCGCTGGAATTACGCGAGAGAACTACATCAAGCGGGACGGGTACTGGTGCGGGGACGGCGACAGGTGGAGCGGGCGACCAGCAGAACGTTGACATCGAAAACCAGGATCCGAAATCCGGATCTTTTGCACCTGCTCCGACCAAGCCGAAGGGCGGTGCTGGCGGCGGGCGTCCGGCGCCGGCGGAACTCGCGTCCATGGACGAAGTGATCTTCAAACAAGAGCTGCCCGGGTACATGAAGGGCAGACGCGTGGTGAACAATCCAAACAAGAAAAGCCGCGCGGAACAGGTAATATCCACGGTGCAAAGATGTAGTCTGGGTCTGGAAAATTGCAGGGAGTTGGCATGCGGCTTTTGCATCAACCAGAAAACCTGATCTTCACTGGTTTCCTCGAACAAGTATGCCTATGAGCCCGCATCAGGAGTTCGCTCTCGGATATTGATTGACACCAAGCGAGCAGTAGAAACTTCTCTTCCATCGTCTTTGCATGACAGATTTTTTTCATCGTCAGACTTCCGACGGTCCGCATGACAAATTTGCCTCTTCCCAGAACACCTCCAGACGTAAATTTCCATATGGATACGTGACGGCCTACAACAAGTTTGTGTACCGGAACGACCGGCAGACGCAGTGCCAGAGCGGAGCCGCAACAGGACCGCAGATGATGACCGGGCAACAAGGTAAAGAAGAAGGTGGTCAACATACACGACACCAAAACCACGAGGCTGGGGAGACCAACGACGACGACGCAGAAGTAGATGCGGGGACGTTCTGGGCCGGAAATGTGCTGACGTGGACGAGCAAAAAGTTGCGTCCTTATTCCGGAAAAATGGCTGCACAGAATTCCTCTTCTATTGCAGAGGAAAACAAGATTGGAGATGATACGAAGCCGATGGAAGTAGAGCAGCCGGAGCACGTTCTTGCTGCGAACAATTCCAGTGCTTCATCTCTCAACATCGCGAACAAGACGACGAACTGGAACTACGAGCCGGCCGAATTTCTCCAGCATCACCCCCCCCGCAACTTGACCGGCACCTTTCATCGCCGCAACTTGGTCTTTTTTGTCAAGAACAAACCCGCCGTGCCCCGGCCCTACTCGGTGAAGCGCGTCGCGGACAGGATGGAAGCAGCTTCCGCTCCTGCAACAAATGCTACTTCCTCTGGAGGACCTTCGAATCGGCCGGAGCCGACCAACATCCACACCGTGGTCCCGCCGAAAAACTCGTCTCTGGCCGCGGCATTGATCCGGGGTGGCGAGAGCAAGCAGAGGCACCTGCAGGATTTGAAGCACATCCTGGAGGCGGACGATCTCACGTTGGAGGGCGACGAAATTGTTTATCGCGAAGGGGAATTGTCGCCGTGAGGGTCGTCAGGTGGACCACGAAGGGGCAGTGGAGAATCTCAAATTTTTGAGAGATTTGATGAAAGTAGAGACTAGAATTTATCGCTTAGAAGTCAGTGTGGATCTTTATCTTTTTTATGCAAAAAGCAAAACGTTTTTTCAAGTTCTGGCCGATGACGAGGGAGTGCAATGAATTGCGACTTGCCATTTGCTCTCGCAGGTTTTTCATCTAAATGCCAAGGGGTACCACGGATTAGCCTGCGACGCCTATCGCGTCTTCAAGTTTGTTAAAGTAGCATGGCCAAAATGCCAGTATTAAGTTCTTGCTTTGGCAGCAATACTAATACCGTCCTAGGCTTAGAATTCCTTTTCATTCTTTGTGCGGATCTAATTGCAGCAGAGCTATACAATGTTGAGTTGTCAGGAAGAAAAATCACGATAATATGGGTAATTTGTGACCGGAATGAGCTAGAGCTATGTTTAAACGGGGACGTTGAGTATCAAGTCTTTTGACAGACAAGCACAAGTTGAAAGTTTTACTTCGGTGGTCAAAGAGGCTGGCAGCAACAGCAAGACCACGTTTTTTGGAACCGAATGGAGTATGAATCTAAAGCAATAATTGAAGGCCTTGGCCCAATTGCAGGCCTGGCTGCGCAAGATGCATTTCTCCTGATCCTCCGTAGAGATACTTTACTACTTCTTTGTCATCTTCATCGTGTTTCGAGTCGTGCTAGCAAGAAAGTACACACTAAATGATTACTGCATCGTCAAGATCGTTGTATCTGGTTTCTTCGATTCGTGTCAACAAAGTCGCTCGCTAGTGGTCGTTTCTCGAATCCGATGATTGGTCGTTTTCGCAGTCATGCTGGTCGAAGTCGTTCTTTACAAGCTCAGTTAATGGAAGCGCAGCTTTTTGTTCGATCTACATCCTGAGCCGCCATCTGTTCCGTAGTGAAAGTGATTGTGGCAGCTACATTAATTTTTTATGTTTATCGGAAGCAACAAGTTCAAGTAGGTACAACTACAACTACAAGCATGAGTACGTATCACAACCCCGTTTTTATTCGCGGAATTTCCGGGCGTTGCACCACTTCGCAGCATGCCAGGAGCGGGATCATGGAACGAGTATTCCTGCGGCAATGTGGTGATGAAATTCCTGAGAGACTAGTACCAGCAGCGGTGTGACAAAAATGCAGCTGGCCGACACGGCGGGCGAGCCGGACGCCGTGGAGGTGTACGTGAAGCGGGTGAGTGGGCTGGACCCCAAAGAGATTCGCCGCGTGGAGCTGCGACTGCTCGGCCCGAAGTTGTTTCCGAACGTCGATGTGGTGAACGCGTGTTTGGTTCGACCTAATTCGTGGCAGCGGTTGCCGTTTCCGAGGAATTTGAACTTGGCCGACGTGGCGATGCACTACGTGCAGGTGGTCTTTGTGACGAAGGTCGCGGAGGAGCAGTTACAGCTGTTGCTGCCCATGCGAATCGTCATGGCGCAGGAGCAACCCGCCTCGCTGCCGGTGGGTACGGCGGTGTTCAAAACGATAACCCTCTGGAAGTGGGGCAGCTCACAAGAATCGCAGGACGAGGACCAAGGCGAAGTGAATAAACACGATTCTGTAGTTCATCCGGGAACTACGACTAAAAAGAAGACCACGTGCCAAATTTGTATTCGGTTCGCGCCCGGGGCACCGCTACCGCACGCGAGCACGTGGTGGACGGCGGCGGCCGCAAAGCGGGGGGAGCACGCGAACGAGGTGGCGGAGGAGGGCCAGGACGTGTTTAAGAAACGTCTGCAGGAGGCGGCCGCGCGGGAGGAGGGACTGTTGCCGTTCTCCGCAGCGGAAGTGGTCGCGAGGTCCTCTACGGGTCGTTTGGAGGAGCCTGGCGCGGATGACCGGCCGGGGGTGCATGAAGACTGGCGCGGCGGGCTGTACAATGAGGCGAGCAGCGGTAGTACGCCGTCGGTAGATGGAGCTAATGAAGGGGATCTTCAACATCCGGTCGTGCACCACGTACGGCGCGTCGCGAACCAGTTAGGCGGATTGGCGCAGCGGCTGGACTTCAGCGGGGCGTTGGACCGCGACACGTGGACCACGCACCTGCAGCGGGGCGTGAGCCACGTGATGGCGCCGCTCGTCAGTACTACGATTGGACGAGAAGGCAGGCGCAAGACCTCTCCGGAGTGGCGGCGCGTGGAGGACGAGGCGTTTTCCGTGCTGGAACGGGTGGACGACCTGCATGAGACGTTTCGCGCCGTGCTGCAACACGCCCACGTTAAGGGGTTGACGGAACTGCAAAAGCTCGACGACGCGGCGCAGGTGTCCGCCGCCGGACTGGTCCGGGAGATGGACAAGCAGGCAGCCAAGGAGGTGCAGCAGCTGTTCGTTTCTACGGCCGCCCAGACCGTCGCCACCTGGACGCGGGGGCGCACGGAGCTGCTCACCGACGTGGCGCGCGTGCGCGGCATGGCGGCCCGGGTGCCGCTCTGGCTCCGTCCGGCGTCCTCAACACATGTTGTGGTTAGCAATGCGGGGGATGGTAACGGACAACAAGGTGGCAAGGATAATTATTCAACAGCCTCCGATGCTAGTAGACCAGAAGACGTTCTGCAGGATTTTTGTCAGCAGTGGGCACGGGCGAAACTGGAGCACCTCGCCGAGGAATTTTCCAAGGATTTACAACTTCTCGAGCACGACAAGATGACGGACAAACAGCGAAAGAAAGTTCTCCACGTCGAACAGGAGTACGGATTCCACCGCAAGGAGGTCCAGAAGCGCGGCAGTTTGCGGTGGGTGCTGTACTGCTTTCCCGAGCAGTCGGACCGCGGCTTTCGCAACACCAGTACGGGATCAAAGTTTGCGTTTGGCCCGTCCGCGCAGCGCGACCTGGACCACTTGCCACCGGAGCTGCAGCACTTCGCCCAGGAGCACGGACTGCTGATCGATGGGGAAACCCGGGAAGTGCAGTGGCTCTACAACGAGACCGCCAGCCACATTGGACCGTCAGAGGCGCGGGTGCGCGGTCAGCTACTCCCCGACCTGCGGGGGACCAACTACCCGCCCCTGCGGCGCGGCGACCGCGTGCTCGCGGTTAACGGGTTGGTCGTGAAGCGGGGATCCCCGTTCCCGCGCGTGTTTCGACAGGTGCGGCGGGTCAGTCCCCACTCCTGCTATTTGTGCGTGTTCCGGAGTGCGGATTTCGAGCCAGACCCCATCGACGAATATGCGGTGTCCGAGGAGAGTGACGGCGCCGCGGAGGATATCCTGTGTAAGAACGTCCCCACCCCAGAGTCAAGATGGGAAATCTGCTACACAAATCAGCCAGCTATGGTTGTTGCGCATGACAGGTTTTGCTTCGTAGTGTAATGCTGTTTAGCTGGTCCAGCACCAGCAGCATCACAGATCTAGCATATCATTCTTACCAGCCACCCCCCGGCGGAGGCCGCCGGGGAGGGAGGCTGTTCGGGGGAGGTGTTCCAACGGGGAAGGCGGTGCCAAGGGTAGCGCGCCGCTACACAGCCAAAAAGGCAGGCGGGGCCGCGCCGCTCTGACGGCTTTGGCCCAGAAAGCGCAACGCACACCCGCAGCGAAACCGCCGCGGCCTGTGCTCCTACTTTGCTTCCGAAAACAGCAGCGCCTGGGAACGGAGGTTTTTGGCCTTTCTTAGGGGCGGAGTTTGCTGTAGATGTGCACCCTGAACACGAAAGACGCCCTTAAAAAACTAGCGCGCTGCAATAAGCTAAATCGGCGAGCACGCCGCGAGGCTTGCCTGTGCATGCCGAGAGTTATTAGCTACTTATGCGCCGAGAGACAGCGGGCACAGAAACACTTTCGCTACTTTGGTCACAACCACTTTCACTGCGCTACAAAGTCGCCGCACCTGTTGCCCGCGCGCGGGCGTTGTGTGAAGTTGCGGCCACCCTAGGTGGCCGCCTACGTTAAGGCGCGGCGCCGCGCCCCCCCAGGGGGACGCAGAGCGGCGCATGCACTTTGAACAGCCGCCCTGGCCTGGAGTCAAAAGACTTGCAGACCTTAACTTTTGGGCCCTAGTTGCATTCTTACTTTAAGATACAGGTAGTGCGCGCAGGCGGGCGAACTGCACTGCAAGGGCGGTTCCGGTAGAGGTTCCGGGAGAGGGTCCGGGAGAGGGTCCGGGAGAGGGTCGGGGAGAGAGCTTCTGAGAGGTTCCGGGAGAGGGTCGGAGAGGTTCCCGGAGAGGGTCCGGGAGAGGGTCCGGGAGAGGGTCGGGGAGGTCCCGAGAGGGTCGGCCGAGAGGTAAAATAGAGGCCCCGGGAGAGGGTCGCGGTAGAGGGTCGCCTAGAGGGTCTCCCTATACTGCGCACCCTCTCCGACCCTCTGCACCCTCTTCCCCTATCCTCTATTTGACCTCTCTCCAACCTCTACCCTACCTCTGCGCGCGTATAGGCGCGCTTTAAGGGCGTACATACTACGCACCCTCTCCCTTACCTCTATTTTCCCTCTCGTTTTACCTCTCCCCGACCCTCTCATTTTCTCCGACCCTCTACTTTACCTCTCCGACCCTCTATTTTACCTCTCCCGAACCTCTCCCCAACCTCTACCCTACCCTCTCCGGCCCCAAAGTTTGCCTTATATAATATATATGTCGTGCGTAGCAGTTATATCAATTTACATGATCAAGCAAGAGGGTTGCACACTCCGACGTCGGGCTGGCTGCCCGATGTCGACCAGCTTCCGCTGGTTCTCTGTCCTCTATCTAGAATCTCCGCTTCGTCCGGGCTTGCCTGGACTCGGCGTTTTTTCCCCGCCCTCCCACCCAGCTGCTGCAGCTTCATTGCGAGATACCCTGCGGCACCCCCCGCAAGCCTCCCCAGATGTTCGGTGGGCCATGTCGTGTTCCACGGCTTGGCCCACCTTCACGTCCGGGGCGTGGCTCTGTGGGGTTTGAGAGCTTGGCTCGCGCGGCTTGCTACTTGTAGCTCGCTGTGCCGGCCGGGTTCTCTTCTTGCTCGCCAGTGTGACCGTCGCAGGGCGTCCCGCGACGAGGACTGCAGCGCGCGTCAGCACTGCCTTCGATTATCATCGTTTCCGCGCGCTTTCGCTCGTTGGGTGAATTGCGCCAGGAATGTGAATTTATATAACGTGCGTAGCAGTTATATCAATTTACATGATCAAGCAAGAGGGTTGCACACTCCGACGTCGGGCTGGCTGCCCGATGTCGACCAGCTTCCGCTGGTTCTCTGTCCTCTATCTAGAATCTCCGCTTCGTCCGGGCTTGCCTGGACTCGGCGTTTTTTCCCCGCCCTCCCACCCAGCTGCTGCAGCTTCATTGCGAGATACCCTGCGGCACCCCCCGCAAGCCTCCCCAGATGTTCGGTGGGCCATGTCGTGTTCCACGGCTTGGCCCACCTTCACGTCCGGGGCGTGGCTCTGTGGGGTTTGAGAGCTTGGCTCGCGCGGCTTGCTACTTGTAGCTCGCTGTGCCGGCCGGGTTCTCTTCTTGCTCGCCAGTGTGACCGTCGCAGGGCGTCCCGCGACGAGGACTGCAGCGCGCGTCAGCACTGCCTTCGATTATCATCGTTTCCGCGCGCTTTCGCTCGTTGGGTGAATTGCGCCAGGAATGTGAATTTATATAACGTGCGTAGCAGTTATATCAATTTACATGATCAAGCAAGAGGGTTGCACACTCCGACGTCGGGCTGGCTGCCCGATGTCGACCAGCTTCCGCTGGTTCTCTGTCCTCTATCTAGAATCTCCGCTTCGTCCGGGCTTGCCTGGACTCGGCGTTTTTTCCCCGCCCTCCCACCCAGCTGCTGCAGCTTCATTGCGAGATACCCTGCGGCACCCCCCGCAAGCCTCCCCAGATGTTCGGTGGGCCATGTCGTGTTCCACGGCTTGGCCCACCTTCACGTCCGGGGCGTGGCTCTGTGGGGTTTGAGAGCTTGGCTCGCGCGGCTTGCTACTTGTAGCTCGCTGTGCCGGCCGGGTTCTCTTCTTGCTCGCCAGTGTGACCGTCGCAGGGCGTCCCGCGACGAGGACTGCAGCGCGCGTCAGCACTGCCTTCGATTATCATCGTTTCCGCGCGCTTTCGCTCGTTGGGTGAATTGCGCCAGGAATGTGAATTTATATAACGTGCGTAGCAGTTATATCAATTTACATGATCAAGCAAGAGGGTTGCACACTCCGACGTCGGGCTGGCTGCCCGATGTCGACCAGCTTCCGCTGGTTCTCTGTCCTCTATCTAGAATCTCCGCTTCGTCCGGGCTTGCCTGGACTCGGCGTTTTTTCCCCGCCCTCCCACCCAGCTGCTGCAGCTTCATTGCGAGATACCCTGCGGCACCCCCCGCAAGCCTCCCCAGATGTTCGGTGGGCCATGTCGTGTTCCACGGCTTGGCCCACCTTCACGTCCGGGGCGTGGCTCTGTGGGGTTTGAGAGCTTGGCTCGCGCGGCTTGCTACTTGTAGCTCGCTGTGCCGGCCGGGTTCTCTTCTTGCTCGCCAGTGTGACCGTCGCAGGGCGTCCCGCGACGAGGACTGCAGCGCGCGTCAGCACTGCCTTCGATTATCATCGTTTCCGCGCGCTTTCGCTCGTTGGGTGAATTGCGCCAGGAATGTGAATTTATATAATTGGAGCATGACAAATTCCGAAACAGGACTAGAAAATGCTTCTCATGGGGATGCGCATGAGAAACATTGCCAGCATGCGGATTAGCATTACAACTAAGGGATGGGGACGTTTTTACTCAGAATAGAGGAACTGGTGGCGGAAGTGGAGGCGTTGAACGACCCCGACCGGCAGCGACTCAACTACGTGGCGCGAGGGTCGAGTGGCGGCAAGAAGGAGGAGGTTGTTCCCGAGATAATTACTTCTGGAGGCAATCGTCCTGCTGGGAAAAAGAAGGACGACATTTCCATGGTCCAACGTGTGACGAACCTGGTGGCAGAGCAGGATCAGAACCGGCACATCGAGGACACCGCGTTGCGCGACATATTGGCGCGGCCGAAAAAGCACAACAAAGCCGAGATGAATCACAACTTCGAGGAGTCCGGCCCCCATGTGCAGACGCACAAGCTCCTGTCGCAGCTGCACGCCGACCTCGTCGTGCTTGGCACACTGCAGCGCAAAATGCTTCACGAGCAAAAGGAACAACAGCATCAAAGTGCATCTGGTTCTTTTGTTCAACAGCAGCGCCGCACCGCTGGGCCGAAGTTCGACCAGAAGGACCTGGTGAACATGGGCAAGGAGCACGATCGCATGCTCAGTTCCTGGGATCCGGTCGAGAAGCGGTTCTGGGAGCTGCAGAAGGCTATGATATGTAAAAGTGTCTGGGTCTGGAAGAATGCAACTTGTCATGCTAAATCTGAAGCATGCAAAAATCTGCGTTGCGTGATTACCAAGAGTCGTCCAGTTTTTACCAAGTCGGGAGGGAGTTTCTCATGCAGGATAGGCATGAGAGAGATTGCGCAGAATCTGTCATGCTAAGTCCTGCATTCCAGGCTTCATGGGACATGGAAAAGCTGCATGACAAACCGCGCACTCTTCCAGACCCAGACAGTTTTACATTTGAGAAAGGCGCAGATGGAGCAGTTGAACCGGGACATGTTTCTCGCCCCCGACGGCATTCTAGGAGAGTGCACAGCTCCGCCTCTCCCTCATTTGTCATGCAAAATACCGAGGCCACCTCTTGCCTTTAAACACTCTTCGCATGGCAAGTTTTGGACGTCGCCCAAACAGGACTACAATCTATGTGCGGGTTTGTCATGCAGAAGCTACCTTTGTGGCATTGCTTCTGTTGCTGCTTATGCTATACAAATAGACGAGAGGTGGAGTTGTTGTTCACTCTCATACATTCTGGCGGAGGCGGACGTGAGCTCCGGGGGCCAGATCCGCACGCTGGGCCGCTTCGAATTCGACGTGCCCTACCGGGTGCTGGAGCAGCGGAAGGACGCGTTTCTCGGCGCCGTCCAGAACGAGATGGCGGAGTTCGCCGCGTGCCATCGGGACCACGTGGAGCTATTGCTGACCTCCGGGGAGCGCCCGCTCCAGCCAGAGGAGGTCACGCAGTTTGTTGACAAAACCGGCGGTCACGAGAAGAGTACTAACAAGGTCGACCAGCAGGCTAAGAAGACGAAACTCATCCCCTTACTGCACGTCCGCGGGCCGGCGCGGTTCCTGAACTGCGAGCGGTTTCAGGAGCACGAAGCCAGCGTGAAAAACAACCGGCTGTTTCGGCCGGAGGTGTGCACGTTTCTGCCCTATCAAATGTAAAAATGTCTGGGTCTGGAACAATGCAGGAGTTTGTCAACATGCTGATTTTGCATGACCCTTGAGGTTTGTGATGCATGCCCTAGCATCAGAGATTCTGCGAGGGCTTTCTGATGCTCATACCGCATGAGAAATGTCCTCTTAGCGTAGCAAAAGTTGGACCTTTTGCTGTTCATGCAATACAGATTTTATGTAGAGTCCAAAGGTCGCATCACAAGTTGCATCCTTCCAGACCCAGACACTTTTACACTAGATATGCCCGACCCGCTGGCGAAACTGGATTTGGGGTCCGGGGCCGCACTATCCAGTGCAAATATGTCTCGGTCTGGAAGAATGCAACTTGTGATGCTGCATTGCGATTCCGAAAAAATCTGTATTGCATGAGCAGCAAAGGCTGGATATGCAATTTTTTCTGCGCGGAGAGGGCCTTTGTTTCTCATGCGGAATAGGCATCAAGAAACCCTCAAAAATACTGTGGTGCTAGGGCGTGCATCACAGACATCTTCATGGCTCGTGCAAAACGTGCATGACAGGTCTCAGAATCTTGCAGACCCAGACATATTTTTTGCAATGCATACGCAAGGGTGCTCGCGAACGAGAACGTGAGACTGCGGGACCGGCTGTCCGACGTGACCAACCACGCCTACTATCTGGAGATCTTCCAGAAGCTGTTATCAAATGTAAAAGTGTCTGGGTCTGGAAACTTGTGATGCTGTGTGGCATATCATGAGGAGGCCACAATTGCTGGCTCAGCATGACAAGTTTCTGAGCTTCTAGGTGTTGCCTATTCTGCATGACAAACTACGTTTCTGCATGACAGAAAAGTGGGGCTCTTTCGTAATGTGCATGACAGATTTAAGAGTCATGCCAGACAAGCATGACAAACTGGCATTCTTCCAGACCCAGACATTTTTACATTTGATAGCTGTGCGGTCAGTACGAAAAAGCGATCGACGCCTTGCGGCTGAAAGACGAGGTACTGCCGGAGCTGCGCCGGCTGCAGCCGGTGCTGGTGCGGGACGCGAACCAGGGGCGCGAGCGACCCAGCCAGATCTTACAGAAGCTGTTCCGTCAGGGAGTGGTCGGCATGCCGGATTGGATTGACGATCGCCCACAGGTCGTTGCGGGCGAGTCGCCGGCCGGCTTTGCGGACGCCGTCCCCTCAGGGCTTCGGAAAGCGGGTGGTGCGCCGCAAAGCACGGCCGCTGGGGCAGCGGGGGGAAGTTCGAGTTCTAGTTCAACGGGGGCGCAAGCGCAAGCACAACAAGGCCAAAACGAAGCAGATACACAGTCAGGCGCGGTGGCGCAGGCGTTTAACGAGCGCCGCGCGGAGCGGCGCCGCGTTCCGGGGTCCACGAAGCTCGAGTCGAATGACCTTGGCAGTCGGTACGAGACGGTTGGGGACCTCCTCGGCGACGACGAGGAAAAATGCTTTGTGTTCGCCGTTTACCTCCGCGGCGCCAGCAACGTGCCCCAGGCGGACGTGCTCACGCTCAGCGACCCATATATACAAGTGCGGCTACGGCTGCGCGATCCGGAGAAAAAGGAAGATACTTCTGGCACAGAACAACAGCCGCTGGTCCCCGGCGATCCCGCGCCGCCGGGCAACTCGGAGACCTTTCACTACATCTCCCCGTCCGCGGACGTGCTGGACACCGATGATTTCCAGCTACTCCGGTTTGCGAACAAGCGCGCCATCGGAAACACCCGCGCGCTCGACGACACGGAGTTCCCGGAGTGGAGCGAAGTGGTGGAGATCGAGGTGCGGGAAATGGAGTTGCGGTTTCAGGAGCTGAAGTGCGAGCTGGTTCTGCTGGACGCGAATGGCGTCTTCAGCGTCAGCGACACGCCGATCGGCACGGTGGAATTTAGTCTCAAGGACTACTGCGAGGGCCCGGCGGAGTTGTTGGAATACGACAATGGCGTGCGGGTGAGGACCGGCGTGGGAAGGAGATTAATGAAGGGCTTGTTCGGTGGTCGTGGATCATCATCAAAGGACAAAAGCGGCGATAGTATGAGACCACTGTCCATCGAGAACGATCCTTCGATCGCGGATCCGACGCTGAGCTACGCGGAAACGCCCGGGTTGCTCCACCGCAATTACAAGCTGCACACTCTGAACATCCAGCCATTGATTGTGCCAGATCCGGACACCGGTCGGCCCATGGTGGACAAGCAGTTCGAGCTCGAGCGCTGCAAGGTGCAGTTCTGCTGCATGTGGAGTGTGCAGGGCGTGCGGGAGCGCGAAATGCGTAAAAAGGCGGCGGGTGGACAGGGACTGTTCCAGCGTATCTCCGCAAGTCTTTCGGAAATGTTTACCGGCGCGGCGGAGGGTGGTGTGGAGGGGGAAGAAGCTGCGAACCAGGGGGAGGGGGAGGGTGTAGAAGTTGCCGAGGGCGAGCAGGAAGATGAACTGGATAAACAAAAAAGCGCGGTGGACGCTTCTGGGGGAAAAAATGCTGTAGGACAGCGCGACAAATCAGATGAGGACAGGTAGTCTATGTGAGACCCTGGCAAGCTTTTGCTGCCATGCCTCTCTGCACGGCGAACTTCATCTTTACACCGAAGAATGAAGGAGCAGGGAATGCGTCCAACAAGAAGTATTTTCCCACTGACTTGCTTTTTTCCACGAAAAAGTTTGCTGCTGGTGCTCCTTGGTCCATCTGTGCACACCAACAAATAAAAGCACGGCTGCGCCCGCTGTCGAATCAGTGAATTTTCGTGAAAGGCGCCTTTGCTGGACTCGGCCTGCTTCGTTGAGAGTGGTTCGTCGTGCTTTACCCGAGGATCAGTCGAGCGCGGAGCAGGGTATAGAAGAGATCGGTCGCCAGTCCGGAGAGACGAGGCTTTACGAATGGATATCGTATACCGTGTCTTGTCGTTCCGTAGAAGAGGTGCATGGTGCTTCGTTGTAAAACTAACGTGATCATGACCACTCGAGCAATCGTTTTCTAACTTCTAACCGCCCGTCGATCGTTTTCATGGCAACAAGCTAAAAAATTTTGAACGTTCGAATTCGGTGACGCAAGAATCACAAGCACAATGCAGTGTAGCTTCCATCAAAAATTATTGGGCTTGTAAAAACTGGACCACTGTTGTACCTGCACTATTTGTGGTCGTAGTCTCCACCCACGAAGGTCCGCTCCAGTCGAGAAGATTGCTACTGCAGCCACTTCACATTGATTCCAACGAAGACGAACAAGAATTACGTGTTGAAACAAGAGTACCGCCGGTTCTGTGACGCAGAAGTTGACGACAAAAACAAACCACGCTCGTCTTCGCTGCCGAGTAAGGCGGTTCATCCACAGGTCGTGTCCTGTTGTCCCGCTGCACCCACTAGAGTGATAGTCAACTACTCGCTCATCTCCAACAAGCATGGTGGGAACGGCCGCACCCCGCAATCCGCTGTCGCGGAACATGAACATCAGGAATTCGCCCTCGCTCGACGACCTGAACATCATAGCGAAGACGCAAACCAGGCTGCCGCAAGTAAACATGTACGACCCGTTGACCTTTAACAAAACCTCGGACGCACGAGCCAGGAGTCTGTCTTCGTCGCAGCCAAGGGTACGTCTTGGGTTGATTGGTGTTGTCGGTTATCTGTACTTACATTTAGTACTGCATTAACATTATACGGGCACTGGCACAGGCACTAAGTTCTGGTTGTGGCGTGACGCTATAATGAAAAACAAAATAGCTTCAATTTCAAACAAACACTTCCCCGACCATAATCCAGGGCTCTTCGTCCTCGTCGTCAAGTAGCGCCAGCAAGCTGAAGAGCAAGCCCTTTGCAGGGATGAAGCGACCAGCGCAAGTGAGCCAAGCTGCATTTCCAAGGCCAAACGCAAGCAAATATGACCAGTCGTACTGTCTTGATGTTGGTAGTTTTTCGAGAATTGGTTGTGTTTGCAACTTGCACGCGTTCGCTGGTAAGAAAGCACGAAAGTCAATGATTGAATGTATGTGGTCGGGTGGAGCTGTCTCTATTCCGGAGAGAGTACAACATGCAAGACATCAATGTTGAACAGGTACCTTAGCGCGTTTGCCGGCACACCCGAGAAGAGCTCGCCGTCCAAGGGAAAGTCGGGGTCAAGAGGAGCAGCGAAACCGTTTATCGATACCACCGGTCGCGGCAGTCCAGTCACCAGGGACATGGTATTTATCATAAGAAACAGCATTTGATCGATTTGCATTGCCTTTAGCTTTTTCCGAACTCTTTTCGTTTGAAACAAACAAAGAAAAAACTCCATTTGCAAGGACGAGGCATAAATGGTAAAAAATCTTTTTCTTGAAACACACTCAGGCGTCTTCACTCTTCGATTCAGCCACCGGTCTAAAGCTGCAGATGTTGAAAATGGTGCGCGATTTAAACACGAATCAAGATAGGTCAGACGCCGCGCGCGACATACTCCGTGACTTAGGGTCCGACCCAGCAAAGCCACATGTGGACGAGAAGAGTATGAAATATGTTCTTGGTTGGTTGAATTTTAACGTAAGTAGTGTCGACCTCAGAAACAGACTGAACCAGAAGCAGACACATGGAACTCTTTGAGCTTGACTCACACGTTGCAAATTGGCATGATAATCCGCAACAGCATTTCACGGATGATGAACTAGCACTATTCCAAAACCAAACGAGTGTTTACTTCATTGTTTTTGACTCTCAACAGTTTTCGTGAACTTCTACAAATCGGTGCAAACGATGAAGACGGACGTGGGGCAAGAGATTGGCGAGGTGCGAGCGGAAATGCGGGACATATTTGCCATGCTCGACAGCGATAGGGAACTCATGGAAGAGGTATTTTCGTATCCATAATTGTTATCTACTGCTACTTTTCGCGTACTATGAAAAACCGACACTCTTTTTCCAATCGTGCAGGCGTCTGATGACGACAGCCTTGATGCATCTCGTTCTCTCTTCGAAGGTTGTGTTGTAACCAACCAGTAAATGACGACTTCCTTGCACAGGACCTTGCCGAAATGGAGACAGAAGCCGTGGAAATGCAGCGGGTAGTCACGAAAATGAATGGCGCCATTTCGAAGTTCGAAATGGAAGTTGGGCGTGCGTGAGGACCACGTCAGCAGGATGCGTTGACAACTTGCTTACTTGCTTGCAGCCGATTACTAAACCTAGACACACTTTTACGAATTTTCGACTTATTTTCTTGACTCATCAATGCGCTGAAAAATTAAAAGCTGAATTTCCTTTGTATGAAGAACTCTCTCGATATTGCGTCATACAACCTGCTTTAGACACTATTGACTTTTCATCCGTAACTAATAATGCACAAGATGAGCTTGTTGTTGTTTGAAGAAGCTCGGGCTATGATTTTCAATGAGCCCCGTTCGGTTGGGTGCCAATGAATGCCAAGAACCTGAAATCAATGCACAAGTACCTCACGCCGGACCAGGCACGGACGGAGCATCAAGCCGCCAGAACTTGTAGAATGTAACAAAATGCATGCGAAGAAGATACGAAGAGAACCGCACCAGAGAATCGGTGAAAAATGAAAAGTTCGCTTTGGAGCTTGGAGAGGACCATGATACCAAACTGACGGTGAAAACCCCACGTGTCGCACACAGCTAACATTTTGTCGTCACACCTTCGTGTGTTCCGTTTGCTCCATGCGCACTAAAGATTAAAATTCCTCTAAGGTGCTTGCCTTCATTCGGAGTCCTTTCTTATTCTCCGAAGAGAAGTTGCTTATCCTCGTAGCGCCTTGATACAACGACAGAAGTCGAGACGAGACGACCTATTTAGTGAGTACTAGGTGGCTTCTCTTGTTTGTGAGCAGTGTTGCAGAGCACCCCAACAAGAACGCGTTCTTCACAGAGCTGCACCAGTACGTACTAACGATGACAGTATCAGTAGAGCTGCAAAATGATAAAGAAATTTTTCTACCGCCCTCTAGCACCTTTTTGCCACGCTGCGTCGAGAATGTGCGAAGCATTTTGCGACACCTTCTCCCGACAAACATCACATCTAGCAGTGTGGCCTTCGATACTGCACTCGACGAGGCGGGAGAAAGCCACGAGGATGGAGCGAGCTACAGCAGCACTGTTCTTGCTGCAGAGAAAACCACGGAAGAACAGCACGCGCAAAGAACACGAACAGCCGAGGAATTTCTTCTGCGGGCTCTCCGGGAAGTTCTCCCGAGCAGCGTCCAAGTGGATGAGGCAACGAACACGGAAGGTAGTGTTCTCGCCGGTGGCTTGAAAACTGGAGCACTACAACCGGGAGAAGATGGATCAACGCAAAGTGGGCCCCTGCTCTTTCGTTTTTTCCGAACCGCCATTGCCCCTTTGCTCCGCAGCTACGTTTGGGGCGGTGTGTGCCGCAACTCCGGGGTGGACGAAAGTGGTTCCGATGGGCGGCCGCGCGGTCACCAGGATCTCCTGTCTGCGTCGGGGCAAGCGCTTTTCTGCCTGGGTTTTCACCCTGCCGTGCGGCGAGTCGCGGTCTTTTTCCTGGGCTACAGCGGCTACGGGCCCGCGCTGTCACTGGCCGCGGGGTACCTGGCACGGCGTGCGGTACTTGGAACAAGAAGGGCTTGGGTGGAGACGGAGATCAGTAGTGGGGGAGCCGAACTAGATCCAGTGCTTGCAGCTGAATTGCTGCAATTCGAGCTGGTCGCGCCCGATGTGGATGCGGACGCGATTGAAAACTCACAAAGGGTATTTCGGCGATTAGAGGAACAGTTTCGTCATGCGATGCAAACCTCATCTGAAGCCGGACGTAACTCCGACTCATTTGACCGAACGAGAGAGATTCTTTTCTCGTCAAACGGTGACGAGGACAATATTGTGGGTACTATTAAGACCGCGGGTCTCGTCCCGCAACCTCCATTTGCTAACGTGAGTTTCCCACTGGGCCCTCTGCCCGAAGACCCGCAAAAGGCGACGGAAATACTCTGCCCGAAGAGCAACGGAGGAAGAGATTCGCCAAACCGCCAGCACTCCTCGTCGCTCGACCTGCTTGCCCTAGACCCTCCACCCGGGTTACCGGAGCACGTTTTGGGCAACATTTTTCGACAGTGTGGACCGAAAATGCTGTTTTTCGAGAATTTCGGATGGCAGTATCAGCGCTACGCCGGCGGATTTGTGCCGACGAGTCCAGACTTGCATGAGGAACACGACCAGGGCCAGGCACGACGCACAACTACTGGGCAACATGTAGTTACCCGGAAGAATGCCCACACAAATTGGCGTGCTTTCATTCCGCTTCAAGATCCGTATTTCGCCTTTCAGTCGGAGCTATACCGTCGCACGTGCGTCATGAGTGTAGAAGAAAGCCACGACACCGTATCCAGTACTTCCGCAGCGGCACGAGAAGCGAGTGCGAGCGACTCTTTTTTTCCCGAACAAGCTGAGAATCTGGTAACAACTTCAGCAGTACTCGCGGAGCACGGGGATACCCTGCGTAGTGCCGCTAAGGTGTTTGAACAAGGTACCGGTTCCAAAATAGAGGACTGGAGCGTCTTACTACATCCACGACCGAGTCAACTGCCACATTTGAAACATGAAAGGCGGGTTCATGCGGTATTTGTATCAAATAAAAACTGATTTCGCTATGCGAACCAACGCAGCGATTTCTTGGGTGGGAAAAATTGTTGAAAAGTGAGATTCTTGACAATTCTTCCCAACACTTACCGAAGCTTGTTTGTTGAAGGGAAATTTGCCCGTCCGCAGTGTCGCGTGTTGCTTGACAGCATTTACCAGGGAGTGACTGAGAGTTCGAGCGCGCACGTGCAGGAGCTCCTGTTTTTGCGATCCTTAGCAGTCGTGCAAGGTAGAAACGCCTGCTCACGCGCAGTCTAGCGCGTACATCATTGCTATTCATCAAAATCAAAAGCCTAAGCCGGATCGTATCCAGAGCGAGCATGCGCGCAGAGAGAATAGTGCATGAGTGAAAGCGGTAGAGGAATCTAAAGATTTTCTTCTCTTCTGTCAAGTTAAGTAAATCGGCGGAAGGAGGCCGAAAAGAGTATTTCTCGATTTTCGTTTGTTTATCCTCCAAAATGATGATGTCGCAGTTCCGGTGCGTTTCCCTCGCCGCAAAGCTGCTCACATTCGGACAGCTCTCCTCCTCCCCGGTATTTGTGGCGGGCCAAGGCAGTGCCGCCGAGGTGGAGCAGTTGGCTGCGGATGCGTTCTCGGTTACGCAGCCCACGGAAGTAAACAACGTGACCTGCGCCATCACGAATGCCACCGACTACCAGAGCCGCTACACGGCTCTCGGCAACCCGAACGCAAATGCGGATTCTGCGCCCGCAGACGAGGAGGTCAGAATTTCGTTCACTCAGACGCAGGACGTGAAATACATCACCATCAAAAACGTGGGGGATGCGGACGCCGCTTTGACGAAGAGTATGTTCCTGGAGTACCAGAAGTCGGACGGCACTTACGCGGTCCTTGGCGGGCTCGATCCCGAAACGACTAAGGCGGACGGCACCAACGTCTACACCCCGACCATGAACGCAACCGGGCCCGTCGCCCTGGAGGCAAGCAGCCCGGCGACCCTGGCCGATTTCTTCAACGTCGCCGCCGGCACCGATCGGTCCGTGGTATGAACCGCGCACAGGAATAAAGCTGCTTCCGTTGTTTCCCGACCCCGTGTGTCTTGAGTTGCGCTGCGAATTGTTCTGTAATCTCTGCACCGTTTGTTTAAGTATTTTTTTTTGCACAGAAGGAGCAGCAACAGCAGCAGCATTTCAGCGAATGAGGGGTTTGGGGGCCCAATTATGGAGAGCTTTTTTGTTTTTCCGCTTTTGTTCCATACCTCTCCATCACAGTCGGCAAAGTGACGCAGGGGCTGCGGCTGCGGGCCGACTCGGAGCACGCCAGCTTCGATGCCGCCAATGGGTCGCCCGCGGCCATCTGCGGTCCGCCGGTGGTTTTTGTCGCGTCGACTAGTGGTCTAGCCCAGGTGGCGGTGGGCAGCACGGCGGCGGTCCAGTATTTGCGAACCAGCACCCTGATGAAGACCGAGCAGCAGCAAGCCTATGAACTGCAAAAGTGTCTGGGTCTGGATGATTGCCAGGTTTGTCATGCATATTTTGAATGACCCATGATATCTATGATGCATGCCCTAGCATCACATATTTTTAGGGGGCTTTGTGATGCCTCTACCGCATGAGAAATGCCCTTTCCGCGTAGCACACACTGGAGTCCCCTTGCTGCTGGTCATGCAATACAAATTTTTTTAGAATCCAGCGACAGCATTACAAGTTTAGAATCTTCCAGACCCAGACACTTTTGCAATCCATAAAGCCTACTCGTTGACCAAGGGGGCGCTGGCTATGGTGGCCGCTGCGAGAACCGCGATGACACTGTCGTAGAAGGAGTCTATGCATTGCAAAAATGTCTGGGTCTGGAAACTTGTAATGCTGCGTTGGGAATAGTGAATGCTCTGTAATGCACAGGCAAGCATGAGAAATAGCTGCGCTTCTTTGTGTTGCGTTTTTCGCATGACAGACTGCGTTTTTGCATGACAGGCAAAAGGGTCTCTTCTTGGACACACATCACAAACTTTTTGGTCATGCCAGACAAGCATGACAAATCTCAAAATCTTCCAGACCCAGACATTTTTGCATTTGATAGAGTCGTAGAGAAGGCGATTCTTATAGTAGTCGCTTGTTCATCTTTTTGGTGAGGTCGAAGTATGTACGTAGTTTTTTTTTGCAACCAGCTAAGTGAAAAAGTATTGCGTTTTTTATGTTTCCGTATGGGTATGATGAAAAATTGGACGTCACCAAAGCATGGCGCGAAGTTTTTTAAGCTGCTTTGAGAAAGGAAAGATAGAAGTCGCGAGGTGGGGGCAGTTGTTTCCAAGAAGCAACTGCGTTTTTTTTTGTTTCAAGATGAATTTCGATACAATGACTCTGTATAATTTCAATGAAGTAGTAATGGTATATCAGAAGGTCTGAAAGAAGAAAACCGGTCAACGGGGACATGGATCGATCGATCAGATTCCAGACCCTTGTCCACTGCCTAGGCCGACTTTCTGCGAGAGCCCCCTGCGCGTTTTCCCGATGACGACTCTTTTCTTTTTGCCTATGACTCTCGAGACAAAAATAGGTGGATTGCAACACCGTATGAGCTTGCACCCACCTGATGGTGTGAGAGAACGAGTGCCTGCTACGTCTTTATTTACAGAAATAATGAAATTCTTGCATCATCTGACCGTCGTGCCACCGTGCAAGTTATGAGTGTCTTTGGTTATCGTTGAGACGAGCGTCCTGATTTGTTGCTTATTTCTGTTTGCAAGCGTCAGAAACAAAATCACTGCAAATGACGTCACTAGAAAAGGGCAGCTATTGCTTTCTTTGCCGACAGAGAAACGTGGTGCAATTGTGGCGAGGCGAGGGACCGTGCCTGTGGTCATTTCCACCTTACCCACCTCGCAGAAACAATGACGGACACCAGTGGCATCACGAGCACGCAGCCGTTGACTGGGATGACCAGTTTGGTATCCGGGTCTTCGGAAATGACTGAGGTGCAAGACACTACGATCCAGCCCATCGACGCACGGACGCTGACCATGTCCATGCTGAAGAAACGGGTGAACACGGTAGTTTTTTTTTTGAGGAATTGTGAATCTTAGTGCACCTAGTGCGATGTGACGACCATGACGTGGTAGTACTACGTAGTACTACGAGGTTGTTCCCCAATGATGCCAATTAGCCCGACGCCCTTGCATGAGGAAGCATGGCGAGAAGATGTTCAGTGATCTTCAACAACGAACAGCAAAACCATAAACCAAACTTTAGGTGAAGCGCGGGAAGGACGAGAGCGTAAAGGGGTGGCTGCGGCGGATTTCGCACCTGCACCTCGAGGAGCTGGGTATCACGCGCTTTGGTGAATCGTTCGCCGAGCAACTTCCGAATGTGCGGGTTTTGTACGCGTACGAAAATGCGTTGCTCCGCGTGGACGTTCTGCCGCTGAAGCTGGAACTGCTGTACTTGCAGCACAATGACCTGTATCGATTCGATTGGGACCGAATATTCCTTTCCGCCGCACAGAAAGACGCGATCAGCGCAGTAATCAACGCGAGTAGGGATAGGGAAAAGGCGGAAGAGCATGCTGGAAGCACAACTGCTGCTGAGGAAGACCCAGATGCAGGAACGTCAACGACAGAGGGCGCAGCTGGTGGAGAGACGACGGCGAGTGAGGCTGCAGCAGTTGTACCGCCGGCGAAACCTGGTCCGACTACTTCGCAAAAAAGTAACACAGAACATCAGCAGCCAAGCAAGCTGGTGATCGAAGCCGCGCAGCTCCGCACGCTGAATTTGAGTTCTAACAAGTTGGAAGAATTGGATTTTTCGCAGGACCGCATGTTCTTCACACGCGCCGACCGGCTTTCGTGGCTGTCGCTTTCCCGAAACCCCTTTCTGACCACGTTGCGGCTCTCGGGCGTCGCGCACTCCCTGGAATTTCTGGACGTCACCCACTGCCGGCTCCTGGACTTGTCCGCGCTGAGCTGCCTGCGCAATTTGAAGAGTTTGCACTGCGAGCACAACGAAATTGACAACCTGCCCGCGGTGGTAGAGCAGTTGCCGGCAAATGAGTTGACCATCCTGACCATCCACCCGAACCCCTGTACCGTGGCCGACAAAAAGTACCAGGAGCCTCTGATTCTCTCCGCGTCGCGGTTGGAAAAAATTGACAGTCGCGACATCACCACCACGGAGCGGCATTTCCTGCTCGAACTGTGGAAGCGAAAGCACGAGCGGGCGCAGCAGCAGGCGGCGACGGCGGCGGCGGCGTCCGAGCCGGCGGGCTCGGAAATGGACGTGGAGCAACAAGAGGTGGTTGCGGGAGAGGACGGTGCGAGTACTACAGCTGCCGTTGTTCCTGCGCCACCTCGTGCGTTGAAGCCGGACCAACATCTTCCGGCAGGACAACAACAGAACGGGCCTGCTCTCGGCATGGTGGTCGCCGGAAGTGGTAGCAAAAAGACCGCCTACGAGGACGGGAAACAGGGGGCGGCGAAAATCAACTTGTGAGTCAAGAATTGATGTGCGCAGGTGGCGCCGGCAGGTTCGTAACTTATTTGCGTTTCGATTTGAATCTGAGTCGTACAACCTGTGTGTTGCCTCTGGAGATGAGGCGCAGAAGTTCTTCTGTCTTTTACCACCACACGCACACGGGGTGATGACGATCCAAATGAACATAAAGCGCTGGAGGTTTCCAGACCGATATTTCACCACACGTGTGCAATCTGATACCTATGTTGTCTGTTCATAGAAATTGCGTTTCTTGTTTGTATTCCAACTGCCCGTGCTATTTGGGAGCAGTTTTCAGGGTGCCATAGAGGAGGGGGTGGCGGCTACTAGCCGCTAGTGTGTTGTATGGGAAAAATGTTGAAGCAGCCTTCGTGAGTTGTGCAGTAGAGGGGCGAAGAGGAAACCTCACAGAGCAGTAAAGATAACAAATTGGGCACGCGTGGTCACCTAAGTAGTTCCTGCTGCAGGTGAAGTAATTTTCTAGAAACCTCCAATCCATCGCCATGAATTCCGCGGCTTAATTGTCGTCTGAAGCTTTCCACGCGAACAAGATTCCATAGACTGAATTAATATGTTTCGACCACTTCGGTAACGGTAAACCGCTCCCGCTATGCATGAAGATGTCGTGGTGCTGCGGAGAGGTGTATACTGCGCACGCCGGGCTGGTCCTCCAACAGTGCCTGTTCGGGGTGTCTATGGTCTTGTACAAGCTGTTCCTGCCCAATTTGAACCCACTCACGCTCTGTCTCGCTCGCGAGGCGGGCGCGGCCGTGGTGCTCTGCCTCTACCTGTGGTACCTCTCCTCCCAACCGGGTGGGCTCGCGCGAGGGGGCGGAAGCTACAAGCCCGGTGGAGGCGAGAACAGCAACAGCCGGAAAAACAGCAAAGGCGCAGGAGCGGGGAATGGTATGAAGAACGGCACCTCTAGTACATTTCTGTACTACCCGGAAGATCATGAAAATGATAATGGCGGCAAGGGCAACTACGCGGAAGACAGCGCAGATGACCGCGTTACCGTTGTCAAGCACTCCTCGAAAAACCACCAGCACTGCTTGGACCGGTACGACGGAAGTGAGTCGCCGGCATCAGGCTCTACAATGAACAGAGGGGAAAATTTCCGCGGCTTTGGACGCAGTCAGAAACGATTCGGCCGAGTTGGCAGTAGTTCGTTTAAAATGCAGCTGCAAGGGAGCAACGATGCGCACCGTAATTTGGCCGCCGGTCGGTGCCGGTCATCGCACACGCTGGCATCTTCCCCGCCGACAAGTGCTGCCGGGCAGCATCGGACGACGCGCAGAGGCAGCCCCGGATACCACGCCGTTTACAGCTCTACAACTTCTGCGCGAGCGTATAATCGGTCGTCGTCCATTGGAGCAGCGCCGAAGGGACGAACCTCCGGGAATGATCGGCGGCGACCGAGCTCGAGGGACGACCGAGTTCTTTTCACAGACGAGCAGGGGCGGGGCCGCCGGCTTCATGACGACGTGCAGCAGCTGGTGGACGAGGGGGGCCAAAATCGGGAAGAAGCGCAACCGTTGTACCACGGTCAACAAACATCATTTCCACAGGGCGGGCGGTTTTTTGGTACTAGCGGCGCAAGAACTTCCACCTACAACCTCGAGGAAAAGAACGACGACGAAAAATCTGACGCGCCGGAACGCACCGAAGTTGGCGGGGGCTCTAGTTGTACTTCTTCGCGCTACGGCCACGTTATCCACGACGAGCAGAAGGAGAACTGCAACTACCGAGGTCGATCGGCAAGTGCATCTGCACGGAATAAGATTACAACAAACCGCGAGGACAACCGCAGCCGAAGCCGCGGCACCACCATCCTTGCACCCGCCTACGACGAAGATCGGAGTTCTTCTCTCCTCCCGCAGGATGGCGAAGAGATCCTACTCACCGAGGAGAGCGATCACATCGGCATTGCGCGGTTTGACCCGAATGCAATGAACCAGGATTTTATCGAGGATGACGACGACGACGACGAGGATTTCCTCGCAGATCCGGAGGCCGCGAATCAGATTCAGACGCGGGGAAGGAGTGGTGGCATCGGCCGCGGGGGCCACCAACTTTTGTCGCGCGTGCGGTGGGACAACTCCGAGACGACGGGCCAACATAGTGGTATCAAGAATCGGCACGACCACGGTGTGGACAGGATTCATTGGGACGGACAGGAGATGTTGAGTGATGTTGACGATGATGATTTCACTGGCAGTTACGATCAACACGCGCTATCGCTGTTCTCACCTGGCGGGCAACAGCAACGTGCGCACGAGCTCAACATGCAAGAACATCAAAACGGGGGAGTACTAGTGCAACATGCCTACAAGAGCTACAGTGGCCGACGAGGAGGAGCTCCTCCAGGGGGCCTCGTCGCTTCCGCAAATAACTACTCTCCCCGGCCGCACCCGCTGTCGAACTTCGGAAAAATCATCCACATCGCGCCGGTGGCCACCTGTCTCTGGGCTGCGCAGATGTTTTGCATTCTGGGCGTGAAGGTGTACGGGCCCGCCGGGGCGGTGATTGGGACCGCGTTTCAGCCCTGGTGCCCCATTTGCACCCTGTTTATCACCAGCTGTATCGTGCGCACCGAGCGCATCACCGTCCCGAAGGTGGTGGGGATCTTGCTGGGCATCATCGGCGCGACCTACATGATTTTCCGCAGCAGCGACGAGCTGAGCGGTTTTTTTTTCCACCGCCGCCCTGCGATCTTCGTCACGCCGAAATCGCAGAAGAGCACGGCCGCTGCTGCAAGTGCCGCGACGGTCGCTTCTGGAACTCCTGCATTGGACCACTTGGTGGAGCGAGGTGCTGTCCAACTCGCAGCGGGATTGCATGAAGGTGGTCCTCACCCGAAAAATATTAAAAAGACCACTAGCATCGCCTTCGCGGTGGCCCCTTCATCTGTTGCATCTTCACCACCAGCAGTGACTGCCCACAACGTGGATGCAAAAATGCCGGCCCACGACCCGTCTACAACAGCAAAGACCACAGGCTCCGGAGTTGCGGCCGGCGCGGGTGCAGAAAAGGCTGCTCTTGAGACAGTGACAGAACCAGGAGCGCGCAAGACCTCCCGAGCGCCTCCTTCTGCAGGGATGCCTGAGTTGGTGGAACAAGGTCAGGAACAACCACACAATCCCGATCGAAAAGTTGCTGCAGGGGTGGAGCTGCAGAAAATGCCGGAGCTCGAGATGAATTCCCGCCGCCAGGACGTCGAACTACAGGAGCAACATGTGGAGCAGACGTTGCGGAAAGAAGGTGACCAGCAGATGGACGAGTTAGAGCGCGAACTGCTGTCTTACATGGTCGACACGAAGAAGATGAGTAGTGAACAGCAGCACGACCAGCGCGGGATGAAGAACAAGAACGCAGCTTCGGTTGGTCAAACAAGTCAGAAAATGAGTCAAGATCTTCAGAACGGGCGTCGAGGCAGTGAGTTGGCATTAGAAGATGACAACGGCGCCGAACAAGCTGCGCGGCAAGAGGAAGTTGCGGGAGAAAATGAAGCGGATGGCTTGTCCCATCGACGTGAAGGAGCCGCGTGGAGGACGTCGTCCGAGGGGACTGTGCCGAGAGGAGATGATGACCCCGGCTACGACACGACTGCTCATCTCGCAAGTTCTCGTCCCGCAGGTCAGAAAAATCTCGAAGATGAACTACTGGCAGAACGCGGGGAAATTACGGGCTTGCACAATGACGTAATGAACGAGCAGCAGGATTTGCTTTCCCAACAACTGAAGATGAACACGAACACGAACACGAACAGCAAACCGTATCAAGCCATGAATTCCCTGCTGCAGCGCCGTCCCATGTTCACGGACAAGCAAAAGCGCAAGCTCGTGCGCGAATTCCAGAACGTGCTCGACAACGCGAAATCTTCCTCCTCGCCGGTGACGAATGGTGGAAGTAGTGGTTCCCCAGACGGCTCGGGCTCTTCCTCTTCCGAGCAATCGGAAATGGAAAGCTTTTCGACGTCCTCATTGCTGGATAACGATAATAGGAAAGCGGCATCCGCATCGCGATCGCTTCCTGAAGGTAGTACCACGACGAGCTTTTTACAAGTCGAGGAAATTACGAACAGCAACACGTTTAATAACTTGCGGGAAACCGAAATTGACCGTGAGGCGCGCGAAAAGCAAAAGGAAAAGTGGCTCTCGTTGCTGCAACAACTTCGCGCAATGAAATCGGCCGCCCGGCGACGGGATGAAAATAAAGGGTTCGCTGATAGGAGCTTCGGAGGTGAAGAAGAAGATGCTTCTTTTGTTCAACGGAACAACCCGGCGGGACCCGACCTTATCCTCGATGCGACGCGCAGGGAAAACCCGAACTCGCAGCAGCAGCAGCAGCAGCAGGACGAGCACCAACAAATAAACGTTGGAACAAATAATGAACGAGTTCACTTGCCAGATGCTTCACCCAACCCCGCTTTGGGTTTTGACGGTGGAAACGGGACGGCGGCGGTGCCGGATTCCCCTGATGAATTGCAAGTCGAAAGGACCATGGGATTGGAGGATATCAGTGCGAAGAAGCCGCTACAGCGCTTGAACCGGGAGCTCACGTTCACGTTCGAACAGCGTAGTGCGTTGAACAACACATTCCCGGCGCCTGAGCAGCAGGGCACAGCCCCTGCAGCTGCGGCGACTACAACAGTGATGAAGCAAGGCCCAGCCGCAACAGGCCGCGTCGCTCGTGCAGGAGGTGAAATGTTGAATATCGGCGGAGTAAATGAAGATTCACCCTATCAGATGGACGACAAGAACCTGATTGCGCAAGAGCAGCAGCAGAACCAGAAGCAGGATCCGCAGCAACAGGTTCTTCCCACGGCGGTCGAGATCGTACAGTCCAAACTTGCGCAGAAGTCCAGCAAAGCGGCGAAGGCGAATAAAGACGTCGTTCTGAACAAGGAAAAAGAAGAACAGAAACTGCTCATTCGCGACAAGTTGAAGGACCAAAGCGACAGCACCGTGCCCACGACCTTTCTGGCACTCCTCGCGTCCTCCCCGCCGTTGGTGGCGTGCGGGCTCTTCCTGCTCAACGACCTTGGCGGCGCGATGTACATTGTGGGCAGCAAAAGTTTGCTGAAGCACTTCACGCCTCTAGAAATCACCGTCTACTCCTACGTGTGTGCGTCTGTGCTGTCGCTGGTAAAAATTGTTTTTTTTGCCTTTCTTCTTCTCGCTTTTTTAGGAATTTTTAGGTTTAGATGCATAAGGAGCTGTTGCCGATTATTTGTTCATCTTCACGCATGCGCTCAAGAATAAAAATATGAATTCCCTTCAGGCTTTCGCGATTCTCGTAAACGATGGGCATGCGCCAACGTTGCTGCACGAGCTGTGCGCCGCCGAGAAGGAGTGCATGCAGCACCCCTGGCGCCTGCCCAGCCTTTGGTTGGTGCTCTGGCTGGTGTTTGTGCCGGGGATCACCTGCTACGCGATTCAAAACTGGGCGGTTGCACGGGTAGCGGCGTCGAAGGTGGCGTTTTATTCCGTCCTGCAGACTGCAGCCTCCATGCTTTTCACGGCGGGACTCATTGAGGCGGGGTAGATTTTCATACAACTCGCTCGTTGACGGATTGCAGGCGTTGCGTTTCGCTTTTCTAAGGGCATTTAGTCGCAGAATTTGCTGCAGAAATGCAAGTAAGATGATGTGCTGGCTATCGCTATTCCCAATAAATATCAGGTTCAACCCCAAGGACGGCGAGACTGGCAAGCACCTCTTGCAGCTTCCCGGAGAGGCGCTGTACGGTTTGGTGCCCATTTGCTTCGGCCTCGCACTCATTATGGTATCGGACGAGCCCGACTCGCTGTCGCTGAAACTCAAAGCCATCAAAAACTAGGCGATAAAGATTGTTATTCGTCACACTCGGTACTGCGTAGTGAAGAAATTGAAATAGACGGACTGAAAGTACTTACGTTACACGATTTTTTTTGTTGAGAATACAGACAGACAGATGTAGGTTTTGTTCATAAGATGAGGGTGAGGAAGATGGTGATGTCATTGCTGCCAATGTTTTTACAATGATCCGGTAAGTTTGTTATGTTGAAGAATTTATAGAAATCTCATCAATCAGAATCAGCTCTCCGTATGTCTTTGATTTGAAAAGAGCCACTTCTTGGAAGCGGAATGTTTTCATCTTCATCTTGAATTTTCAAAAAAAAATATAGGGTTGCCCTGCATCTGCGGAGGCAAGATGCGCTTGGGCCCAGCACTTAAAATGTAAGATTATGATAGGATTGTTTCGAAGAAATTGGAAAATTTCGAGTATAAGCCAGATCAGGTTGTAGTCGTAGGCAAAGTCAGCCAAGAGTCGCGGAAACGCATGGCTCAAAGACACTCCAACTCTTAATGTCAAAACGGAAGTAATGCACGAAAGCAACATGTGGATGACGGATATGGAATCAATATCAAATCAAATCAAAACGAAAACGAACTCCTCCTGAACTATAAGTTCAAATCTTCCGGTCCAGGCTCGCGTTTTGTTCGTGCTTAATCCTGATGACACAAGGATAACAGATCCAGTAGTGTTAGAAACCAAAATGCTCTTGTACCTCGGTATTTTATTCGTACGAAAGAAAACGAAGATCTCGATCTCCAACGGACAAAGTAATTGGCCATCAGGCTCGCACTTTTTTTTGCGATCCATTGTTTGAGTTTTCTCGTTTGACAAATTTGAACCGCAGCGACCGAGACCGTGTGGGACCTTTATATTTTTTCCGATCACAGCACCCCTTCATACTCGAACTTTTTCGAAGTGATATATGGCAGAGAGCAGTGTCGCGACGCATCAAGCACTCTTAGCTGCTTTTTGACACGCTTTGGTTTATTGCGATAATTTCTTGAAAAGAAATAAAGTGTACGGTAACCCCACCCCTAACGCTAACGACGCGAAAGGACTACCTGAAAACATGTTGTCTTGGCTTCTCGGGAGAGATTCGACTGCCGCTGACAGCGGCTCTGACACCGAAGACGAACAGGATACTGCTGGAAGCCGGGCTTTCGTGCAAATCCTCCCGCTAACAAATGGCGAAGCGGAGTTTGAAGAAAAAGCCGAAAAAAGCGACCTCGCGGTTCTGATACTCTGGACGGCCAACTGCGCGGCTGGCGCGAGAGCGCAGTGCGAGAGCGTGGTTTCCAGACTACCGAGGAAAAGTTCTGCTGCAGCTAGTACAGCATCAACTTCAAAGAGTAGAAATATACGCAGGACAACTCTGTCGGCGTTTTCTCTAAAGCTTTCTTCCGAGAAGGAATTGGACTGGGTGCAGAAAAAGGTGAAAGCCCGAATCACTCACCTCCCCGCTGTCGTGTTCCTCGAAAGAGGTGGACCAGGAGGTAGTAGTACGACGGGTCGTGCAGCGGCTTCGTTTCAGGAGCAATCTGGTGGGGGATTGGTCACGGGGGCAAACGTTCCGCAGATCATTCTGCATGCGGAGGCGTTGGGGCACGTGTTTTATTCAACATCTTTATCATCCAGCAGCAACAAAACCAGTTTCTTTTTTCCCTCTTCCCGAGCAGCAGCTAACGATAAACCCTCCTCGACTAGAACGGTGACAAACCCCAGGTATCCCCGAGAAAAGTTGGAACTGGCAGAAGTTACTTCCCCAACTACCCCAGGAGCCGCCGCAGGTTCCACGCTATCTGCAGGGGGATCCACCTCTAGCAGCTCCCGCACCACGGGAGATCCGGCTTTAGACACGCGGTGCGCTGCGGAGATTTCCAAGGAGAAAGTTGTCTTATTCATGAAGGGCAACAAGGACCAGCCGAAGTGCGGGTTTTCGAAGAAGGCGGTGGCACTGCTGAACGATCTCATCGGAGAAAAAGCCTACGCGACCTTCGATATCCTACAAGACGAGGAGATTAGGCAGGTACAACAATATGTTTGATGTTACAGTACATAGCCTTTCGAAAGATAGCACAACTTACCGCGAGGACACCAAATAGAAATACGAGTTCAGTCTGTGTTTGTCGTGGTTAATACTCAGGATTTTTTTGAAAGAAAAAATTGATCGTATCTCCATACCTTGATGTCTTCTCATCTACTGGTACTGCCATGGTCCGGGCCAGTACTTCTAACCAAACCAAAAACTCTCCATATCCCCACCAGGGCCTGAAGAAATATTCTGCGTGGCCGACGTACCCGCAGCTTTACGTTCATGCGGAACTGCAGGGTGGTTTAGACGTCATGAAGGAAATGGCTGACGACGGGTCGTTAATGGAGCTCCTCAAAACTTCTACCCCCGAAGAAGATGAAAATAATCCGGACAACTTATCCCCAGATGAGCTGGAGATGAAGCACAGACTCGAGCCTTTGTTGAACCAGTCTACCGTCATGCTGTTTATGAAGGGCAACCCGGGTAACCCGAAGTGCGGGTTCAGCCGGAAGGCAGTGGCGGTTCTGGACGAGTATTGCGGAAGAACCGGGTACAACACCTTCGACATTTTGACCGACGAGTGGGTCAGGCAAAAGTTGAAGGAGTACAGCAATTGGCCGACCTATCCGCAGCTCTACATCAAGGGGGAACTCATCGGCGGTTTGGACATTATCAACGAAGCCGTGCGAGACGGCTCGCTGGAGGAAGCGATTTTGGAGGCGCGGAGTGGGGCATGAAGATAGATCATCATGATGATGAGATCTACAGTAACGCAAATTTCCGCTAAACCGAAGAAGTCACTGCGCAATGATCACGTGTATTCGTAGAAAGCAAAGTCATGGTGGTGATTCGCTTCTTAAGAAGTCTGTCTGCCCGGGCACCGCGACTGTCCCTGCAACCACATGCGATCTAGTCAGTTTATTTTTCCGGTAAGCGACGAGAAAAGCAAAAACAAAAGTCAAAGAGGATATGGACAGCACGGGGCTCTACAACAACGACAACATGATCCACGCCATGTGTGACAATGGTTACATACAACACGCAGACAGGGAGCTCTCGTCATGTTTGCCTCTGCAGCCGCGCTTGTAGCAGGTGTTCCGGGCACCTTGTTTCTTCTGGCATCGCGATTTTTCGGTCGTGATTGTAAGGTGTTGCGACGCGACCACGACGCACGGAAACGAAAATAAAGTAAAATCAAATGGAAGATATATGATTGTCGAATGGACGTCGACGTGCGTACCGAGCATTTGTCTTTTTGTTTATCGTCATGTAAAACCGACATCACCAACCTTTGTTTGTCGTGTGTGCGGTTCATTCTGGTGTAGTGTGACCTCTCAGACGGGTCGTGGTAAACGCTTCAGTTTCAAAATTGGAATTAGCTTTGTTGGCTCTAATTCTAGACTCAAATTCTTCGCGTTCGCACTGGTTTGACGCCATGTAGTTGAACTTCTGTGTATATTTTATTACTCGAATTTCAACAAAGATGCCAGAACAATTTTCCCCCACAAGAATCCAGCCACCGGTCCAAAAATGCGCCTGGTGTCCCGCGGAGACAACAGACGGGGCGTCTTGGCGGGACAAGTACTTCTGCAAAAGCTGTTGGGCTTGGTGGAACGAAAAAAAGCAACCGCCGCAGTTGCGTTTGCGCGTCATACACAGGGAGCAGCTGAGGAGGTGCGACAGAAGTAGGCCGAAGCCTTGTAGCTCATCTCCCGATCATCAGGATACCGTCGAAAGCGTTTCGTCGTGGCCAATCGGTTTGGGTGAAATCATTCTGCTTCCCGGGTACTACGAAGACGCTGACGCCCGGGACTGTTTTGACTTGCTCGTTTCGGCGCAGACAGAATCAAGAATTTCTGAAGGCAATCCTGTTATCCCGTGGAGCTGCCATCACAAGCTGGATTTAGACAAGCTCGAGAACAGTAAATCCGCGGATAACAGGTCGAAACCCGCTGCGATGGAGATGCTTGAAGCTTTATTCCGCGACTGGGAAAGGCGCTTTGACTATCCCACAGAAAAAAGCTGGCAGGGCATATTTGTAATGCAAAAATAAATACACAGAAATGAAAGACTTGCCATGGGCGGCCCCATAGCATGCTGCTTCGGATATGCAATGCAGATTTTCTTGTGTATTTATTTTCGCATTACAAATATGACCTGCCAGCTTTTTTCTTTGGGATATTGACGTCCGAGTGCTGGAAAAACGCGTGAATTTTTACAAGGACAGTGACTACAAGCCCTTCCACCAGGACTCGCACTGTGTGCACGAGCCGACGGGAATCCAGGAGGAGATCACTATTGCCGCCACCTTTGGCGCCGCACGGGACGTTGCGTTCCGCCCGTTGCGAAGTAGTTCTGGAGTGACCACTGGTAGAAGTGCCTTGCACAACAATCAAGATCTGTTCAATTTGAACTTGTTGCAAAACAACGGCGACGTGCTTATTTTCGATACGGTTGTGAACAAAGTGCTGGAGCATGGCGTACCAGACCTACGGGTAGCAGGCGTGGACAATGAAGTACCAACAGCTGTTGATGCGTCGACCTCCCCTTTCACACGAATATCTGTGGTCGCCTGGTGTGCGCGAAATAGCACGGTTAGGTCTACTAGGGGTCATGGTGATCCTTGTTGCAGGTGACATTTTAGAACATACTTTTTTGAGAATAAGTGCAGGAAGAGTAAAAGACTTTCATACACAGGCCCATATGTGGATCTGTGTCGCGGCCCTTTTCGTTTTCCTTTTTCTATGTTCGCCTCGGAATTTAATTTTATTTAATCCAGAGTCGGTGGACGCGATTGGTCTTTTGATTATGAAGCACGTAATTGTGATGTGATGAACATGAAGTGTTACGCATGATGATCTGTCCAAGTCCATGGCTTCCTTGCATGATGTACTTACTGCGCCGCCAGCGCAATTTCAACCTTTTATGGTATGAAGTGTGCACGAAAAATAACGCGAAAGGACGACTTGCACCCGCAGTTTGTTAGTACAGTCCCGTTCCGCGTGCGTTTGCTCGCCGGCTTGACGGAGCTTTCTGTTCACTTCTTGCACGTGACTGAACGGCCTTGAGTCCTCCCGTCAGCCTCCAGTTGGTAAAGTATGGCGCTTTAACAAACTAGTACTAACTAATTTGCAGCATCGAATAGCTGTCGTAATCGTAAAAATGATCTCATCGAAGGTCGTCACACTGATCGTCATCGTATCGCACATCAACATAGTACAACATCGACCATCGTCGTCCGACGTTAGTTCATGAGAAAGTATGTTGGATACGGCTTTTCGAAAGAAACATGCTCAAGTCCTTGCTCTCATCGTGATCGGATTTTTCGTGAATGGTATCATGGATAAAAGAGTTAGACTACACTTTGAAAGAGCCGCTCTCTCACGATTTTGATCATTCCTCGATCAGGACCATGAAGCAGTTCTAGAGTTGTGTGTGGTTTTGTTGGTCGCAGGAGTCTCCTCTTCGTCCTGTACTATCGTATTCTTTCAGGTCCAAGCTGTGTTTGGATGTTTCTAGTTCTACGTAAGAGCAATTAACAGAAATAAAAATGGTGTACCAGTACAACTACAAACATAATCACCACGCCCGTGGTCGTCGTGCTAGTGGCAACATTCCACCTGCTGCCAATAGTGCGATGGGGCCCAAGGAGGTCTGTTGTACGTCTAAGCCGCAGGACCACGACCCGCCCGTTGCGTACAACAACTCGCACAACCACAGCCGGATGAAGAATTCTCATTTTGCAAATTATCCGCAGACAATCGGCCAGACACGAACGTCCTTCCACCAGCCGCACGCTACCAAGCACAACAGCACCAGTGGCACATTCGAACAGGACTCCTTCTACAGTCCTTCCGGGAGACCGTCGTGTACTAATCACCAGCCGACCCGTCGAAACTCGTATCAGTCTCGCACCGGATTGGCGCACAGCGCAACTAGTACACGGGGTGGAGGAATGGCTTCGGCTTGTGGACACCAGCATAAAATCGGTTCGTCGTCTGTGGTGAGGGCCGAGATTCATTTCAACAATCCAGGACGAAGTGTAGATGATCATGTTCAGGATTACCATGATGAAGCAGCTTCTCACCGTGATCCACTTCCAGACTCGATCCCAAATCATGCGGTGCGGCGACTGTCTGACGTTGAAATCGAAATTTCTCCGTCGATGTTGCCGGAGTGGCAACAAGTGGCTGGACGAGAAACCGGGACGTCGATTTTGAACCCGACCTCGACCAGTGGAAACAACATCTACCACCACTTTTCCTCATTTTCATCTGCGAGCGAAGACCAAATTCCGGGCGACTACTTTGGGCAGCAGGAGCGGACGCAGACCGCGACAGGAATGATTTTTGCGGACAATCATCAAAACCTGAAATCGCAGGAGAAGCACCTACAGGAGCACGATTTCATTTCCGGCTTCGCCCCCGTGCAGCCTGCGATCATTTCGCCGAGCACGAGCAAAGAACAAATTCCGGTAGGAGTGTGAATCACCTCCCCACCCCTTTGAATCACCTCCCCACGCATCACCCCCCCACCCGTATCACCTACCCACCTCCCCCGCATCACCTCGTGACGCGACCGCATCACCCCGCGTCTCCTCCTCGTGTGCTCTTTCCCTTCTCCGCCCTTGCGCGTCACCCTTTTGCCTTCCCCTTCTCCCTGGCCCTTCTGAATGTTGTGCGCTCTTGGCCCCCGGCGTGCCTCCCTGCCTTGACTCCCTGCGGCATTGGTTTGCGTGCCCCGTGGGTCGTTCCATGCTCGCCACGTTAGGGCCACCGGCCGACATCTGGTGGCCGCGTACATAGGCGCATCTGTCATGCAGGATGAGGGCTCACGTGCGTTGTGGCAGATAGCTGCTGGCTTCATGGCCGCGAGGTAGATCGATAGCACAGAACGAAGCCAAGCAACAAGCATCCAGACGTAGGCACGTTCTGGTCGACCATCGCGGGGAAGCGCAACGCGGTGGGGAAGTGTTGGACGGCAGGGAGGTGGGGAAGTACCTCCCCACCTCCCCACTACTGGGGAGGCACCTCCCCACACGTGGGGAGGCACCTCCTCAGGGTGGGGAGGTAGGGAGGTGGGGAGGTGATGCGTGGGGAGGTGATTCACACCATAGCCACAAATTCCGGTCGACTACTTTGAGCAGCAGAAGCGGGCGCAGACTGCGACAGGAATGATGTGTGCGGGCAATCATCACAACCTGAAATCGCAGGATGAGCAACAGCAGCACGACTTCATTTCCGGCTGCGCCCCCGTGCAGCCTGCGATCATTTCGCCTACCACGAGCAAAGAACAAATTCCGGTAGGAGTGTGAATCACCTCCCCACCCCTTTGAATCACCTCCCCACGCATCACCCCCCCACCCGTATCACCTACCCACCTCCCCCGCATCACCTCGTGACGCGACCGCATCACCACCGCAACGGCCGGAGGTGATGCAGAAGCAGAGCCGGCTGCGGCCTTGGTTGTTTCGGGTCTATGGTTTAGGGCTCGGGGTTTAGGCTCGTCGAGGCCAGCTGGCGCGATGGCGCCGTCGCGCCGGCTGGCTCCGACGATTGTCTCCTCCTCGTGTGCTCTTTCCCTTCTCCGCCCTTGCGCGTCACCCTTTTGCCTTCCCCTTCTCCCTGGCCCTTCTGAATGTTGTGCGCTCTTGGCCCCCGGCGTGCCTCCCTGCCTTGACTCCTTGCGGCATTGGTTTGCGTGCCCCGTGGGTCGTTCCATGCTCGCCACGTTAGGGCCACCGGCCGACATCTGGTGGCCGCGTACATAGGCGCATCTGTCATGCAGGATGAGGGCTCACGTGCGTTGTGGCAGATAGCTGCTGGCTTCATGGCCGCGAGGTAGATCGATAGCACAGAACGAAGCCAAGCAACAAGCATCCAGACGTAGGCACGTTCTGGTCGACCATCGCGGGGAAGCGCAACGCGGTGGGGAAGTGTTGGACGGCAGGGAGATGGGGAGGTGGGGAAGTACCTCCCCACCTCCCCACTACTGGGGAGGCACCTCCCCACACGTGGGGAGGCACCTCCTCAGGGTGGGGAGGTAGGGAGGTGGGGAGGTGATGCGTGGGGAGGTGATTCACACCATAGCCACAAATTCCGGTCGACTACTTTGAGCAGCAGGAGCGGACGCAGACTGCGACAGGAATGATGTGTGCGGGCAATCATCAAAACCTGAAATCGCAGGAGGAGCAACAGCAGCACGATATCAAAAGGAAAAATCCCCCCTCCCCATATCAAAACGAAATTTCTGATGCTGGATTTGGGTACACAAATTTGTGTTGCAGAAAGGCATGGCGGCCAGATCCGCCGGCTAGCTGGGGGCGTATGGGTCTAGTTGCTCAGCATGGCAAACGGCCTCCCTTTAGGCCCAACGGCATGACAAAACGCCTCGATAATATGGCGGAAGCTTTTGCCCTTGTCTTCTTGCAAGACAGATGTGATTTGTGACCTCAAATCAGCAACACAAATTTCCGGAGACATACCTTTTCAATATGGGGAGGGGGGATCTTTCCTCTCAATACACGACTTCGTTTCCGGCTTCGCCCCCGTGCAGCCTGCGATCATTTCGCCGAGCACGAGCCGTAGCGGTTCTTCAGAGACCACTGCGTCCTCCGCGATGCACTCCAATACAACTGCTGCTGTAGTTGGGGCCGAGAGTGGTTGTAATATTATTGTCAACCAGGAACAATTAAACGAGAACAAGAGCAATTCCGAGCAGCAACAGCAGCAACAGCTGTCGATGGACCACCCAAAAGTGTTTCAGAAGCCGGGGCTGGGCAACGAGCGCGCGCTGTTCCTGCAGCGCGACCTGAGCACCGGGGCGGTGATTCGCGAGATCGTGGTGTCCAAGAAGTTTTTGGCCACGGTGAAGATCGGCATCCCCGCGCGCCACCCGTTCGGCGCCGCGAAACGGCTGATCGGGCCCCGGGGGCACAACATGAAGCTGATCTCGTCTATGGATGCGTCAGGATCGAAATCAACAAAAGCGAAAAATTTGCGATGCATGAAATCGATACCAGTTGGACCCCCAGTTTTCAAGTGGCGCATGACAAATTTTGGGGGCTGATAAATCCAGTCTGTCATGCTGTTTGGGCAAAGTACTTAGACTGCTCCTGTCATGCTGCTCTGGCAACGCGTCTTCTTCCCCTATTAATAAACAGGCTTGCAATCGGTCTCATTTGCCTTCTTCCCAACACAGGCCTTATGTGCCCTACATTCTATGCATATACAAGTTTTGCGATTTTGTCGATTTCGATCCTGACACTCCCATATCGTCCCTGGTGCCAGGGGCGAAATTGCGGCTCAAGGGCAGTTCGACCAATGAGGACGCGCAGCGGGTGGGGGGAGCGCCGGAACAGGTAGTATTGTAGATGGGATAGTTGGATTCCTTTCTGTGATGTTCTATATCATGTAGAAATAAATCCCGATGCGATTCATTTTCATAATTCATGAGTGAAAATGAATGAGTCTGCATCTTCATCTATTCTTCTTCGCACCCCTGCTTCGGCATGAAATAAAGTCTCAAACGTTTCCAAACAGCCCCTGCAGCTTTTCATCTCCTGCCATGGGAGCGACAACTACGTTCGTGTGAAAGCGCTGACCACGAAACTGCTCACCCTCGTCTACCAGGACTTCAACACCTACACGAGGAACACGCACCGAGTGACTGTGCAGTGGAAGGACCACCCGCTGAACCCACAAATTGCGGATCTGCACGACCGGTTAGCCGCGCTGAAGCCGCTTGTGGACTCCGTGTCCTTCGTGCTGGCGGTCACTACGAATGCGAATTCAGCCGTATCTGCTGGTGGAAACAACAGCAGTTTTAATACAACAGCTGCATCTGGTCGTGCTTTTGGTTCATCTTGTCACCAGCACGGGGGCAACGGAATGAACAACTACAACGGGGGGAAGAATCCAAATCCTTATCCTTCCGTGTACATGCACACTGCCAGCGGCGGCACAAACCACCAGATTAATATTGGCGGGCCGCCCGGAGGCAGCTGCAATGGTCCGCGAGATGGAAGTCAGCTAGGCGAAGCATATCACAACGTCTGCTGGGCGGAGGGGGACCAAGAAGTTGGGTACGGAGACAATGACAACTGTAACTACCACCAAGTGTAGATGGGCGAATAATTCGTCTACTACCACAACAAACCACTGGTATTAACTAATCGCGATCGCCGAGCCGATGGATTAACGAAAAATAATTATTGATCATGTTTGTGATTATCGTCCGAGTTCCTGACGGCTATCTTGCCGAGCAGCTTGCTGACTGTGTGTAATTCATGATTAAGGGTTCCCACGGGCACGGTAGGATTAGCTTTTAGCCCTAAGAAATTGAAATTCTGCATCCCGGTTTATTGTTGTTGACCCACCTCATCCTCATGTACATGTACAGATGCAGGGAAAAAAACTCTACCACACTACTTCAGCTTACTACTTGTTAAAAATGTCTGAAAGCACAGTGTATCTATGTTATTCGTATCTTACTGGTAAAGTCCTGACCTTGTTGTACAAAAGTTTCAGCATCTCTATTCTTGCTCACAATTTGTAATTTTCGCTCCGTTCGTCTCTGTATCAAAAGTCACGAAATCTTGTAAAAAACAAAATCAGTTTGTAAATTGTAAATTCAACTTTTCGTCTTCTCTCGTCTGTTGTACTCTACCGGAAAACTAAACGATCGTCCTACCTGTACCTTAGTTCCAAAAATGACTGCACTCTACTACGTCGCATTAGGTTTAGGCCTCACTGTAAAACTAAATAAATCAAAATGAGATAATTGCGCTACTTGCCAAGCAGCAAATTGAACGTTGATCCTCATCTTCAAAGAATACAAAAACCAATGAATGTTGTGGGCTACCACAAAGGACAAACGTCGATGACACGCATCAATGTGAGCGTCGTGCCCACCGCGTTTATTGGACCGCGTCCGGGTCCGCTTTGTTTAGGTGAAGAAAGTCAGATGTATCCTTTCTCATTCGATGACCAGCAGAGGCGGGAGAGACAGAGGATAGCAGAAACGCATATACATAAATGATTTAGCGAAGTCAAATAGCAGAACAAGACAACTTTGAAATTGAAAAAATCGTCACCCAACATCAAAAATGCCTATACCTCATGGCTTAGAATCACCAGCGGCCGACGCTGATCTTGACGCAGCGCGGTCGTCGAACGACGTGGATGGGACGAGGAAAACTACCCTCGAGAACTCTTTGTCCCGGTCCGCTGCCTGCTACGCAGGGCATTGGGACGAGCAGTACCTCAGCGCGGCGCACAAGAGGACCGACTTCGAGTGGCACTTGACGTGCGACAAAGTTCTCGAGGTAGTGCAGAAGTACTACTGTTATGTGGATGTTGCACCGACTCAGGAGACGGGTGGAACCGCCACAGAAATACAGGGAAGAAGTTCAATTGTCACGACGGTTCATAGTGCAAGACCAGAAGACTCGGCGCCGCCCACCCGTCCTCCCACCCACTGCGTCATCGACGTGGGATGCGGGAGCAGCACGCTCGGCTTGGAACTGGCACGAAGAGTCCCCTTGGCGAGCGGCTTCGCGGAGGTTCATTTAGTCGACGTCTCACCGGTCATATACGACACGATAAAAGCGAAACTTGAGGAAGAGACGGCGGGGAACGAACGGGAAAATTTGCGACAGACAGTTGTGCGGGAACGAAGCGCCATGTCCCTCGACGATTCAGACGAAATAAAGGCAGTGACATCTTCACGAAAATATGATAAAACTGTGTACTACCTGCCGCCGAGGATCAAGGAACAACATCAAGCTGGATCTGACAATTGGGTAGTCGTCGAGCCGCATCTGGGCGACGCGAGGGTGATGCGTGATGCCTTCCTGAACTCGTCGAAAAGAACTTCGAATGGCGATAATTTTCCTGCTATAATGACGACCGTCCTCGACAAGGGCACCTTAGACGCGCTGGACAACGACGGTGACCGAGAGCAGATGCTCGATCAGTGCCTATCTCTGCTTCACCCAGGATCGCAAGCGGTTTTCGTGTCTGTCAGTTTTGCCGCGGCTCAGCGGGTGCAGTTCCTGGACCGGCTCTTCGGGGTGGAAGTAGAGACAAGTAGGACGGAAATAAGTCCGATGTCGAATAAGAGCCATTCCCATTTGAGGTCTACTGTTTCAAAAGCCAAAGGAAATACGAAATACGGCGACTCCCACTTCTGCCACACCTACGTTTCGGCCGCTCGAGGAGAGCGGGACTTGCGTTTCGTGACGGTCATCGGCCGGAGAGACGGCTCCGCTGCGAAGGTCGAATACGACCCAGATGCTGCGACAGGGGAGCTCTTGCACCGAATTCGAGAAACTGGAAGCATTTTGGAAGATGATCCAGCGGAAGATGGTGCAGAGGACTTCTGCATCTCGTTTGGGAATTAAAGTTGACTTGTTAGCGACATGAGTTGAGATGACCAGATTAATGCCATAGGACATTTTGTACCTCATCAAGCGGCTATCGAACCTCTGAAATAAAACGACATATATCTAGTTCCATTTTTCGATAACTCGAGTGATTGCAAATCGCTGGACCTGGTGCGGTGCATCAGCATGCTTCATCACCTTCAGCTCTCTTTGTTTTTTGATCTTGAGTTCGCTTTCTTCTCCAGAAAGCGAAAGGCAACCGCTTCCTCGTTTTTCTTTTTTTCTTCTCTCTCATGATGAGGGACGACGGACTGAGGCTGCGCAAACTTGAAAGAGAGTATGGAGAGGGGACAAGCGAGAGAGCCTTGTTTTGATCGTGCCGAGTGAAAAATTGAACAGGAGGCGGTATTGCTTGAGTAGTTATTTTGACAAGGAATCTCAATCTGCACAGAGGTTGAAAAAATGAACCGCTACTTTAAGTGATTTTTTTCTTCACGCCTCAGTTCTAAAATACATCTATATCTATGGGTGTTTCATCTCTTCACTCCAGCAGATGATGGACTTTTTGCGCAACAGCGCCGGCTCTTTCGCGAATAGGGAGACTAAATCCCGAAACTACAGCGCTGAGCGAATCCCGTTTCCGGAGAGCGTCGACGATGCGAGTTCCAGCTCGGGCGCCCGTGCGATTTTTCCCGGCGGAAAGCGAACAAGGAACAACCAAGCATCCCGCGGCACCGGACAAGATAGAAACGACGATGCTGTACAAAACGACAGTGAGGAGGACGAGGAGGACATTCCTCGTAGCAGCGAAGATGAAGCTACGAGCAGCACTTCCTCAAGCAATTCAACCAGCAGCTCTTTCGACGAAGCGGCCCACGCTCGGAAACTCTCCTCCACGAGAGACTCTACTGCCTCCACTCCCAGCCTGCTGCGCACACTCTCTGGGCGGGCTCGCCAGATCGCGGCCCTCACCGCCGGCGTGCGGTCCCACACCCACCGTGAGCGGGATATGCGCGCGGTTTTGGTGATTTGCTTGCGCGTGGGCGGGAAGTTCGAGTTGGAGGAAAAGTACGTGAGGAAGGTGGCGCGGTTATTAAAAAGCAGCAGTCCCGACACGTACGGCCTGGACAAAATGGTTTTGCGGAAAAAGCTCCAGCTAAACCGCAACTTCCTGCACAAGCTGATCCTTTCCGAGCTGGTCGCGGGGTGCGCGCGGCAGGGCATGTGCCTCTTCGACGCGCTGGACCCGCGGGCGGGGAACTGGATCCACTTGGCGAAGACAAAACAGTACAGCATCCTGAACCCGCCGGCCCTCCACATCGTGAAAAACAAGGCGTTCCTGGGGGTCATGTTCTACGAACCGCCGGACTGGCGAACGATTTCCAGTCGGGAGCACCGGGAGCGGGCCAGGAAGCGCGGGGAGGAGGAAGAGGAGGAGGACGCGGGAGACTCTGGAGGAGGCGGCGGCCAAGCGGCGAACATTGTAAGTACTAGAATAAATATCACTTTTGTCATGCTTCATCATTTAATTCGCTTGGTACTAAGGAGAAAGACCGACCTCTTTCGTCGTTGTTTACTGAAGATGTTGTCGTCGTGGTCAACATGCGTATTTATACGAAGTAGGGCGGGCACCAGTAGGAACAAGACCAACAAAGAAGTGAGTGCACCACTCTACTTTTTCATCAGGGTACCAACCACTTCGATCCTTTCCACGTGCGCGCGACGTTGCGGCTCCACCGGGATCTGCACCTCCTGCCGACCTCGGTCTTCGAATGCACCCACAGTTTCCAATATGACAGTGCACAACTCCCCCTCCCGCTCATTTGTGTTGCATGAACAGCAACACGAGCGCTGGCAAAGATGCAACTTTTGCATGGCAAATTCCTAGGGGTTTGGCGGGCTTTTTCGTATTCCGGAATCTGTCATGCAAACAGTACTAACAGGCAAAGGGTGGATTTGAAATTTTGCATGACAACTGAGATCGACGATAATAGTTGCGTTGCTGGTCCTGTGCCAGTCGCGGGGCATGTTCGGGTGTTCCGGGCTGTGCTTTGTGCACCCCTCGGACCCCGCACCCCCCCGGGCTCAGTAGCGCAGTCTGTTAAGCATGACAAATGAGGGGGAGGGGGAGTTGTGTACTTTCATATCCAACTGGAGCTGCTCCACGCCGCGCTGGACCAGATCTGCTTCGACACCGAGTCAAAGCTCGCTCTGATGCTGCGCGAAGCCGAGGGACTCGTGTACGGCCCCGGCGGGGGAGGTGCCGGCGGAGCCGCTTCTTCGCCCCATGGAAGTTCGCCGGATAGAAGCAAAGGCTCCACTAGTTCTGGCCTCCCGGCACCACCAGCTGCACCAACAGAACAATCCCTCCCCTTCGCGGAAAAGTTCGTGACCAAGAAGCTGGAGCAGGCGGCATGCTTGGACGCGGTACCCGTGCTCCCCTTCGCCCAGGCCATTGGGTTTGTCAAGGACGTCTTTGCGCTGCACGAGCAGTGGGACGACGAGGGCGCGCCGCACATCAGCCTGCGCGAAGGTCTGCAGCCGATTCGTTGCGACGGAAATAGTCATGGGGCTACGGACAGAGGGAGTATGGGATCATCAAGAACATTCGATGGCGAAAGGGAAAAGTTGTCGGAGGCCCATGAGCGTGATGTACGTCGAAATTATGCCAACGGTGCCAGCGCAGACGTACTCAATTCCACGTCCGACAGAATAACGATCGGCGGAACAAGTCCTCCATCCCTGTTCGGGTTTTTGGCCCGAGGGTTGACCACCACCGCGGATGAGGATGGAGAGCGGGATGCAAGCATACTGACTTCCGACGAGGAAGGTCAAGCATCTTCCAACGTAGGTGGACGGACACGACGAAGAGACCACGGCGGCGATGTTTCAACTGACGACGACGAGGACTTGGACGATCAGCCGTCGGCAAGCAGCCCGGCAGACTTCACCAAGAAATTTTTTCAGCGCGCAGGGACCTTCGTCCGGTCGACAATGAAGCGAACGAGTCACATGTTGCTCGGGAACAACAGAAAACCGCCCAGCGAAATGCTCGCCGCGGAGGTGGAGCTGACCACGCAGCAGCGGTCCAATTCGAGCAGCCGAGCGACGCGTGCGGCGACGCGCGGGCGGAGAACGGACGAGGAAAGCGATTTTAATGTCCTTTCCGAGGGCAACCACAGCACGGCGCCGCCGGGTCGTGGTCGAGCGGGAAATAATAAAGATAGAGGTACAGCAGGTAGCAGAAGAACGAACAAGGGCAACACGTCGAGCACCAGGGCGGCACACCTGCCCCGCGGCCGGGCGTCATTCACTGGCCTGAGCTACTCGGTCGACGATGCTTTTGACGCACCGTTCGTACAGGGCACGAGTCCCGCGTTTCTCGCCCGCGTGGACGCGTACTTCAACTCGGTCGAGGTGGTGGAGCACATGAGCATCATGCAGGGCTACTTGCGCGCCCTGTCCACCTACCCGGTGGTGCTGGGAATCTTAGTAACGATAATGATGTTCCTGACCATATCCTGAGTAAAAACGTACCCACACCATAGTCAAGATGGGGAATCGGCTAGACAAATCCACAAGTTTTGGCTCTTTTGCATGACAAATTTGGATTCGTAGTGTAGTGCTGTTTGAGGTAGCTCAGCAGCATCACAGATATCGCATACCATGCTGATTGGAGCATGACAAATTGCAAAACACGACTAGAAATTGCTTCTCATGACGCTCCGCATGAGAAACATTTTCAGCATGCAGATTTGCATTACAACTCTGGCGTGGGTACGTTTTTACTCAGGATAGACCACCGGGTTGTCTGGCCCGCAGATGGACTACACGATCGGCCTGTATTACAATGAAGAATGCCCCCACCCCCGAACTTGGGAGCATTTGTATTGCAAACCTTTCCAAATGAAACATTCGCCCTCTTGCTCCTATCAGCATCACAGGTTTCCAATGGTGAATAGCAAACATTGGTATTGCAAAAGACCCCAGCAAGAGCGGCGCTTGTCATGCAAGCGATGCGATACGGATACACACCTAGATTCTGCAGCAGAAAGATTCATACTCCTTTCATGCATGACAAAAAGTTTTCATTTGGAAACTTCGCATCACAAATTTTTCCAATTTCAGGGGTGGGGGGCATTTTTCACTGTAATAGCCTGCGCCGCACGTTTGGAGATTTCCTGTTTACCGAAGAAGAGGAGGAGATCGAGGAACAGACTGCGGATTATGCTGATTTCGGGTCCTCTACTCCACTCGGACCTTCCTCTAGTGCTGCTGCCGGAACTTCTGGCTCTACTTCCGCAAGAATGCTGCAAGCCAGCCAGGGAGAAGAAGAGGAAGTCGGCGTGGACGATTCGGATCATGGGAGACACTCGGGTAGCAGTGGCAGTGGAGTAGAGCATGCCACGATTGCCTCTTCAGTGGGAAGAAAGTTTTCATCTCGCAACGAGGAGAAGGGAGCGAGTCGTTCGAAAGACGAACTTTTTTCCACCAATACTGCAGAGCAAATGCAAATGCAGCGCGAAGCCGACCCGGATTTTTGGCGGTACACACCGGACCGGTATCTCCTTGCGTACCAGAAAGCAAAGACCCAGGCTCAGCAGAGAGAAAAGAACGCAAGGAGAAAAATGACGAAGCAGGTGGATGAACATCAAATAGATAAGAGGAGAAGAATGACAGGACTATCTGCTGACGAGGGTACAAGAACAACGAGCCAGATAAATGATCCCCCTCCACGGAAACGGCGGCAACTGTTGACGCAACAACCAGCGCAGGACCCGGCGGAAAAGGCGATTTTGATGTGGAGTCTGGAGTATCCAGTGCAAAACTATCGTACTCGTATTGCAATCATGCATTACAAATCCTTTACCTAAGGTCAATCTGCATTACAAATTTTCCTTCTCATGCTGAGGGAATTTGTAATGCATTTATACGAGTACGATACTTTTGCACAGGATATGGAGGAGCAGGCGTACGCGAGTTACGTTGCGTTTCTCTCCCTCGTATCAAATGTAAAAATGTCTGGGTCTGGAAGAATGCGCGATTTGTCATGCAGCTTTTCCATGACCCATGAGGTCTGGAATGCAGGACCTAGCATGACAGATTCTGTGCGATCCCTCTCATGCCTATCCTGCATGAGAAACTCCCTCGCGACTTGGTCAAAACTGGACGACTTTTGGTAATCATGCAACACAGATTTTTCGCTGCTTCAGATTTAGCATGAGAAGTTGGATTCTTCCAGACCCAGACACTTTTGCAGTTGATACCTCGTGCTCCCCATCTGGGCGACGTTCTACACGGTGAAGCAGAAGCGGAAGGTGCGTTTTGTGGATTACAATGTGGAACTGACCCGCCACCGGAATCTGTACTGCGTCCGGTGGTCGATGCATGGGGACATCGTGGACCACATGAGCATGAGCCGCGAGAAGGAGTTCCGCAGCAAGAAGGCGCTGGAGGAGCTAGTGCGCGTACACCACGACAACGACGTGGAGCAGCTGCGGCACCACTTCCAAATTTTTCAGCAGCACACCGCGGCCAGCGTGCACGGCAAGGTCATCCTCGACTCGGACACGCTGAAGAGCACCCTGCTAGCGGAATTTTACGAACAAAACACCCAGACGGAGTTCCTCAAACTCAGACTCGAGCATGTCGCGGAGCAATTGATTCTGGTCCCGCAGGGTGGGGGTCAAACAATAAATGGGAACATCAACAAGACGATCATGACAAGAATGGACGAAACTACGGAAGGAGGTCGTGAAGATAGTACTATTGCAAGAACTTCATCATCTTCCCCCTCGGTTGATGTATTATTCAACAGCAACAAAAACGTCGCGCACCTGCCGAGAAAACCCATCGACTTCGATTACGGGCACGAAACCTCGCGGTTTATGGAGGTGAGTTTGCGGCTGACGGAGCGGATATCAAAGTGAAAAAAGCCCCCATCCCATATCGGAAACGGAAGATGCGCGAATTTGTGATGCTGTATTTGAGTACACAAATCGACTTGTATTGCTAGAAGGCCAAGAGACGAGGAAGCTACGGCCTAAATTGCAGGTAATCTGTCATGCTGTTTAACACTTCCAGCTGCCTCCTGTCATCCGGGAGCTGCAAGGCTTTCCCAAGCTAGGCAGCACTGCAGTCCGCATCTTTTGCCTTCTAGCATCACAAAGCTGATCTGTGAGCACAAATCTGCATCACAGATTTCCTTTTTGATATGGGGAGGGGGCATTTTTCATTGTAATAGCGGAATCTGGAAGCCCAGGGCGGCATCTCCGCCAGTCGGTACGCAGCGGTTTTTATCGTTTTGGCGCTGATGCTGGTGGTGTCGGCGTCCTTTCTGCAGCGCATGCTGCAGCTGTTTCTCGACTTTGAGCACCTGGCCTTCACCGACGAGAAGGTGCAGGCGGCGATCGGCACGAGTATCATCCGTTTTCAGGTGTTCGTGAACATCCCGAGTTTGGTCTACATCCTCGGCTTCCAGGTGCTGCTGCGGCCGATTTTCTGCGTGATCGGGAAACTCCTGACGAAATTGGAGGGGCACATCCTGCGCGACCAGTACAACGTCTCCTTGGCTTTGAAGGAGGCCGTGTTGGACGCAGCGGGCAACCTCGCGCTCCCCCTGTACCTGCTCATCGCCGTGAACGAGCAGCAGCGCGCGGTCAGCTACTGCATCCTGCACATTCTGCTGCGCGCGTTGTTCATGAACCCTTGCCTGTTAATTCTCGTACCGTACCTGTGGACGCTGTACAAGGCCCGACGGACGACGCTGTCGCTGTATGGTGAGCAAGAACGTCCCCACCGCAGAATCAAGATGGCAAGTCTGCTACACAAACCAACCAGCTTTGGCTGTTGCGCATGAGAAAGCTGGGCGCGCAATGTGGTCGTCTTCAGCTAGCGAAGCAGCATCACAGATTTAGCATACCATGCGGATGCGGGCATCACAGATGGATCGCAAAACACCAAGAGAGACTGCTTCACATGGGTCTCCGCATGAGAAACATGTTCAGCATGCAGATTTGCATTACAACTCTGGGGAGGTGGGGACGTTTTTACAAATGATACTCTGCCCTCCTTCTTCTTCACCGTGCGGAAGCACCAAGTTGTGGACTACGACCCGCAACTGGAGTTCTCCCGGCAGGCGGACCGGCGCGTCGTGAAGGAGCGCCCCTACGAAATCGCGACCACCAAGGAGTCCCTCGCGAAGCGGTCCGCGAGTGCGCCGTCCGGGGGCGACAGCTACTTGTCGCTGCGGGACCGGGTCCTGCACAACTACTACCTCTCGCACGAGCTGCAGGGCCCGAAGTTGAATCTGTACACGGAGTATTTGGAGATTTTGGTGAATCTGTGCTTCCTCACCTTCCTCTTTCCGGTCGTGCCCCTGATCGCGCCCCTCGCGTGGATCCACCTGTGGGTGATGTGTCGGACGGTCTCGTGGCGCGTGTCGCACGGGTGTCGGCGGGTGTACCGAAATCTCGTGGAGGACGACGCGACGAATTTTGTCGGGTCCTTTCTCCTGCTCACCACCGGGTCCAGCTTGCTGTTTATCGCCTTCAACTGGGCGCATTTATACACGCGGCTGAACGTGGGCGGGATTTTCAGTAACTACGTGCTCATGCTCGCCATGCTGTGCATGGCGTTTTTCCTATACATTCACGTCATGATACCCGCGGAGCCCGAGGAGCTGGAGGTCCGGCGGGATTTGGACCGCGCGAAGCGCGATATCGAGCTGTATCGGGCGAAAACGAAACAGGAGATTGGAGACTTGCGAAAAGTTCTGGCGCACCGGAGAAATCAGCAGAACAGCGCACGCATGCAAAGTGAGTTGTTTCGGCACGACTTCCGAACATCAAACACGGCCGAGGAACTGCACCTACAAAGAAATGCAGATGCTGCAGCGGAGCGGAATGATTTTCAACATCATTTGGACGACGATCACTCTCCTATGCCCGCCAAGATGCGATTTGGAGGGACGGTGAATCCGGAGAACCGACGAAGGCCGACGACGGAGATGGATGAACTAGACGAAGAACGGGAAACGGTAATGCCGCGCTTTCAGCAAACCGCAATGCTAGGCCGCGCGACTGGTGCTGTGACTACAGCGGCCAGTAGCAGGTCACTTCTGGAGCGCACAGGCACCATAAGCAAACCTTTGGGCGGGGGCGGAACCTCGCCAGCGGGACCAGGGGGCCGCGAGGAGGAAGATCATTTGCGAGGTGTCGAAGATGACCGGGAGGAGGTACTACAACTGGCCTCCTCCGGGCAACGAGCGGCTTTTTCGAAGCAGGTCAGCTTTAGTACCGGCTTGGCACCTGCACCTCCGGTGACAGTGAGATCAAGCGCTTTCAAAAAGACGGGTGGTGGAATAGTTGGAAGATCAAAGAACTACACAAGGCCGCAAGAGGGAGAACAAGCGCACAACATGCTGCTGAGTCGAGGCACAAAGCAAAGTGCGGAAGACGTCGTTGAACAGGCGGACGCGAAGAACGAGGACCACCGGAAGAGCAAGAAGGAGAAAAAAGAAAAACGCGTGAAAAGCGCCAGCCGTAACGAGGAATCTCGGGAGCGACTTCTGATGTCTCGAGGGACAGAAGGAGAGGTTGACATTGAGATGACGCAAATGTTGACGAGAGGCAGTGGCGGCGGGCCTGCTGGTCCTGCGTGAAGGCGCTCATCGATCGGTGATGCGCATTTTTTCGTGCGTCACCTGTTTTTGAAGCGCACTGACACCGAAATCAGCGAACAAAGCAAGAAAGGCGCCTCATCGACGAAGTGCGGCAGCTTCAATGCTGCTTCCAAGAAGTAGAGAAAAAAACTGTGGCACTGAGGGTGCTTGACGAAAAGAAAAGCGTTGAAGGCCGACGCAGTTTGCTTCCGGCTTTGAAAAAATTGTTCTGATGAAGATTGGTCTCTCTCTCTGGATTTGTTGGTCTGTGTCTCTACGACAATGCCGATCTTCCTGGGAGGATCAGAGTGAAAGAACTTTTCGATAGATCGAATCAACAGCCAAAGATAAAACCTCTTGACCCAGCAAGAACGGGTTTTCCATCAGCGATGTCTTTCAGATCTGAACTTCCACTTCTTTCGGTTTCGTGATGCTTCTTCCGCACTGCATGGATTTCGCTGATCCTTTCTTTTCCTGATCATTCCCTGTTCATGCATGACAAGCGTTTTATTCGTGTTTAGCCTCAGGTTCGGTTGGATGATTAGTGCCTGCTCAACAAGTGAGCAGCGATTCGCTTCTTCTGCAACTGGATTTGTGTGCTACGATGAAATCTATAAAGGAATCCTAAATCCTAAACCCTAGTTTTTACAGCTTCTGGCTACACAACATACAATGCTGTACGCGAGCTGCCTGGTCGGCATCACGAGGGCAGCTACCTCCGCGTCGCGGGGCAAAAAACCCAGCCGAGGTTGGACCTTTTTTTTTGGGCAGCAGGTCGAAATTGCGAGAAGCTTCTCCACGTCAGGAGCAGTGGCTGCAGACCGCCGGGGGCGACCGACGCCAGCTGTTGTGACCGCATCGCAGGGCAATGAGAAACAAGTGGAGGAGCAGAGGAGCAAGAACAATTCAGTCACAAACGAGGGGGGCTACCGCTACGACGCTCACAATTTCAATTGTGAAAATGCAGATGCCTTTCGTGCATGCGCAACTGTAAGAAGCGGGAATGGTGCAGCTACGTCATCGCGCAGCCGAGTGCCCTCGAATAAGGAGTCTGGACGACGACGCGATGAAGACAAAAATCGCCAACCAGCTGCTGTTGCTGAAGGTGAAGAGTGCGGAATTTTCGACGCGGAAGAGCCGTTACGGCCCGCCAAGAAATCTAAAAAGAAGAAAAAGGCAAAAGGGATGAATAGCAAAGAGTCCTCGCCAACATCTTCACCTGATGATTTAAGAATGACCAAATACGCTACAGCTGCTACAAACGGACAATATAAAGGCTCTCGGAATGAAATACATAAACCCGGCGCCGCGACTAATTCAAAGAAGAAGAACACAAGGCCGCCGAAGCCCGACAAGCGGCTCTTTCAGGAGCCGCTACCTCTCGTGATAAAGAGGGCAGGGAGAGTTCGGGATCCGAGTTTTTGGCACTCCGTCCTGGTCGAGTTGGAGCAGAACCTCTTCCGCCGCAGCCGCCGCGACGTCGTGGTCGCGTTGGCAGGGCTCAGTCAGCACTACCCGAGGAACGATTCAATGAGTTCCGACAGTTGTGGCGGTGACAACGAAAGTTCGGTACAGCCAGATCCGTACCTCGCTGTCGCACGGCCGGAGACGGGAGCGGAGAAAAGCGAAGGAGTAGGAGAAGCACAAGATAGGAGTTTGGGAGCCTCGTCGACGTCTGGAGCAGGAGCTTTTGGTTCGACGCAGCAGAGAACATCAATGCTCTCCGACGGAGGTATAGGAATAGGGACCACGAGCCGGAGGCGTAGCGAGCCAGACCCGTTCTCGGAAAACTCCCGGCTGACGAGAATACTCACCAAGTGGCTGACCCCGACCCGCCTGGCGGCCTTTCCGATGCAGGACGTGGCACAATTTGCGAAGCCGTTTCTCACGCGGGGTAGTGGTTTTGATGACATCTCCTCCTCCAGGGAGGTAGCCGCGAGTAGAAGAAGTGTTGGGGCCACGCCGCATACTACATCCACTATCGCAGAGCTATGCGTACAAGAAATGGTGCGGAAGTTGAGCCAAGAAGAGAGTGCTCATGAAAAAGAACAAACACCTACCGCTGACAACGTCGCACACGCGTTGCATTTCTTGTTGTGGCACTGGGACAGATTTCCAAGGCAGATACTACAGAAAACTGCAGCAGCGCATCTTCATCAAACGGGTCGTGAAGTTGGAGTTGCAATGCCAGCACATCAGGAGGAAAATAACGCGCCGATCACGCGACTGGCGCGCGCAGCATTCACCGCCCTGGACAATACGTTGGACGCGTGGAATGCTGCTGCTGTAAGAAGACTGGCACTTCTCAGCAGCGGCGGCACGAGCAGGGAGAAGGAGCATAAGGATGCAAGATACCTGCAAGGTGACCACGACTCCGGCGTTCAAGCAAGGGGCAGCTGGAGCTACAACACTTTGCAGCCGCTTGCGCAGACCTGTTACGCGCTCGCGAAAATACGCGATGGATCGAGTCGTCTCTCAGTCGAAGGGCTAGATGAAAATCGGCACCAGCAGCTTGATGTCTACTGTGAGAAAATGTCTTCCGCGTTGCTACACTTCTTCCGAATTTGGGAAATAAAGGACAGCCGCGGTGCAGCTGCTGAAGAGGAAGAGGGAGACTCAGACTGCACTTCTAGCACCATGGTACGAAGGGACGGGGGGCCCGAGGAGGGGTCATTGGAAAATCTTCACGTCACTGCAGTGGACCTGTCCCAGATTTGCTACTTCATCGGCCGCAGCAATAGTGCTGCGAGAACATCTTCAACTCTAAAAGCAGGGAATAAAACATCACGCGGCGATAAATTTCAACCAGCGACCGAATTATCGCCGGAACAAATCGAGCAAAACCTAAACCGTCATGAGGAGATACTGATGCATGTCGCGGCCATTGTCGTCAAAAACGACAGTTGTTTACCTGGTCGAGCAGATCATGATGCTGAAGACTCAGTTACAACTCCACCTTCGCCTCTGGACCTGTGCGCAGCCCACATTCGTGTGATCTCCAAAACCTTCTTCGAGTGCTCCTTGTTTTCGCAGCCGTTTCTCCTCGCGTTGTTGGCACAGTTGCAGCGAACTCCGGAGTGGAAGGGCCTCTGCCGGCTGCTGCGGGAACAACATCAAATGGAGAGCATGAAAAGCGCGAATAAAACCGCTACCGCTAGCAATAGAAGTACAAGTACGACCTTTGCATCAGAAGTAGAAGCGGGCGACGAGGAGCCAACTGTATTCAACCAGGGAGCTGATAAGAACAGTATTGATGGAGACCCGCTCGGGGCGTGTGCGGAGGAAGTTGTAGGTGCAGGTTCATCACAAACCACGCCCTCATCTCCCGCGTCTCGCATCCGCGACTACGTCCGGTCCACGCAGAAGAATGCTGGCGAGCTTGCCCTTGATCATGAAGACGCCGTATTGCTGTCAGGTGTCGATCATGCAGGACTCTCCTCGAACCGTGGATGTGAAAATATGGCGTTCTCAACTGTTACATTCTCAACTGTTACATGAATTTGCAATGCTAGAGTGGCAAAAGTGAAAGGAGGGAGATTGCGCCTTTTGCATTACAGATTTGGGACGGATTATAGTGCTATTTAGCGCGTCGAGAAGTTGTCTTGCGAAGAAGGCTTGGCTGTGTGAATAGTGATAGCGTTTTTGCATGACAAATTATGTAACAGTTGAGAATGTAACGTTTGAGAACGCCATAGAAAAATGGTTCCGTGCCTGCCTTCGCACGCTCCGTGCGTCCGTGAAGCGACTCACTGCAGGAGTTCCTGCGCCCGAGGTGGTGGATACGCAGGCTGTAGTAGAAGATGCAAGACATGCAGCGGTGGAAACAGAGATGCAAAAGTGGTCGCAGAAGTTGGATCTCGCACTGAAAGCGGCACACTGGGGCGGAAATCGAGATGGTGCCGTCGTGTCCATGTGATTATGGCTCTACAAGGGGGCAACAACGACTACAATGATGTGTCACAGCTCAGACAGAAACTAAAGCGAGCGAATCACTCCTTTCTCAGTAAAGGTGATGACAGAACATCATTATGAAAGCTCTCATTTAATATTCAGACGCAGCTCCAACATGCGTCGAAAGCAAAATGGACGTACACGAAGTCGCGACATCAGTGAAATCGGTGCACCTTCCTCAGCAAATGCACAGAAGTCTATCAATCGGGCGTTTATTTTTCATATTTTTCTGTCTCTTGAGTCGGTTGTCTTGTGGCTAGCAAGATGATGATGATGATGATGATGATGATAATTTGGTGAAAATTTTGAAGACGCCTTGAATTTCATTCGCATAGAACAAGAACTTGATGCGAAGGGTACTTATTTGCGAAATAGTACGTTGGCTTGTGAACAACCACATGAGACTTCAAGCGCTCAACTTTCACGAAAATCGTCGGTAGAATCAACACTCTGTTTACTACGCAATTTCCGGCTCAACAGGTGTATTTCGACAACTTCGAATCCGTGACCGTGCTATCGAGGTTTGTCTTGCACACACTTCGCGCCCGTGGTCGCTACACCTTTATCACGAACTAAGACACAACTTCTTTGGTTTATCGTTTTCCCATAGTACAACTCGTACTCTCATAATTTATCTTTTAAAAAATTCTTGCAAGCTGCAGTTGAAAATGCCGAAGACAGCCGCATCAACCCTTGGGAGCAGTCGTGCGACCAAAATAAATGGAGCATTGTTATGCCGCGGCGCATTGCTTTTCCTGCATCACGCGGAGGCGCTGAGCATGAACCAGGGCGGTATAACGAACAAACGCTCAGGAGAAGCGTTTCTGTCGTCGTCCTTGGAGGTGGACGGGGATTCTGATGCAGCCAGAATGACTGGGGCCGGCGATCATGTTGTCGGTTCCTCCTCGGGCGCGCCTGCGTCGAGCTCTTTCACGATCGCAGAAGGTAGAAAACGCGATCCTGCTGGAGCTGCGTCTTCTAGAAACGGCGCTGCAGGAGAGATGACCATCATGGGTAATTATATGCACTCGGCACTGGAGGCCACTGAGGCTACGGGTGGAGCACCAGCTCCAGCCTCGTTCACCGAGAAGAGGCCGGGGTACAAGGGCGCGCCTTTGCAATACCACACGATTTCGCAGGAGACCGGAACCAAAATCGGCTTCGAAGGCGGAGAGACGCCGCGCTGCCTCAACGGAGACCCCGCGGGCTACTTTACCGAGGTCGTAGAGGATGAGAAGGAGCTTGCCAACAAACTTGCGAACGGCTTGTTGATCGAGCTGGAGGGGGGAGGCTGGTGCGGTGACTCGGGCGGTGACGTATTGACCGACTGCGCAGAGCGCGCGCGCAAAACGTGGAAGACTGGGGAGACGGGATACGGCAGCGCGGTGCCGGCGACGTGGGAGCACTTCGACCGTAAAACGAAAACGATGGAAACAGTCGAGAGGAAGGACCACACGCGCTACGCGTTCAAGGATTCGTGGGCGGATCCGTTTTTTTATGTGTACGTGCCTTACTGCGACGGAACGGTGTTCACTGGGGATCTGAAGGAACCGGTAACGGCCGCCGATGGCACTACGATGCACTTTCATGGCAAACGCATTCTTGACAGCGTCCTGGCGGAACTCGCGGACCGTTTTTTTGCGCCGCCGATTGTGCGCATTGGCGAGACCGAGCCGCCCCAGGACCTATCAGTCCCAAACAAGTACTATCTCGGAGCCGAAAGCGGCAACGCGGCGCGCGTGATCTTGTACGGGCATTCCGCCGGAGGCCTGGCTACATTCTACGCGGTTGACCGAGCAAACGCCATGCTGCAAAAGATGTGGACCGCCGCTCATCAAAATCCCGAGGTCAGCGTCGAACACAAAAAGCTCGTTGTGCGCGGTGCTTCGCAGTCTGGATTCTTCGTTCAGACACCGGCCACGTTTGGCGACGGAAATAATGAAAACGCCTTTGGTCGCGGGATGGAGCGGCTGATGGACGCGGTCAACGGATACCCAGCTTTGAACGAAAAATGCCTGGAGAAGTTTGCCGACGACAAAAAGAAGTGTTTGCACCTCCAGTATTTCGGCGACCTGCTTGAGTCGCCGATGTTCGTCATGCAGAGTAAGTACGACCAGTCGGAAATCGACTACTTTTTAGCTGCCCGGTGTCCCTTTTGGACGAACAAGATCTGTCGCAATTCGCGAGTGCCGAATTTTATCGAAGAGCATACTTTGTTCTCCCCCAGCGCTGGGGGTTACAAGGTCAACTGGGTGGAGACTTCCCGGTTTCCCGGTACCCAGTCGACCAACGCGGCGGATCAGACGTGGAAGGATGCGGCGCATCCCCGCCTGAACGCGGGCTGGAACGATGACTGCTGTTTCGTCCACGAGCTGGCCGAAATCAAGAACCTGTTCCAGCTGCATATAACCTGCTCAGGTGTTGCAATCTCAAACGTTGCAATAGAATATGGAAATCCGTGACGCAAGAAGTCGTGCATGATCTAGCCTCTTCCCACAAAGTAGCGCATGACAAGTTCTTCCGGAGCTCCAAGTCGCACTATAGTACACTCTGGCGAAATTTGTATTGCAGAAAGTGGAACGCTCTGCGAGTCTGTCATGCTCATTATGCAAGACATCAAATCCCGGACTCTATTGTAACGGTTGAGTTTGTAACGTTTGAGCAAGTCATACTGCACATGCGCCAGAGCCAGTTAATGATGCAGCACCCGAAGCACAGCCATTTCTACCTGGATTGCATCGCGTATGGATGTGTCAGGATTGAAATCGTCAAAGTTGAAATGATTTGCCATGCATAAGATGCGATACAAAAAGTGACTCTATTGCAGAGGACGCACGGGAGGCAGATTGTAGTCCTGGTAAGGGTCAAAAGTTGGGCTGCTGACTAGCATGACAGAAGGCAGCTCTTTTGCCCTAAACCACATGACAGACTCGCTTACAGGACCGGGAAAATTTGTCATGCGCCGACTACAAACTGTAGGTCTAAGTGGTATCCGTTTTATGCATGACAAATTATTTCAACTTTGACGATTTCAAACCTGACACTTCCATATCGCGCACACGGTCTTGGGCATGGATCCCAACCACCCGTCCTCCCGGGTAAAGTATACCCTTGCTACCCTGCTGGAGGAGCGGTTCGTGGGAACGCATAGCGATGGAAACTTTCCATCGTCATGGAAATTTTCCATGACGATGGACGAGGCGTTCGTTTCTTGGGGAAAGGACGAAACGAAAGTGGTACAAGTCATCGACGTATGCATTGCAAACATGTTTGGGTCTGGAAGGATCCGAATTTGTGATGCGAATTCAACATCATGAGAAAATCTGTCATGCGTCGCCAGGAAAAGGCCCCACTTCTTGTTATACCGAAAGAGCGGATTTGTCATGCGGATTAGGTGGAATTGGGGTACCTGCTCGAAATCTGTGATGCCAGGGCATGCATGCCAGAGGAAGATGTGGGTCAGGTAAAAACTGCATGACAAGTCTCGCACTCTTCCAGACCCAGACATGTTTGCATTTGATACGACGGCCGGTCGTGGAAGTTTACCGATGCGGATAAAACGTGCCACCGTGCCCCCTAATTTTTATATATAACCTCCTCTCGGACACGTCTGCTGCGTGGAGATGTCTCACGGGGTTGATCGACTTTCTATTTTCACGATGAAATAATGATTTTTGATATTTTACTCAATGATGAAATTACTGTTAAAGTAGTCGCACTTCTGCATTTCACATTGAGCTGAAGACCGACGTAGACGACAACCACTTCTACGATCGCGCAGGTATTGCGAAACAAGCAGCCGCACGTACCAGCAAACCGCCCAAAATTTTTCTTCTTCTTCTCTATTTCGGCCCAAGCTACGCCGGGGGCGCGGGTATCAAAACGGCCCGGCCTCCTCACGTGTGTAACTCTTGGGCCGTGACACTCCGGCGGCGCGAAAATCTCGAAAAAAAAAAGAAAGGCGCCGGCGACGTAGCTAGTAGGCAGGTAGAAGCGTGGCCGCGGGGTACGTATGTAGCCGCCGCAGCTAGTTCCTTGCTCTTCAGTTTTGTAATTCGGCCCGAGCTACGCCTACGCCGGGGCTGCGGGTATGTTTATGTATTGAAAAGGGCCTGCGGCCCTCTGACGTTGTTACGCGCGCCGCGGAGCCGCACGTGGGGCCACGCATCGGTCGAACACACGGCCAGGAGCCTCACTCCACAGCAGTTGGCCGAGTGTTGCGCAACAGCACGCATGTGGGATTTCTGAGGGGGGCAGAAGCGTGGGAATCCGCCCCCGTATGTCCCCTGTTTTCCGACAGCACTCACGCCAATACACGAAGGAAGCGGGCACGCAAGCTCTGTCGTGAGCCTAAGCGCAACAGGCGTAAGCAGTTAGTACCACCTTCAAGATCATTCTTTCATTCCCATTTTTTACTTAAGTACAATTATTTTATCAATACGAGGCGTGGCAATCGCACTCAAAGCGGCACATTTTTGCGGAAATCGGGATGATGGCACGTCCTGTTTCTTACAATGCTACGACAAGCCATACAGCGAGTATGTCGGGTCGCAGGTCAGACAAAAACCAAAGGAGCGGGTTAATCGCTCTTTGCTCATGGTGATGACATAAAATCGAACCTCTCGCCATTTTGCACACAGCTACAACGTGTATCGAAAACAACATCGACGTACAACAGGTTGGAATCGGTGCACCTTCCTCAGCAAACGCGCGCACATCTGTTGGAAATTTTTTTCGTTTTTTTATTTTTTCTGTTTCAGTCGGTTTCGGTTGTGTGGTTGTGGCTGATCTTGTTATTGGGCTCGGTGAAAAGACCTTCGAGTTTATTCAGTCGTCTACTTGGCGCTAGGCAGACGATTGTCGACAACCAGAGAAGTTTACTTGTTTTTGCCTCTAAATTCTCCATAAGTAACCATCGTACTCAGCCAGAAAACCCGAGCCCTCTTTAGTGCGTAATTTCAGGTTGTCGAACTTGGAAAGAATATCTGTACTACTAAAGCTGTAGCTTTTTTATCACTGTCCATCTTTCGCCCTTGCGTAAACGGAAGAACCGACACGAGGAAAAATAAGAGCAAGCTTTTTTCTGAATCTGCTCTCGAAGTAGGAACATTCGCAATTATGGCTCCCAAAAACGTCGAGATCCCGGCGGTCCAGTATTCACTTGACGAAGTGGCCAAACACAAGCAGAACACCAATGCCTGGGTCGGGCTGCACGGTATGGTGTGCGATGTCACCAAGTGGCTCCCGGATCACCCTGGCGGCGAGAAAATTTTGCTGGCCAACTGTGGGAAAGATTAAGATAGCACCGAGATGTTTGAAGGCATGGGGCACCCAAGTTACGTGCTGAGCGAGCTGGTTCCCTCCTGGGCAGTTGGGTACTACGACGAGGACAGTTTGCCGAACAACGTGTTTCAGCAGCGGTTGATCAGCAGCGGTTGATCAGAGAACGTGTCCCCGTTGATCAGCAGCGGTTGTTCGCCAATTTGAAGACTGCGTTCCGACACATGCGATACAAGAAGCAGAAGCAGGCAGAGGCGGACTTCAGTGCATTAATTCCGGCCCCCCCCAAGAAACCCAAGGAAACTACGACCAGTGCGAAACCTGCGCGGGCCCTCGACGTTGACGCCCCTCCGCAGCGGACCAAGAAGCTGATGCCGTCGCAAGCCCTTGACTCGGAGCTGCATCCTGAGCAGCGCGTCGTCGATGTTTCTGCCGGCAGCGCCCGCACTGTCGATGAGGACCCGCCCATGCAGCTCCCCAAGGGCATCACGTGGTGCACGTCCATACCTGGAGCTGCGTCGCGTGCTTTTGGCGGGGTGCTTCTCGTTAGGGTGACGAACGCGAAGCTGCCCGATGGGTCTACGCGCCACGTATCCCGACACATCGATCCAGCCGCGTACGGGAACAGTGCGCTCGCGATTGAAGCGGCAATTGCACTACGAACCCAGATCACACTTGACCCTGCCCCCTTCATTGCGAAAACGAAGCGGATGCGAAAGCCGAAAAAGAAGAAAAGTGGTGGTGGTGTGGACGTTCGTAGGTAGTGTGTACGTTAGAAGTAGCTAGGGTTGTAGCCTGGGGGAGTGCGTTTTTTAGTTAGAAGTCCACTGATGTTTCTGCCTGTGTGCAGTTGCACTTGAAAAAACTATTTGCAGCTACAAAAATAATCTGGTAACCAAATGCGTGCGCGCGCGCGCGCAGAGCGCGCGCCGGCCCACGAAGCCGGCGCGCGCGCTCTGCGCGCTTGCGATATTGCTTAGCAAACGCAGCGCGAAGGCAGTTGCCGTTACCATATAGGGCAACCGCCGGGAGGCGTGAAGGTCAGGGAAATG